AAGTAATAAAAAGGAGAAAGAGGAAAAGGAGGAGGAAGAGGAGAAAGAAGAGAAGAAAGAGGATTATTATTATTATTATTATTATAGCCTTTAGCTACTATATTATATTTAGAAACTATATATTTAACTAACTTTAGGTTTAGCCTAGCTAACTTAACTAATTAATAGCTATCTAGTTATATAACTATATATAAGCCCTAGCTTTCTATTTTAGCTACTATTTTATTACTTTATACCTTAACTTCCCCTATTATAATAATAATAATAAACTTTTTTACTATATCTCTAATACTTTAGAAGATATCTCTAATACCTTAAATCTCTTTCTTACTGCTACTCCTTTTTACTATTTACTAACTAATTAACCCTTTTAACTATATAGCTATTAAGCTAATATACTATTATTAATTAAACTTTTTAAAATACTATTAGCTTACCTCTAGTACTTAAGACTATTATAGTAGTTCTATTACTTACTATTAATAATACTATTAATATTAATTTAGATTTATAGTACTTATAACTTAACTTTAGGCTTAAGATCCTTAGCTATTTAGAGGAAACCTATAAGATATTTATAAGTTAATAAATTACTATTAATATATAGAATAAATACCTTAATAATATTAAGATCTTTATCCTTAAGCCTATTAAGGGTAGATATAATAATACCCTCCTTATTAGGGTTTAAAGCTAATAATATAGTCTTATAAATAAAATAAATTATAATAACTTTTATATTAAAGTCTAAATTATTATTATATTTATAGCTATTAATACTTTAGATACTATAAATATATATTAATTCTCTAATATTATTATTATAAAGCTTACTATATAGTATATTAAGTTAAATAATACTTATCTTAAAGAGAGGATTTAAATATAGTAATAAATAAAAAAAATAAGAAATAAGCTTTTAGCTTAAGATAGCTAGCTTTTTATACTTACTTAATAATATAATAAAGATACCCTATTAGCTACCCTTTTAGCTAAAAGACTATAAAGATATTATAAAAAGGGACTTATAACTAAAAGGTTTAATACTATTATAGTAGATTTAAGCTATTATTACTACCTATTAGTAATAAGGCTTATTACTCCCCCTTTTCCTATAGCTCTTATAAACTTATATATACCTAAAGACCTTAGTTAGGCTAAGCTTATTAATTAATAATAATTTAACTATTATTTATATCTATTTATTATATTAAGAGATAGTATAAGCTAAAGTATTAGAATTATATTAAAGAACTAAGAAACTTATATTAATAAACTACTATAAAGCTCCCTTAGAGCTAGGTAATACTTCCTACTTATTATTATTATTATTATTATCTCTAAGACCTAAGGGATTACTACTAAAATTACTATTATTTTATTACTACTTATTAGGATTTCCTCTTTATCTTATTAAGTTATTATAACTATTACTATAGTTTCTATAGTAACTATAAGGATAGCTATAAAGATAACTCTAACTATAGCTTAAAGTATTTATATCTTATTATTTATTTCCCTTATTATTAATATTAAAAAGACTATTATAAATAGCTATTTAATTAATATTAAAAAAAAAGCTAATAGCTTTTAAGAAGAGCTTATTTATAATAATAAGCTTTTTAAGCCTTAAGAACTTAAAGATAAGAGTTTTTATTTTTATAAATAATAATAAATTATTTATTATATACTTCTAAACTACTTTAATATTTAAAAGGGTAATTAACTTTTAGTATTTTAATGTTTTTAAGGGAATTAAAAAATAAAAAAATAGAAATAAAAAAAGATTATAATAATATAAAGCTAAACTAAAAGATTATAATAGTTAAACTAAAAAAGAAAAAATATATAATAAAATTTTTATATAAATAAAGATATAAATAAAGTAAGAGCTAAAGTTATTTAGGATAAATAACTTAATAGGGGAATAGTTATTTTAAGATAATAAATAATATTACTTATATATCTATATATTATCTTAAGGAGTAAAGCTATATTATACTACTTAAACCTATACTACTTATTAAGGATTTTTAACTAAAGAGGTTAAGAATTAGCTTTAAATAATATTAAATTTTTAAAATTAAATACTAAGTTATTCCTAGCTATAATATAATAATACCTCTATACTTTATTATTACTTTTATTTATTTAAACCTTTTAAATATATCTATTTTAAATATAAATACTATTATTATTATCTTTTATATACTTTACTATTTTAATTAAGCCTTTAAGTACTATATTATAATTTAAACTATATATTTAACTTACTCTAGGTTTAGCCTAACTTACTAACTAACTAATAGCTATTTAGCTATATAACTTATAGACCCTATATATAAGCGTAAGCTCTTATTTTAGCTATTAGTTTATTACTTTATATTTTAACTTCCCCTATTATAATAATAATAATAATAATAAATCTTTTACTATATATTTAATACTCCAATACTCTTCCTCTAAGCTACTCCTCCTAGCTATTTACTAAATAATTAGCCTTAAGGCTATTAAGTTAATATCTTATTATATTATTATATTATTATACTATTAATATTAAGCTTTTTAATAACCTCTTTAAGAAACTTTTAGCTTACTCTTATTATTATTTAATAAGGCTATTATAGTTCTATTATTTATCATTAGCTATATTTATAATATATTATTTAAATAGACTTAACTTATAGATTCTTAACTTTAAGCTTAAGCTTTAGATCTTTAGCTATTTAAAAGAAGCCTATAAGGTATTTATAAATAGCTAAATTAATATTAATCTATTTAAATTACTTTATTATATTATAATTAATTTTTAGCCTTTTATTTATTAAGCTTTTACTATTTAGGCTATTATTATTTAAACTCTTTAAGAAAAGTAAGACTTAAGGCTTAAAAAATAGCTTATATTTTAGAGTAAAATATATAAAAGCTTTCTTTTTAAATAAGATATCTAAGTCTTTATATTTAGAGCTTAAGTTTTGAATATTATACTTATTAGTTAAATCTATTATATTATTAAGCTTATTAAGAGGTATATTAAATAATATTTTAGAAGAAGGATTTAAATATAGTAATAAAGAATTATAAAAAGATAAGAAATAAGCCTATAGCTTAAAATAATAGCTAGCTTTATAAGCCTACTTAATAATATAATAAAGATATTATTCTAGCTAAAAGACCTTAAGGGTATTATAAAGAGGGATTTATAACTAGAAAGTTTAATACCTTTATAATAGGTTTAAGCTATTATTACTACTTATTAGTAATTAAGCTTATTATTTACTTTTCCTCCCCCTATTTTTCCTATAGCTCTTATAAATAATATATATACTTAAAAACCTTAGCTAAGCTAAATATATTAATACTAATTTAATTATAAATTATATCTATTTATTTTATTAAGAGATAATATAGGCTAAAGTGCTATTATTATAATAAATATATTATAGAACTTTATATTAAGAAACTATTATAAAGCTTATTTAGAGCTAAGTATTAGTTTATCTTTACTATTTTAATTAGTTTGAGAAACGTAATAAATTTACCTATCTAAGTGCCTAATTACGCTTAGAGGGAGGGTATATTATATATATTATAGTAGTAGGTATATAGTTACGCGCGCGCACATAGGTATATAGGTATATATATTTTATAGGTCTATACCGCTAGAGCTAACTACTTATTAAGTATATATATACGCTAAGTTGGGAAATAGCCCTACTAGAAAAACCTAACCTATAATTTTAGTTAGCTAAGCTTTAACACTCTAACCTAATAAGGAATAGCTAGAAAATTATACTAATTAGCTCTTATTATCCCACACCTACGCTATAGGCTGCTATTACAGCTTATACTATTATATTAGTAGCGCGCTACGTATATAATAGCTTATAAGCTGGGCCTATTATATAAACGCGCTAAGGGTCTAAGCTTACGTTATTAGTTATATACCCCCGCTATATATAGCCCTATAACGTATGCGGCGCGATTCTAATAAAAAGTAGTGCTAATAGTGGGATTTAAACCTATACGCGCAGCGTTAAAAAGACGTGCGCACACTAAGCTGCTAGATTATGCAGCCTGTTGGCATTTTAATTAGTTTAATAATATTAATAATTTCTTTTATTATTTCTTTTATAAAATAGTAATTTAAATAGTTATTTTATATATATTACTTTAATTATTAAAAATAAATAGTTTTTAAATATTTAATATTACTATAAAGTAAATATAGCTATATAGATAATATAAATACTTATATAATTAATATTTTCCTTATATTTAAGTTAAACTTTATTTTAATAACTACCTTTTTAAGTAGTAGTTTACTTTAAAAACTTTACTCTAAATAGATTAAATAGTTTTTATTTTATCTCTAATAGTATAGTACCTTTATAATAAGTATATAAATAGCTTATACTACTTAAAACCTATAAGCACTATATAGTTTAAACTTACTATATATATATATATATCTATTAGGCTAGTAACTATTTAGCTAAGCGCTATAATATATCTATATATCTTAATTATAGAATAATTTATAATTTATATTTAATATATATCTTTTTAAATAAGTATTTTATTTAATATATTTATAGTAATAAATACCTTTAAAAGTAAAGATTTTTTTAAAAATAAATATAAAGCTACTTATTAATTATATATTTATCTATTTACGTTTCTTAAAAAATAAAAGAGTCTTAAAGTAGAGCTCTAGTGTTCTTAACTTTAGTAAGGAAAAGATATACCCCAGTGCATTAGCATTTCTATTATTCATAGACCCAATGGCGCAATCAACCCACAATAAGACACAATGGCTGTTGAAAATGTCTGCGCGGGTCCTTAGCTGCTAATAAAGATGCCGGGTGATGAACAGGGCTAGCAGCATGATATTTGAGCCGCACCTTCTTAATATCTCTCGTTGAAATACTCGTTGCCGGTACGCAACACTGTCATGCTGCCTTGGAGCGAACCCTTCCAGGAGATTTTCAAGACTCACAATGTCAGCCGCCGTGGACCGTACTCAGACCCGCGAGCGGGATTCGCAGTCGCCGACTGCCGCCCGGTTATCCAGCCCGAGTGCCGACCGGAAACCGGTCTTCCGCTCCGTGCCGTTTCAGATCCTGGTCGCCTGCGGCGTCTCGTTTACGGCGCCCGGAATGTGGGATGCGCTCGGCGGCCTTGGAGCGGGTGGGGCCGCCGAACCGTGGGTTTAACCAACGCCGGAGTTTCGCCCGTTGAAAACGCTGATTGTTTATCTCAGATACGCTGTCTCTGCGGCGAACGCTCTGGTGTACGGATTATTCGCCGTAGTTTGCGTGGCCGCGGGAGCCATTAATAATCGCATCGGCTTACCGTACGGACTCGCCCTCGGCGCCATCGGCTACCCCCTATACGGTGCCGGACTGTACACGAACAATGTCAGCGCCAACACCTGGTTCATGCTGTTTGGCAGCGCCCTCTGCGGAATATCTGCTGGGTTTTTCTGGGCAGCCGAGGCCGCCATCATCATCGGCTATCCGTCGCCAGGAGATCGCGCCTTCTACCTTGCGATCTGGCAGACAGCGAAGGCAGCAGGACCTATTGTTGGTGGTGCCATCAACCTGGGTCTGAATGCTAACAGGAAAACCACCGGATCCGTGTCTTCATCTACGTACATTGTCTTCATCGTCATCATGTGCCTTGGGTTACCTATCGCTCTATGCTTATCGCCCCCGAGCAAGGTGTGGCGACGAGATGGGACTAGGATCAGCACAAAACTGAGCTCCAGCTGGGGTGCCGAGTTCAAAGCCGTTGGAAAGTTGTTTATTAGCCGCAGAATACTGCTTTTGCTACCGGCTTTCTTCATCAGCTACTTCTATAACGGCTTCATGAGTACATGGCTGGCGACGTACTTTACTGTCCGCTCCCGAGCATTCTCGAGTTTCTTTACCAACTTTGCCGGCATCTTTAGCTCCTTCCTCGTTGCGATGTTGCTGGATAACCAGAGGATCTTTATAAAGACCCGGGGTCGCGTCGTTTTCACATCCATTATTGTCATTCTCGTCGGCACATGGATCTGGGCCACAATCCTGCAGAAGCAAATTTACGATGGCGACGAGCCGCCTGCGTATGATTGGTTCCAAGGCGGATTCGGCAGGAGCTATGCTCTCGTTTTTTTCTGGCAATTCGGGGGTCAAGCCTTCCAGCAGTTCTTATACTGGCTTGTTGGTCAGTACGCCACCGACCTTTCCGACTTGAGTCGTCACACTGGCATATTGAGAGGCACAGAAGCCCTCGGTCAGACCGTTGCCTGGGCGTAAGTAATATGCTTCAGCTTTCAGCTCGACTTCATACTGACACTTTGGCAGAATGCAGTCCGAGGGCAACGCAAACCACTTTGTCAGCATCGGTCTCAACTTTGGCATAACCGTACTGTGCTTGTTTCCCACTTGGATTATTCTCTCTGAGCTCGAGGGAAGCCACGAAAGTCCTGCCTTAGAAGAAGAACATACCTCAGACGGGGGCAAGGCATCGCCACGTGAGGTTTAGACTAGAAACTTTTCGTGTAGGTTGCTGTTTGTTCTGGACAGGAGGAACCACAATACAAATCAAGTTTAAAACTCCCACCCACATAATTTGTCTCTTACTTGCGAAGGCCTCCAGACTCCCAGACAGAAAATCTTCCACGTCATCGATGGATACTAGGTGCCTTGACTCCAGAGGTGCCATAGAGGAAGTTGAGCGAAGCTTAACCGTCAGCTAACAACAGTAGAGTCCATCGTCCGTCGACCAATGGCGGTTGGTTGGCTCATATAATGAGAGGCGCGGAGGCTCAAATTGTTTCCTGTAAGTAGGTAAGCTACGCGTCAACTCCATTGACATCCTCGTCAACGGCACTTTGCTTAATCACTGGGCATGAGCAGTTGTGTGTGGTCTTCATGAATGCGAGTGAACTCAGGTGGTAAACTTTTGCCTCTAATCTCTAACGCCCATCCCATTTCCCAAAACCAACACATCATGCCCACGTGTCTAAATTAAGCACCGTGCACTGGGGCTCCTTGCCGGATCGCTGCACCAACCTGCCCAAGCGAAGGACTCTCTCGCCAGCAGCTTCTAATGCTGCGACAGCCTCTTTCTCAAAGGCTACATCCACAGCTGCAACCATACCGATGCCAGTGTTGAAGGTGCGAACCATTTGATACGGCTCGACGTTACCGCTTGTCTTCAGCCACTTGAAGACGGCAGGCATCTCCCATGTGTTAAGGTCGATCTCGGCAGCCAGATGATCCGGGAGCATACGAGGCACGTTGTCAATCAGACCACCACCAGTAATGTGGGCAAGGCCCTTGACCAGGCGGCCTTCAACGACCTTGCGTAGACTCTTGACGTAGATCTTGGTTGGTGTCAAGAGGCTCTCACCCACTGTCTTGCCAGCATCCCACGGGGCCTCGTCCGTGTAAGCAAGTCCCTCTCTCTCTAGGATACGGCGTACGAGAGAGAAGCCGTTCGAGTGGACGCCACTCGACGCCAAACCAAGCAAAATATCGCCAGGAGCCATATCATCCTTGCGGGGCAGCCTCTGGCTGTTGATCATAACGCCGAATGCGCAACCAGCGGCGTCATAGTCGTCCTTCTGGTACATGCCGGGCATCTCAGCGGTTTCACCACCGACAAGTGTGCACCCGGCATCAATGCAACCCGCCGCAACGCCCTCAACAAAGGATGCCGCGGTTCCCAGGTCAAGCCTGCTGCATCCGTAGTAGTCCAAGAACATTAGGGGTCGGGCTCCCTGGACGACCAGGTCGTTAACATTCATTGCCACCAAATCGATACCTACGGTATCGTGCTTGCCCATTTTCTGAGCAATCATGAGCTTGGTGCCAACGCCGTCAATCGCCCCGACCAAAACCGGGAGCTGGCCGTTGTCGAGTTGAAGACCGCACTTGGCGAGATCTAGCTCGCCACCGAAGCCGCCAATCTCGGCATCCGCACCAGGCTGCTTGGTCGCACGAACGGCCTTCTTGATGCGCTCGACGAACTCGTTGCCCGCGTCAACACTTACGCCAGCGCCGGCATACGTCAGAGCCTCACGCTCTTGTTTTGAACGGAACGCGCGGTGGGCAATGTCCTTGCGATAGTACATCTTGTCGAAGCTGATGAGTGTGACTCCCTGCTCGTACGCCTTTTTGACCGCGGCTTCGAGGCTTTCAGCAGTGGCATTCACGGCGATGACACGACCTCCCGCAGTCTGAAGCTGGCCTTCGGGAGTCAGCTTCGTTCCGGCATGGAAGACCGTGACGTCCGGTGACATCGACGGGTTGACCACCATGGGGGTTCCCTTGGCATAAGCTTCTGGGTAACCGCCTGCGGCCACGACGACGGTAGCGCTGTACTTATTCTCGATGTTGATGTCGACGCAGTCCAAGCGGGCCTCGTGAGCCGTGCATGCGAGCATAACTTCGGCGAGATCCGTATCGGCGGATAGAAGAGGGAGCACAGTCTGGGTCTCCGGGTCACCGAATCTGACGTTGTACTCGAGAACCTTAGGGCCGTGTGGGGTAATCATGAGGCCGGTGAATAAGACACCTCTGAATGGGTAGCCCTCCTTGCGCATGCCAGCGACAGTCGGCTGGACGACTTCGAGCTCAATTTGGCGGATTAGCTCCTTGGTAGCGATGGTAGTGGGAGCGTAGCAGCCCATGCCACCAGTGTTGAGGCCCTGGTCTCCATCCCCGATTCTCTTGTGGTCTTGAGCTGGGGGGAGGGACATGGTGTGGTTTCCGTCACTGAAGGTGAGGATGCTCAACTCGTCGCCGGTCAAGAATTCCTCGATGACGACCTCATCTCCAGCGTCACCGAAAGCTCGGTCGACCATGATTTCCTTGAGGGCTTGCTTAGCCTCGTCCTTAGTAGTAGGGATGATGACGCCCTTGCCAGCGGCCAAGCCGGTAGCCTTGATGACGACGTCATGAGATATACAGTCGATATAGGCAACAGCCTGTTCGTAGCTGGAGAAGTTCTCGTAGGCGGCAGTAGGAATGTTGTGTCTCTTCATGAAATCCTTGGAGAAGGTCTTGCTACCTTCCATCTGGGCGGCCTCCTTCGAAGGACCGAAGCAAGGAATACCGGCAGCACGGAAGAAGGCTTCAACACCATCGACAAGAGGCGCCTCGGGGCCAGGGACAACAAGACCAACGGACTTGGACTGAGCAAATTTGACGAGGGCGGCGTAGTTATTGGCGGCGATATCGGTGATGTTGGTAGTCTTGGGGCAGGAAGCAGTACCTCCATTGCCAGGGGCGGCGTAGATAGCCTCGACCAGGGGGGACTGGCTCAGCTTCCAGGCCAGCGCATGTTCGCGACCACCATTGCCTATGAGCAATATGCGCAGGTTGGCTGTCGAATTCATCGTGGTTGTGTGGTGAAGAAAGTGACGACAGCGGAGGGGTTCAAATATGATGTCGTGGAGGTCGCTTGGAGATTGCTCGACTCGACTCGGCTCGGCTTTGCACTCCAATGGATTGCTGGACGGAAGGTGAGAATGTCAGAGACACAAGAAGCTTATTGTCTTCACCTCCGGTGCCTGAATGAAGGGTAAGAGAACTCGTTGCGACGCCGGCGCAGAGTGTTTTGTTATCGAAAAACTGCCCCTCCAAGATTGATCAGTGACCCTGGGGCGGGGTGAAAAAATCGGGAACTTTGTACGAGTTAGCGCGAAAATTTCAGTTGGAGAATTCTGGCTACCCCACCTTCCAGAAATGATGAGTCCCCGGTTAGTGTTACCGTGCGGACCTTACGTATTCGTACATGAAAACCTCAGGGTTCTGAGCGAGGCTTCTGAGAGTACCGCCTTGACACCGGCCGTAGGCCGTTACCTGCGTCGTTGCGTGATGTGTTGATGCTTTCAACTAACCTTGCAATCCAAAAAAAAAAAATACACGGTGATGCCTGAGCTCAATTGTCTCGATGTCGAATCTAGGTCCTTTAATGTCGTCTGGACCACGTTCTCGCGGCGTACAGCCTGTTTCACTGAACCTAAATCAATCAACCTATCACCGCTCGACCTACGGCCCCCAGTCCTTCCAAGAGACTAAATCAACACCCGCCCGGGGCGACACGCCGTTGTCGTTATTGTTCTTGGTGTCACTATCGTGGTTGCCATCGTCATCGCTGTTGCTGTTGTTGCTGTTGTTGCTGTTGTTGCTATTGTTGCTGTTGTTGTTGCTGTTGTTGTGGTGGTATTAGGATACTGTATACTGCCTTACGTGAATATCGCATAGGGGTATCTACTAGTCCTGGCGCAGCGAAGCGCGGTACGGATAGTCGGCCATCGGCTACATGGGATAGAACCGGTGAGGCAGCAAAGCAAAGCCCAAGACGTTTGTCAGTGAGGCTCGAAATCCGGGCTCGTATTGGAGGGTATTCAAGTGTAAGGTGCACAGGCAAGCCCGAAAGCTGTTACGTAGCACAGTTAGGTTCGTCTTTGGTATGGTATTTGTCTTGTCTGCACCCCTAGAGCACCAGCCGAGGAAGCACAGCCTGTTCCAGCTCGTCGACGCTTCCACTGCTTATGAACAGCGCATACTCGTTGTAGGCAGCGCTCAAAATTACATCTCGGCTCGCCGCCTCGTCCTGCCGTTCATCAATCTGCAAGTCTTCTGGACCCATCACCTTTCGGTACCACTCTAGAGCAAGGTGGTGGAGTCCGAGCATGTGAAATGTTCTCGCCACACCAAAAAATGCCTCCCGTCTCTCGTCCGGTGTCCCGGCGAGCTTGGAATGACAGAACTCGAATACACAAGCGAACCCCTGCATAATCAGATATTGTCGGTTATCTGCTTGGCGCTTTAGTGCGTGATGGATGTATCCGAGACCCACGCTGAGGCTGATCATGGGATTTGAAGGGTCCAGCGTTCGTGCTCGGAGGAAGTAGTCTGCATAAGTCGCAAATTAGTCCATGTCAAGTCTGAAAGTTTTTTTTCGTACGATGTGTTGGCAGCATTGCACTTACTAAGAGCAAAGGTATAACTCGTCGACGTAAATAGGATATGCCCATAAAGCATCAGAAGACATATATCAAGCTGCTTGGTTTCGGAATGGCTCTCTGTCTCCGAGCGTATGGCCTCCTGGTGCCTGTCTGGCTGACGTGTTGATAAATGCGAGGCATCGATAATCTTGATCTGCCGCAAGATATACTTCTGGGCAGGCCCTGAATTATACCAAGATGCCGGAGACTGGCACAGTCTGCACAACGCGGCAAACATACGGTATGAATCCGAATCCAGCTGGCGTACTTTCATGAAGAATCTTGCGACCGCCACGCACATCTCCTCGTCAGCCAGATAAATCGCACACGCTAGCAACGCATCAGCCTTGCCCTCAGACATCCTTGTGATGGAAGGCGCTTACCGGCCCATGCCACATGGATCAGGAACATGTAGTCCTTCGAATTGACGAAGACGATGGAATCTCTGGCAGCCTCGCAAACCTGGTACGCTTCTTCCCCGCGGTTGGCAAGTGCCAAGCTGATGGCATAGTCGAGGAACAGTTCTAGCCACTCGCCAAAGGGTATTCCACGATAGCCATCATCTTCGTAAGCGAGGCTGTTTCTCTTATCGTCCGCGAGAGATGGGGCAATGTCTGAAAATTTTGTCAGCAACCATACGCAAAAGTAACTTTGTAAGGCGGATGGAGGGTGGGCATCAAGGTCTCACTTTTTGAGAGTCTTTCGGCCAACTCTGAGAGACCTGGCTGCATTCTGGACGACGCGCTGAACACGACGTCGTTGGCGGCCCCAAGATATTTGAGATACTTGTCCCAAGGGTAAAACTTCCTGAACGATCTGAATTCGTTGACCAGCTCTTCAGCAGCAGCCATCCAGGTCGGTATCAGTGAGTGATTGCCAGCCTGGATATCCTTCTTCAGATTGCGCGCAATCCCGTAACGCCTCGTGAGCTCATCAGCCCGGGCACGCTCCTCCTGTAGACGCTGATCTGGGGCAACCAGCTTCCTGGTGCGATATCTGGGTCGGACAAGACCGCTGGCCGGTTTACTTTGAGTATCCCGTTTCCGCCGGGGTTTCGTGCCATCGGCCAAAGTAGAACCTCGGCTTCGTCGGTTCGCATCTCTACTGCCCCCTGCAAGCCGATCTTCTTCGTCATCGATACCCCGAAGGGCCATGGCCTCGTTAACAAGAATCAGAGCCTCCTCCTCCTCTCTGGACTTTTCGTAGACCCTGGCTAGCTCAACGCGTGCGTGAAAGCTTTCTTCGTCTACATGAATGGCCATGAGGAAGCAGTCTTCTGCAGCAGCCAAGTCGGACCTATACAAGTAGCAGCGACCGAGCTGCAATAGCAATGTGGCATCTTGACCGTAGACTGAATGCCGGAGAAGTTCATAATAGTCCAAGGCCTCGGGAATACGATCAACAGAAAAGAGTTCGTCGGCGATATCGCGGATGAGGTAGGGAAAGTCCTCGACGGCGGTAGCCGTCGCGGACTCCGTTGGATCTAGCCATTGCAAGTGCAACTAACAGCGTGAGTGCTTGACACGGTATATGAGGAGTCGACGAGGGACTTACGTTGGATTCTTCTTCATCCCGAATCTTCAAGCGATACAGGGCGAGGCGGGCCCTGAACTCCAAGGGCAGGCCCAGACCATACGTGCGTGCCCCGTAGGGAGAACGGCCGAAAGAGGGCACTTGGAGACGACGTGTGTCTTCCTTGTCCCATTCCCTGTCATCGGCACATTCGTCCCAAACTTCGTCGCTTTGCCGTCCGAGCATCCATCGGGACAGCGACTTGAGTTGCGATATGGCGTTCGCGTAGTCGCCAGCGCAGGCGAACAACTCCACGAATATGCCGACATCGTGCCAAGACAACTCCTTCTCCGCATCTTGGTCTGCCGTGCGGGCGTGGGCGAAATATTGTTGGTAGGCAGCTACGGCTCTTTGTACTTCCTCAGCGCCACCCGAGTCGGCGCATGCCTCCGCCAGCCTCCTCACGACGTCAATGTCCAAAGGACGGCGCTCCAGCACGTACGAGAACTCACTAATTGCTTGCGATAGGAAACCCTGGCGGTGACTGGCCTCAGCCCTCCCAAGTCTGGCGTCGAGATTCGTGGGCTGGGCTTTGACGGCGGAGGAGTAGCACATTAGCGCAGTCTTGAGAGCCCCTTCTTGCCCTTTCTCAGCCAGGCTCATGGCGAACGAGGCACAGCTCATCCAGCCGGGACCATCTTTCGGGCGCAAATGAGCAGCAATGACCATGGCCATCAGGGCTTTGTCGCTGAGGCCCTCTTCGCGGAATATGGAAGCCAGAACAGTCCATGCTTGATGAGTCTCGGCATTGATTCTGATGATCTCGAATACGAGGTTTCTTGCCTTGTCGTAGTCCCCGGTCATGAAGGCTTGGTTGACGCCGGCGAGACGGAGTTTTATGTCGCCTCGTGGTTCAGCAGCCTGGCGAGGGCCACGAATGTTGCCGCGTGGAGTAGGTTTTGATTTGCCGGCCAGCGGTGCCGTCCTAAATCCGTTGTCCTCGATGTCGTCGATAATGCTACCTCCTTGGTGTGACGAAAGAAACTCCCGAACCGACTGATCAAACTTTGCAATGTCCCCGCGAAGCTCCATCTCGTCTGAGTCAGCGTCTGATACATCATCGTCATCCTCCTCATCAGCAGGCCTAGGCCCGTCCCGGAGGTTTGCGACCCCAGGGCGGCTCTGATCAAAGTCCATGGTAGCTACTCGGGATCAATCCGGGACGTTGATTGAGAGAGCAGTGCAAGATTCGAGCTGCTGGTGACCATGTAAATTTCAACACACAAGGATGAATCTGCAAGGTTACGGTCGTCATCGGCGGAATTATAGTCGTGTTTCTCGTCGTTCGAGTCGCAGTGTTTCTGAGATACTCCGAGTAAATGGCAGCAGGGATTTCTTACGGGATATCAGGTATCCGTGCCTGGGTGTTCCTTTGGACAGCGCAGAAGCCTTGCTACACGCCAAGAGGTGTGGATGCAGAAGAGAGCGGCAGCTGGCTACTTACGTACGCATTTTGCGACGTGCAATGGCGAAGGTGAAGCGAGGGAATCGACGCTATACGTAGGCACGTAAGCAAGTGCACAAGGTAAGGGAAGGTGAGGTAGGCAAAGTGAGGTTCAGCGTCGTGTGAGGTACCTACGCACAGGCCCAAACGCCCCACCCAACCATGAGGTGTGCTTCGTGTCCGTAGATCAGCCTGAGTCGCCAGTTCGTGCCATGACACCCAAAAATCATCAGCCCTACAAGTCACCACGGTCCATACGCCCGGATCACTTGGTACCTTGGATCCTATTGCGCAGTTCTCGGAGTTGCCGCCTAGATCAAGACTCAATGATTCTCGTCAGTATTTTGGCAGCGACGGGAAGAGTGACGTAAAGCTGCTCGTTACACGCCGCTAAGACCGGGGTGATATCTTATATATGTACAGAATCACGAGAGTTGCTAAAACAAACAATCCACCACGCCGCCCCTCTTCCCGACTGTCAAGCCACATACGGTCAAATTTCGCGATACTGCCTCCCCGACAGGGTGTCATCTATACCCAAGAACTTCTTCCAAGCTTCATGCATTCTCCATGGCCAGAAGCGGGGTCGCGTATATGCATATCGTGGTGGACGTCATTCATGAGCTTTATCTTAACCGATCTTGCCTTCCGCTTTCGCCTCTGATTATTGTGCGTCAGTATCGATACTCTATGCAAACAATGGTTTGGTACTCACCCTTCACCTGATCAAAAACCTTCAGCATTTTACGCCTGGCTCCCAGAGCGTTGACGCCGCGTTCCTCCAAAGCCTTGTCGTCCAGCTCAATTAGCTCGTGCCACTTCATATCCTTGAGATTTTCCGTGTACTTGTGCAGGCGGAGACTGCGCAGCCAGCTGGGGATATCCTGCAATAGGCTAGGGTCCGTCGGGTCTTCAGGAGGCTTTGAGCTGCCACGGCGACCGCGGGGAGAGCGGCCGCGATTCATGTCAGAATGATCGGACAAATATCCTTCGTGGTTGCCAATTCCCAGCTGACCGACGTTCACCTGAGGAATGCCATTGTTGAGAAGAGGCGAAGAGCCATCGTAAGCGCTGAGAAATCCGTTATTCTGCGGAGACGCGAACGCCATGGGTCCGCCAAAGCCTGGCTGCATTGCGATACCAGGGGAGTTGGGACGAGACCGATGCTGACCAAAACCGATGTTCTGGGCTTGCAAAGCGATCATCTGCTCACGGCTGAGGACCTGTCCGTGCTCGTTGATCATGACAACGTTGGCGCCCGGAACGTTGACACCTTGGGCGTTCTGAGGTATTCCCGGTTGACCCGGAGCGCCAGGGGCGTCGTTGGAGCGAGCTCGTCGGTACTTGCGAACATCGTCAAGGGCAAATCGATTGTTGACCGTCGAGAGAGCTGCCAGCTTCATAGCGGTGGCGTTGGCGACCATGTCCGCCTGGTTGCCGCTTTGTTGGGGGTTGAAGTTGGCAACAAGCGGGGTGTTGACCATAGAGGCCCAGTTTCCGCCACTGGGGTTGTAAGGGGAAAGAAGGGGGAGATCTGCCGGCTTGTCGCTAGTCGTCAGAGTAGTGTTCTGGATGTTCTGGTTACCCGAAATCTGGGGGCGAGGGGATCTCGGGGGTGCTTGGAATTGACCCATCGGCGGCTGGCTGCCAGCGGACTTGGCCCCCTGGGCCGTCTGATCGCCTCCGGCCCATGGTGAGGTCTGGTTTTGTCCGTTGGAGTCGTGGGTTTCGCCAGGAGCTGAGATTGTCGGGGCTGCAAGGGATTGACGATCACCGACGGCGCTATTACGGTTGGAAGAAGGCGGGGCGCCATTCTGTTGTGTGAACTTGGCCTTCTCAGTGGCGATAGCCGCAGCGGCATCGGGGAACATCGCGTTGATGGTCGAGGGATCGAGACCTGATTGACGCTTGCCAGTCGCGGTGCTCGAGGGACGAGCAATGGAGTTCCTGGCAGAATCCACGTTCAGCTTGTTCATGGCATCGCTGAGGCGATTCGACATGGGGTCTTGGAAGACGAAAAGTTAGTACATGTTCGACTGAACAAGAGCAAACTGCATTGGAGTTGATGGAGTACCTTTGTCAAAGTTGGCGGGAGAGAGAACCCCAGACAAGGGATGGCTTTTACCCATCTGCTGCAAGACCTGGATGAAGAAGCGAATCTGCACCTGGGTGGTCTGTTGTAGCAGAGCATAGAGAGCGGCGGTACGCTCGGCCTCGCTGAGAACCCGGAACCATTGTTCAATGGCGCTTAACTCATCCTTGAAGTCCTGGTCGAGGGTGGCGGCGGCCATCTCTTCCAGTGTTGTCTCGTACTGATCGATGTCGGCTATCCACTGCTGGGCGATCTTGTCCTGGGGATCAACATCGGGATTGCCATGGCCCTGGCCCTGTTGAGACTGACCGTAGAAGTCAGAGGATGGTCGGATGCGGCTCGAGGGAGACGAGTTCTGGAGAGCAGCCATGTCGGCGGAAGCCCTTAGATGGCTGTTGGCGGGAACAGCCCTCGAAGAAGGGGGCCGCAGAGACGACGTCGTGTTTGCCTCGGGGGTGCTATTGCGGTTGCCCGCAATGTGACTGCCAGACATGTTGTTGAGCATTGTTGACAGACGACGGGATTACGGCGAAAGAGTATGTCGCACCAGGGCGGCGGGGAGGTGAAGTCGAATGATGGCGTAAAAGGTTGGCAGTTGGCAGATGAAACGATGCCGGTGGCTATAGTGAAGGGTGTCGTGTCTTTGTCTTGCGATGGAATGGGGTCGGCCCGGGCAAGGAGGGACCAGCGCTGTTTCGAGATTTCGAATGGTCGCAGGACCAGGTCAACTCAATTCGAGTGGATTGAGTCTGGTCTCAATGACACTCTGCAGAATAGAGGGCCCGTACTGGCGGCGCAAGAACCGAGTATGCGACCAGGGTTGCTGCTCGGTCAGACGAGGACTTTCTCGTCTTTTCAGTTCGTTCAAGAAGGCAGCGGCCAAAAGGGCCTGTTCTTTTTTTTTCTTTCCCGCGTGGCTAAGCTCCGACGGCGCGAAAAAGAGAATCGTATGGATAGTACGTATTCGGTGCCCAAAGCTCCTGCAGAAACCTGCCTGACCTCAAAGGAGTCGGGATAGAATGAGGGACCTGCTTAACACATGTCTTGTCTGCAGAGGACTTGGTTTGGTTTGACGAGGGCCTCAGAGGGTGATATATCTGAGGGCGGGCGAGAATGACGAGTGTTGGATGCGAGATGGATCGCTGCAAGAAAAGACTGTGTGCTGCTTCCCTGAGTCGCTCCGAGTCCCTGGCGTACCTATGGTAAAGCAAGCGGCGCCGTGCGTGCTTTGTTCAATTCGGGACCGAGTCCTAACGATGGCGAGGATGAGGACGGCGTGGTATAAGGGCGTTTCTATCACACAGAGGTGATGGCGAAGGTTGTGAAGATGCTTGAGGTGGGGGGAGGTGGGAGGGAGGAGGGAAAGTGTCGGGGAGATCAATGCTCTGGAAAGCGAACAGTATTATTCAAGAAATGCTGCTGCCAGGCAGGTAATACGATATTCAAGGCTGGCGTCGTCTGAAGGTATTACCCGAATGAAGGGGGTGAAGGGAAAAAAAAGGAGGGCAGAATAACTTACTGCCTCTGGGAATGAGGAGACGTACACTACTCATGTAAGTACCTACCTAGGCGGAGGGTTCAGCAACGTGGCGCGGCGGCTGCTTAGTCAGAAGGTGTCATCGGCGTACACACGGGTAGTAGGTAGGTAGGTAAGTTCAGGTCTCGAGGCAACGGAAACCAACGAATGATCCAATGTGTCCGGCCAAGGTTCATTGTCTCCAGGGGCTTCGTGGTGGCCCTGAGGTAGGTATTCGCACCTACCTATCCGTACCTTAGGTACTACAGGTACTAGATAGGAGGCCAGATGGAGACATCTTAGCAGATTCCGGACGGATTCGGAACTGGCGCCCGTGGGTGGAGAGTGCCCATCAACAGCCTAACCAAAAGGGACAGCATCGGCGAGGGAGAATGGATTGGCATGCATTAAAAAAGGGAATAGGTCAACCTAATTATCTCCATCTGTTCGCCAGGAGAGGTCACTCTTCCGCGTCGCGAATGCTGCAAGCTCTCTCACCACCGGAACTTCTACCCCTTTCATTTACGTATCCCACCTTTTTATTATTTTTTCTCTCCCTCTCATCACCTTACCCCGTTACAAGTTGAGGGCCAGTTGTCCGTGACCTTTGAGTGGCAATGGAAAGTTTTTGCGTCTATGATAACAGCGGACGAACCGCACCATTGACAGTGATCAAGTTTGAACATTGTCTTATTTTATTTTATTTTGGAACCAGTCAATTAATTGGGTATTATTCTCTCCCAGTGCAATCCGTAGCAGCAGCTCCGAGTAGAGGGCAAGGATCCCAACTTACTCATCCCATCAGCTGTCTTTTGTTGGCCTTGTACAAGGGGCTGCCTCTGATGAGCCGCGTGCGATATGCCCAAGTCACATGGCAATGCACAGAGTAGTGCCATGTCTTCGTCAGTTATGTGAATCGTGCTGTGGAGTACGTTCAACACACAAACATGAAACAAGGCCACGAGAGGTAGGATAAAAGTTCAGAAGCGGGAGGTTGAATCGTGGTTGATTGATTTGTTTGCTGGCTCAAATCTTTTTGCCAGTTTCATGTGATTCCCTAATGCCCCATTGCATCGCAGCCTTGCCGTAGAAGAGACCAATAACCATGAACTCAACGCTCTCCCTCTATGCCGTCTCGCGCTTGCCCTCCTTGAGCTCCTTCTGTAGTAGGTGTCAGTGGCCTTCATAAGTGTATTGAGGGAGTTCGGATCGTGGCTCGGAGAGTCGTACCAGGGCCTTCATGGTGCCGTGCAGAGCGTGACGATGGTTACGGCGGAACTTGGGGTCGGTGCCCTTCAGCGACGGGTATCTCGAGGTCTTGGGCTTCTTGATGCTGTAGGTACTTCGTCAGCATCTCCGTGTCGTATCTATCGGGGACGTTTCTCCCCTGGGAAAATCAATCGTACCCGTTGCGGTGCGCCTTGCGCGACTGGTTGTGCTGCGAGGAGTTCTTGGACTCTGTGATAACATTAGCAGGGGGATTTGGATGCGCGGGAGCAATTGAGTGACGACGTACTGGCCATTGCTGCGGTCGAAAGGTGCCCCTAACTTGGTGGTGAAGTCTGAAGTGTTCGGTCGCGGGATTTCGGGGAGGCAGGATAACGAGACTCGTCGTGCGTGGTCGTGGTTGGGGATCGGTTGTGGGGTCGAAATTCCGTGCCCTAATTTTGCTCTGGCGAGGCGGTTGGCTTAGGTAGCCTACCTACGTTGGGCGGGCTGTGGCTGTGGCCATGACCGGAGTGGAGGAGGAGTGGCACTGGACATGTTGCGGGGCGGCAATCCGTGTGATACCCTAGGTACCTTACAGATACCTACACTGTAGGTAGGCACGGTCTCCTCCACTGTCCCCTTTAACCATCGAGGTTCGCATCACCCAGGTGTCCTTTCCATAAGGTACGACTCTTCATGTTTAGGGTTTTGATCAATCTTGTCACAGTAGATAGTGTCTGCTGTCAAGTTTTTATATTATTCAGGGTGGAAACCTTCTGCGACCTTTGGACTCAAAAGGTCAAAAGAAGGCAGTCAACTTGTGATTCGATGGAGTGGAAGAAAAGAAGCATGTGAATGCAAATTTCTAGCCAATACAATAATTGTGCAACGGGGAACCTTACATCTAGCCAGTGACGATCAGCCCTTCAGCTGCGCAATCTGACACTGAATTTGAAATGCTCCCTCTACCACCCGTCTGAACCACGTCTCGACAGCGTCCGTCTACGTTCTCTCTATGTGCTCTGCGCATTGCTCCAAATAGCTCAAATGCCGACTCCCTCAGCCGTCTGTCTAGTCAAGTTGCTTTGAGTTTACCTCTGGACAAGGGGCTTGATCGAAGATGCGTTACCGACCGCGGCAGCGGTCTGGGCGACCTTCTGCAACTGCTTTGTGCGAAGTGTCTTGAGATAACGGAAGAAAAGAATGAACAAGAGCTCCATGCTGCCATCAAGTTAGCTGACTTTGAGTAGTAGATGTAAATAGTGAGCGCAAACATACCGTTCCTTGGTCATCATCAGGATGCCTTGCACCAGGAAGCCCTTGAGAATTTGTGGCGCAATACCCTTGAATAGGCCCAGGACACCCTCGCGTTCGATGATGAAGTTCATGACTTCGACGAAGCTGCTGAAAGGCTTCCCGTTCCTCTCCGGGGGCGGCCTGGACTGCAGGCCTACCTTTGCAACTATTAACGGCTGCGTGGCGATGGTTGCTAGGGCCTTGGAGGCAGCTCCCAGTACTGCGAAACGTTAGTGGGATGCGCCTAGTGAAGCCATCGCGCCATCAACTCACGGAATGCCTCCCAGAGCCTCAAGTTGTTCTTGCCCGGTAGGAAAGACTCCTTCAGTCTCTCATAGGCGCCGTACGTTATGGCGGGGTTGACGACGAGTACCAAACTAGCCTTCAGCCCCCTCCACAATCCGAACACACCATCGTCTCCTTCGATGACCTCCCGGGCCGTGTCGACAAAACCCTTGCGTTCCGTCTTGCGCTGGGTCTGCTGGCGCGTGGTGATGACGGCCACGGGAATCGTACAGAGCTGGGCGACGGCACCAGCGACTGCGCCAAGGCTGAGCTCAACCAAGGTTGACGGGGCTGCCGTCGTCTTTGCCGAACGCAGGTAGAGGGTGCGCACGACGGAGTACCAGTAAAAGTAGGCAAAATTGGTGGACGCAACGCCGAGGAGAGAGCCGCCCATGCCCGAGTACAGACCCTTGACGCCATCATCTGCGACAATCTTGCTGATAGCATCCCATGTAGACGAGTAGTGCGGCTCGACGGGTTCGTTCGGATCGATCTCGGTGTCTGACTTTTGCGACCTGACTTGTACCTGGAGACGCGTCTTGACTCTTGACGAGAAGGTGGTTGATTAGTTAGGATTCAGGAACGACGGGTTGGACTCACGGGACCGAAATTGACGTGACCTGGGACCGGGTGATGGATGGATGGATTTAGAGGCATGAGTTGCAAGCTCACGATGGCAGGCATTTCTCACATGTCAAGTGGATAGACCAGCGTGTTGGCCAGTACGGCGCCCGTGGCGCCGGCAACAGCTTTGCCCCATGGCGATAAAGTAGCCGGCTTTGACTGAGAAGCCATAATGAAAGCTTGCGTCCGGTTGCGATTGGAATATGGACCGACAAGTCGGAAGATGACGAGTGTGTTGCGACAAGAACCTCGAGGGGAGCGAAGGGATCTGTACGGGATGGGACGCAAGACACGGCCGCAGCAGGAGCTTGGAATCGCGTCAGCGGTCGGTGTCGGTGTCGGTGTCGGCGTCGGCGATCCGCCCCGATCGGGATCCGAGGCAAAGAAGAGGAGACAGGGACGGAGACGGAGACACGCTGGTAATTCAAGGGGGTAACAGGAGAGGTTATAAGTCTAAGCCAGCTTGACGATGTACAATACGCACGCAGTGATCAAAGAGATAAACACCGGCGATTACGGCGCAGGACGAGACGAACGGACCGAGGCCAAACTTTAAGGGCGTCTGTTCTGTTCAACGGGCGGCCCCCGCCCACGGTGTACGGCCGTGACCAGCTTGCTGGGGGCGGTAAACTGGAAGGTCATTCATTCAGTAATTACCTTACCTACCTACTCTGTACTTGCCTACTTGACGACCTCGGCCCCTTGAGACCAATCAGCCGGACGACCAACCATATGCCAGCAGCCAAAGGCGACCGAGTACCGGCTCGGTTAACCGGTGAGGTCACTTGGTGGGGTTTTTCGGTAGACCGTGAGGTAAGGTAGCGAGCGTAAGTATTCGTACGGACCGCCTTCCAGGTTACTAAATTGCCCAGACGACTCAGCTGGAACAGTGGCCTACGCCTTCCAGGTTTCTTTCAACCTTACGTCAGCAGTCGAGGTAGAAGTGACCTGAAAGCCATGAGTCCGGCACCTCGGTAAATCCCAATTACACCGAATTGTCCAAGACCATCCATGCGCACCTCTAGCCTTCTTTGCCTCAGGAGGAGAGCAGCCGGAAATGCGTGAAAGCGTTGGACAAGTCATGGAGATTCACAAAGGACAACTTCCTAGGATGACACTGGATGTGTGGCTTGTCGTGTTTCAATGCCGTCGCCTTATCCATGCCAATGACGGCGGCGTACCTACCTTATCAACAAATCATAGCTGGCCGGGGGTAGGTTACAGGAGGGAGGGCAGGACAGCACTCGAGTGCGGTATGCCAGTTGGCTAGCAATTTATTGACATCTGTTGTCTCGCGATGAATGCGGTTTGACTGGAATGCGCGGGGTTTTGTTCTTCAAGCGCCTCCCGTCCTCTTGCCTACCTAATCACTGAAACTGCAGCGAGCGAGCGAACGAACTGGACGACCTCGCCAACTTGGGACCTGACTTTGTCCGCCGACTCAACTACGTCTCGAATCCTCACCACCTCACATGCGTATACCGAGCTTGTCCGTCTTGGATTGGCTGCTTCGCTTTCCCGCTGGCTTAGTCCGGCTTGGCTTCATCGTCAGTCTGTCAATCTGATCGAATGTGACGTGCGTGGGCTAAGCCTGGACTTATTCAATCGGGATGGCCTGGTCTTTCGTTGGGTTTCGACAGTCCAATTCTGGTCTTTGGTTTTTGCCTACCTACCATGGTAAGTTAGCTAGTTACCTAGTCACCTAGTCGAGTCTGTTGCTTGCTCGTCTGCTCCGAAGTGTTTGGGCTTGGAGCCGTTTTGCTTTTGCACAGCCTCAATCCGGTGCCCGTTCCGCTCCGTCTCATCCCACCAACGACAGGGCCTTAGCTTCACTTCCTGTTGTCGACACCTACCTATGTTTATCTGATTTCCCAACCAACAACTGTTCTTGGCTGTTTCCATTGCGCTTCCATCCAAATCGACCCCTCCCCCGCGCCACGTCCCCTGTTTTTCAAAAAAGGGAACTCGCTAATTTACACTCTCGCCTCTCTGAACAGCAGGAACCAGAGCTTCTCGAATAGGTTTCGAACCTCAGACCCCGAACATTACACCAGACTTCCTTATGCCATGTATCTTCGATAACATCTTCTTGGACGGCCGGTGCTTGACTGCCTCCACACTGAGTACAAATTCCTGGCAGCCCCGCGACCCGCCTTGTTGTCATTGTTTTCCACCTCGCAGCCAGCCTGGCCATGCTGGACGGCGGCAACCATGGAAGCGAGAGCCACTGTGAGTAGGAAAGGCCCAAGTCGCTGTAAAACCTGTCTACGTGCCGATTGTCCCGCAGTGTAAACGAATTGGCTGACCAGACTTGCTCCGCCCGTGCAGAGAGAAGAGGCCCTCATGGCCAAGTCGACAGGCCGCGAAGCCTTGAATCATGCCATCGCCGCTGCAGACTTGTACATGAAGGCTGCAAAAGAAGCCTCGTCACCAGTCGACCGCGCCCGTTTCAGAAAACAATGCGAGAAACTCATCCTCCGTGCCGAGCAGCTCAAGGCCTCGTCACCTCCCGCGATAAGCGTCAATGCCACCCCCAACGTTGGTTCCGCCACGAATGCCGCTGCTCGCTGCCATGTACGGCAGATTCCCACGGGCGAAAGGACGATTCTTCTTCGCTCATCGCGCTTACATGGCAACATTTTTCCGCCATGGCAATCTGACCCGGCCGACAGCACTTTCACTCTCCCCGAAGGAGGGCAGGTTTTCTCGTGAGTTCCAGGCACGAGAGGGCGTCCTTGCCGAGCCCGGATGCCTCTTCACCTGCCAAATTCCCCGCTCACATACACCACCAGGGACCCCGCGGAATACACCATGTCGGCACGACAACATGACATTCTCGATGGCTGGAAACGCCCCGTGGAAAAGGCAGCGCTGCAATCTGTAGACGAGGATTTCATGGCCACCAAAGGCGCGTGCGATCTTGTGCAAGACATCACAACGGATTGCTCGGTCGTCGCCAGTCTATGTGCCGCCATGAAGATTCTCCAGGGAAACAAACATTCTGTCAGCCTCAACTCGAGTAATCAGCATTCAGAATAAGCCCACTGACAGCCCTCAACAGATACTCGGCTCCATCATGTTTCCCTTCGATCACCAGAAGGGTAGACCGAGAATTTCGAGTAGCGGTAAGTACATATTTCGGATGCACTTCAATGGCTGCTTCCGCCAAGTCGTCGTTGATGACCGGCTACCCGTTTCGCGAAACAATCGCACCCTCTTCGTCGTCGACCGCACAAATCCAAACTTGCTCTGGCCAGCCCTCATGGAGAAGGCCTATCTCAAGGTACGCGGAGGCTACGATTTTCCCGGCAGCAACTCCGGCACGGATCTCTGGGTTCTTACTGGTTGGATACCTGAGCAGCTCTTCCTGCAGAGGTATGTGCCCCATGCTAACACCGTGCCCTGTCGGTGGCGATCAACTGGTGATAACTAATAGGAAGACGTAGCGAGGATGTAGACCTCGAGGGGACTTGGGAAGACATCAAGGAGGCGTACCAGGCCGGCAATCTCATCATCACGCTTGGCACCGGCCGCCTAACACCTTCCGAGGAGGATGCTCTTGGCCTCGTTGGCGAGCACGACTACGCCGTACTCGACATAGATAACTCGCCAGCTGCGCGTCGCCTCCTCGTCAAGAACCCATGGTGTGATGGTCTTGTCTGGAAAGGCGTCGGCTCGTCCGGACTGGTTGAGGCGACGGCCGATCTTTCTCTTTATGATGCCACTGTCTCTGTCGAGCCCATGCCACCAGAACACTCCCGACCTGTTGGCTCGTTCTGGATATCCGTGGAAGACGTCGCGCAGAACTTTGAGTCCATGTACCTGAACTGGAATCCGGATATGTTCACGCATCGGCAAGATCACCACTTCACTTGGCGCGTCCCCTCCAAGAATATGACATCCTCCCTCGCGCACAATCCTCAGTACTCGGTGGTGTCCAGGACCGGGGAGACGGTCTGGATTCTTCTCAGCAGACATTTCGCGGACGAAGAGCTCGACATCGCTCGCAAGAAGTCCGCATCACTAGCAGCCGTATCGAGGCAGCTTGGGTTCACCAGCATCTTCATTTTTGACAATCGAGGGAAAAAGGTCCAAGTTAGGGAGGGCTCTGCTTTCCAGGGCCCTTACGTCGATTCCCCACAGACCCTCGCCAAGTTCAAGCTTCGCGCCGGCAAGACATACACCATCGTCATGGCCCATCAGGATTTACCATTGGAGAATTACTCATGCACGTTCACCTTGTTCTCACGGGCCCCACTCGAAGTCAAACCGGCCGAAGAAGAAATGATGCATTACAAGGAGCTATCCAGCGCGTGGACCAGGAGAACCGCGGGAGGTAACGCCTCGTCAATAACCTACTCCCAGAACCCCCAGTTCAGCATATCCGTTCCTCGAACCACCCCGCTGTCCATCCTGCTCTCTTCAGGAGACCGTGAGGTTGCCACCCACGTTGACCTGGTGTGGGCTCACGGTAAAAGGGTAACGTCCATCGGGGTCAAGGATGTTGTCGCAAGCTCAGGTGACTATCGGCGGGGCAACGCACTCGTACAGGTTCCGATGGTAGAACCCGGCACTTACACCATCGTCTGCTCGACTTGGGAACCCGGCCAGCTTGCAGATTTTGGCATGCGCGTAGGCTCACAGGTCGAGTGCCAGGTCCGACCCGTTCCGAGTGATGGAGCCGGCCTCCTGCGGAACCGCACACCAACTTTTGTTTTTGGGGAAGGCGAGGAGCAAAGACGAGCACCGGTGACGGTATCAAGACTTACCCGCGCTCAGGTCGTCGTACGCTGTCCCCTCTTGACGGGTCTGCATGGCCAGCACATCCCAACGACTGCCGTTCGCGTCTCTCTCATTTATGGGCGCGGCCCTCAAGAATCGGTCCTTGCAGTGTCTGGAGGTGGCGAGTTCCGTGAGCTGACTGCGACGGTGCGAACGCCCGAATTTGATATCGAGCCTGAAAGGTTGCGGCAAGATCCACTTTGGCTTGTCATGGAACAGCTTGGAAGTCGGCAGGGCTGCCAGAGCATCGGGGTCGAGTTTCTCAGCGACAACGCGGTTCACGTCGGTGAATGGCAGATCGTGGTAAACTAGCCAGAAGCAGAGATCATGTAATAGCAGCGGGCGTTGTGAGTCGGCTCCTTGTAAGATCTCCTGTGGGTTCGACCCCTCCATTCATGTGTGCTTCCCAAGACGGAACAACCCCCCACCCTCCCTTTAAAAAAAGAAGAAGAAAAGAAGAGACATCATGGCGGGTAATTCAAAGAACGGGGACATTTGTAGCTCTATCCACTCCATACATTGGCTCATAAAAAGCCGTGTAGCCAGTCCAGAGCATACGCTGAACGTGGCGACAAAAAATAACGTCGAAACAGTCATCTCAGAAAAGGGGGAAACAAAAGACAGAAAAAAGGCAGAACGTGACGGGGCGCGAACGACTCGTCAATGTGGTATATGGTCCACCGCAACGCCAGAAACCCCTTGGATCAAGACAGAACAATTGCCATCATGAGCTCGTGCCGCGCCAATCGCATAGGACTCACCGTGCCTAAAATGCCTCCTCCGTCGCGAATGACCAATGGGACTAAAAAAAAAAAAAAAAAAAAAATTGGCAACCATGCATCAAGATCATAACCGTAAGGACCTCATGAATCCCAAACCCGGCCCCTATTTACACCCGCCCTGGGCCCATGTCCTTTGCTGAGCTAGCCTGGACCACCATTGTGTAGTTGAATCAGGCATAGCGAGGGAAAGACAGAAAAAAGTGTATGTACGAGAAACATGAACCATGACATGATTCAAGCTAGGCAGGCCCTCCTCTACGTCGTCTACCGCGGTTCGGACCATCTGGCCGCTGAGCGAGGACGTCCCGTAGCAAGGGGTCATCTTTGTCTTTGTCCACATGATGGACTCTGACATGCCTGAGAGAGTTGTCAGCAATATAGACATAACGCTGAGGAACATCGACATATCGAACTGCCTACCTTTGTAAGTTGTCCGGTCGAGGGTATTTGTGCTCTCGGTCAGGACAAAATGGGCATACGTAGCCAGGAGAGTCGTGAACAAGCCCGTGTCGAATCATCTCATTCTTTCGCTTGAAGCCTTTGCCACCTTCACTTCGCGGGCAGCCCTTCACTGAGCAGTAGTGTGGCCGGGCAGACGAGTGAACGTTTGCATGTGAGTTGAGAAGATATTGCGTCTGGAACGGCGCGGCATTGCATCCCTCAAATGTGCAGACATAGCCGGCCTGAGGGTTGGTGAGACCATCAATGCTCATTCGATCTGCCACCGAGTTGGCTGGTGTAGATGCCGTCTGATCCGTGCTGGGGGTTTCTGCTGTGCCGCTACTATAGTCGGCGCTTGGTCTATGTGGCCCTCCGCCACTGGAGGACGAATAATAGTACGGGCTGACGACAGGAATTGAATGTGCTGGCGAAGGGAGCTCTCTTCGGAAGCCTTCGTTTGGTGAAATAGGAGGCGATCCATGGCCGCCTGGAAGCCCAGCCAAAGAGGGCAATCGAGGAAGACTTGCCGGAGGCGAGCGAGGAAACGAGGCAGAGTGCCGTGCCGGACCTAAATCCTTGTCTGGACTGATGGCAGATTCCGTCAAGCGCTTGAAGTCCCCCAACTGTGACCGGATGGACGGCAGTGGGCCATGCCCGCTGCCGTCGGACTTGGGAGAATCCAACATGGGAGGTAGACCGCCAGGCGCAGACTGAGAAGGGCTGATTGGAGTTGTGACCTCAGGCTTGTGCAAAGCATGTGCTGGTTGGGGTTGATGGGCGGGATACTTTTCTCCAGCGGGAAAAACCATGGCAGGGGCAGCCAGAGTAGGGCGCTCATCGCGAATGGGCAGATCTCGGCTGCCAATTCTCGGGGGGACCATCTCCTGTCGAGCTCCCATTCCGTCCCTTGAGCGCAGCGGATTGACTTGAGCTGCTGAAGCAGTATTGACAGCATTCGTTGCGGAAGGGTCGACGGAGCATGGGGTGGTAAAAGCCGCCAGTGCGCCGGCGGCCAAGGACTTGAGGTCGAAGGGTTCAGGGGGCCGGGCCATATCGCGGTCCGGAGACTCTGGAGACGACGAGTCTTCCTCGGATCCGTTATCTGAGGCGAGCGGTTCGATGGCGGCAGTGAAGGCGACTTCTGGCAGTCGGCCGTTTCCAAGATGTGCGACTAACACTGCATCGCCTTGTATGGGCTCAACTTTTCGACGACCGTGGGGCGACTTTCGCCTCAGGCTGGAGGTGGGCGGCGGACTGGGAGAGGGCAGTAACTTCGGTTCGTGAGCTTGCATCTGGGGACTGCCGTGAGGTAGAACGTCATCGGGGTCGTAGCAATCTGTTGCAGGTGGATTTTGAAAGTGATTCGAGGTCGCCGACGCAGTCATAGTTATCGCAACTGGAGGAGGGACGTGACTCGCAGCGCAGGCGGATTCAAGCCGCCATGGAGGGAGGGACAGGTCAAGGAGGTTGCGGCGGCAGCTCGGCGAATGTGACTGCGATGGTTGCAAAGGTGATGATAATGACGGTGATGTCGAATTCGCGGGGTCTACCGTAGATGTAGACGATATTCTGGGCGATGCGATGCGCGTTGGATTGTTGTCGGACTCGGCTGATCCGTTCGCTCGGCGGCGGCTGTTGGGGCCCAAGGGAACGACTCAATGCTTTGGGTCGTAGCCCGAACGGGATCAAGTCGGTCGGTCTGGGGCTTCAAGTCGGATGATGTACGTCGCGAATCCGGCCCCAGGACAGCTATCGCCGCCGTCGTAGGCTACGCGGGTGGTTCAATACAGTCGCGGCCGTCAAAGATGGTCGTGTAGGTGGAAGGAGGTGGTGAGAGCGGACTCGAAGATGGAGGTGCGCCGGGAGTTGCAGGATGGGATGCGGCGGCGTTTGGATGTCAAAGACGGAGGTCGGTGTGGACTGCGAACAGGGGGTGGGGATGAAAGACAGGTGAGGAGCGAGCGCACCAGGATTTAGTCTTGGTGGATGAGAGAGGTCTGAGACGTTGTTTTTTTTGGGCGGATAAAAGAGGGCAGCCAAGGATGGATGGACGGCAAGCATGCAGATGTAGGAGGGTTGACGAAGACGGGAGACGTCGTGGTAGAAGAAGGAGGGCGGCGTGGTGGTCAACGTGAGCGAGCGAGAGCGCAGGCTGTGTGTGTGTAGAGGTACCGATAGAGAGGCAAGTCGCAGTAGTGGTAGCGTAGGACGGCGAGAAATGGGCGGCGATGGTTCCGTAAGTAGGTAAGGTTGGTCCGTAGGTAAGATGAGGGTGAGGCAACGTTAGGATTGTCAGTTGTCAGGTAGGCAAGTCAGTCCAGTCGGGGGACCTTGCTTGACTTTGACCTTGCGCAGTCGTGGGCTTGGCCTTGACTTTAGGGCACCTCAGGTTGGTCGAGACTCAAGCGAATGAGTCGACCAGTAGTCGTCGTCGTCGTCGTCGTCGTCGTCGCCGTCGTCTTGTTTCCCCCCTTTATTGTTGGTCCTCAAGGCGGAGGTCGAAGATGCAGGTATGTGGTGTACTGGGCCGAGTTTGAGGCAGCGCCGGTTAGAGCAGAGACGAAGAAGGAAGAAAAGAATGGGCGTGGACGGTTCTTCGTAGGCGTGTGTGATTGTCTTGACTCTCGACTGGTCTTGTTTTGTCTGGTAGTGGCCCGATGCCAGTGTCTTTGAGGGCAGTATTGGGATGCTTTAGCGCATAATCTCTTGGGAGCATATGAATGCCACAGATAGATTTGAGGGACCGCGTGACCCCAGCGATGGGAAAGAAAGGGACGTGGAGTCGAGCAGAGATGAGGACGGGATGCCGAGTAGCCAGATTGGAAGCGAACAGACAGGGATGGCGGAAAATCAGACATGGGGTGGGGAGAAAGAGGAGGCGTGGTACCGCAGTGTACGTACTAGGTATGTAAGGTTGGTAAGTAGGCTACCTAGGTACCTCGGGTTGGCAGGCGGTGTCCGTACAATGTCAGGTAGCACCAAAGGCACAGGGTCGGAGATGGGTGCTTGCCGTCAATGGAAACTGGAGAAAGATAGGTAGGTGATGGGGTTGAGATGGGATGGGGAAAAGGACAGGAAAGGGTCTGCCCATGAGTTCTAAACTTCACAGTGGTTTGCTCTGGTAGGAGGTACCTTGCGCCTGTGCTGTCAGATGAGGCTAAAGCCAGGTTCTGCAAGGTATCGGTGAGGGGAAACAACGGACCAGCAATACAAGGAGGTACAGCGTCCCGGTCGTTGGATGACGGATCCAGCCTGGAGAGACACGGCTCAACTTACTTCATGCCACTTCTCGCCCGTCTTGTCATTCACTGCCTTGCCGCATTGCCTTGATTGCTTGAGTACCTGGCTCGACCAAGGTATCCTTTGGATAAAAGTCATGATCAAGATAATCATCAAGGCAACATGACGCAAACGCGCTGGTAAACAACTAACAGGGGTGCTATCCGCCCGTACGTGTACCGCTGGCTGCTCTCCTGACGGCGCACCAATGTTGAAACCTCACCAGCCGAGGCGCATCCAATGCTAATGAGGCATTCTAGGACTCTAGGTAAACTGGCACTCCGTGACTCCCTCAACCAGCGGTCAGGTTCTCGGATCTCCTGACCAAAACGGGATTATCTCGGCAAGGCGACGCTGCTCTCTGTGGCTCTCGGAAGCGGGGGACGAAGTCATGGATCCATGCTATCGGTCAGGTAATGCCCTCAACGTGGGTGGTTGGGGCGGGGAGAAGGAAGATGGGACGCGACGGGACAGGGTGACTTGACTTCCCAGAGGTCTTGCTCCCAGTCCCCAGGGACCAACCTGATGACAGGATGGAATGGAATGGAATGAAGTGAAATGAGACGAGGATTGGACGGCCGAGAGACGTTTGAGGGGAAGACGCAACAAAGGCACAAACCTGCCTATCCGTACACTACCTAAGGTAGGTAGGTACCTAGGGTCAAGAGTGAAATAGCCGCACCCAATGCACTGGGTGGACGACGGGATGGAGGTGGAGGCTCAAGGCAGGGATACACGAAGGTACCGCAAGGTAGGTAGCATTGTCCATCCCAGAAACCTTAGCAACCTCGGATTGCGCAAGTGCTGCCAATGTCTGCCAACGCCCGATGAAGTCGCGTTTCCAATTGGATCCCATTGCACTGAGGTACGGACAAGTACCTATGAGTATCTACCTAGGTAGGTATCTAAGGCAGGTAACAGCTACTGCGCTGGTCCCACGCCAAGCCATGCCATGCCATACCGGACGGGCTTGCCATAATCATCAAACTCTATTCCGCTGCTGTTTCTTACATTATTGGCGCACCTGGTTTGTCAGATATCCTCACCTAAAGCACCTAGAATCCAGGGACTCCGACGCGCCCTTGTTTTCTGTTTTCTTCGTTTCAACCAACAGCTTTTTACTACTATACCCACCGCACTACGCCTCCCATACTTATCAAAATACCACTTGCTGAATCTTACATTGGAAGGCCAAGTGGTTTAAAGTAGCGAGCGGAGGTGGTGTGTACTTCGTGTACATCTCGCGGTAGCAAACCCAACCCAACGTGGCCCCGTTTCCCCACCATCCACTTCTCCAATGCAGGGCAAAAGACAGAAAAGCCTGCCGCGGCAAATGATTGGTTGCTTCAGCCGCGTCCGTCCAATTGCGATGCTGACAGCCCGGAAGATCCACCTCAGACCCACCCGTGCCCGCGATAGCCCCATGCACTCCAGCCGCTAAGCCTCTAAGCCTCAATCCGCTAGGCGAATCAGTCAAGGCTGCATCATTTCCATTGGTCAAGACTAAAAAGCCAAGAAGGCACCCCAGCTCAACCTTGCCTTGCCTTGCCTTGCCCCTTCTTCCATCGGGCAGAGGCTGGCTTCGATTCTGGGCGTTAATTAGATCTATCTCGACAGGTCACCAATGGACCCGACATCGACACTGCCGTGCACTGTCACACACAGACCAAGGGGTCCTCCGGGGCTTTAGGTGTGGTGCGCCGCCAAATCTCGGCCATACTCTCCCCGCGTTTTTGTTTAATGAATTTCCATCCCATCACCTCATCTAAACATTTGTTCGTATGCATTCCTCGTGGGTACAGAACCACGGCGTGACGGCGAGAGCTACACGGCGGCTTCTGCGCCTCCAGTGTCATTGCCAAGTCCGCGACATATGTCTCCAAAAAGTATCCACACATCTCAGGGCTTGATCAAGTAAAAGTACCTCAAGTACCTACCTCGGTACCTAAGGTAGGATTGATTACCTTGGATATATGAGGTGCATCACGTTGATTGGACCTACATACCTGAGGTGCCTTCGAATAGACACTCACCGTGACACTGCCTCCCCCCCGCCATCTTACCCCGGACGGGGGGTTCTGGGTTCTTCAACGGAACTGAGCGGAAGGGCACTTTCCTAGCCCCTAGCCCTTGGTGCACGCGGATCTTTTTTGTCTGTAAGTAGTACTGGGAATAGTTGGTTTGTGATATTTGTTGCTTGACGTAGCCCTTGGTGCATGGCACGCAAGAAGTTCCCTTGCCTGTACCTGAGGCTCTGATTGTTAGATAAGCCGATGGTGATTGATTACCTTGTCCTAAGGTACCTTACCCTAAGGTAAGGTTAGTTAGGTAACCTCAACAGGTAACAGTGAAAGCGTCTCCTTCGTCAACCTCAAGTGACTGTTTCCTTGCGACCCATACGTACAATTAAATGGTTTGCTACTCATAACCCATGGTCACACGTCTTAACCTTGACGCAGAAGGTGTGAATAGATGGGACCTTTAGCGCCGGTAAAATATCACTTCTTCAATTGCTAAGCCAACTAAATATGGACACTTCGTACATCGTACGAATGTTTCATCCATCACCTTTTCACTAATGGGAACAGAGTAGCGTACCATTACCTAGCGTTCACCTAGAGCGATCATACCATGAGATCCAGAGTCTCCTTACCTAGCCCGGGGGCCCTTTGGCCCAGTTCCGAAGTTCCGAGTCGCTTTCGCTTCTCCGCACCACGCATGTCGTGAGGCGGTAAAAGTAGATTGCTGCTTTGATCAACTTCGACCTTGTCCGAGAAAATGAAGTAAAGTACGGGCACCTTTGACGACGGGTTGCCTCGAGTTCGACTTCATGGTACCAACTGTGTGCGTTCGTTCGTTTTCGCACGGTCGTACCCCGACTACCGGGTGCGACAACGGAGCCGAGCCGATACCGAGTGGAGGATAATGGTCGAATTTGGCTGTGGCGCCACATCATCGTTATCACCGTAACCATTGTCATCACTGGTCGACAAATATTCCGCCTGCGACTCTTTCTTTCTCGATAATATTCTTCCTTCATCTACGACTTCTTTAGGCTACCGCCAAGGCCTCGTCGCTCCCGAAAACCTTTCCTCGTCCCAGTCATATTGTTCCCTCGACCTCACCCCTCTCCGATCCCGCAATGTCCCCCGCAGGTTCCATGCTCGCTGTTGTTTTCAACGGACCCAAGAACGTCTCTGTTGAGCAACGTCCCATCCCTACCCGTTTGTTAACCCGTGCCTTCGCCGCTGTCAGCAGGTCTCGCCGCCAGTCACGACTAACATCGCGAAAGTCCAGAATGACGACGACATCATTGTGAAGGTGCAGGCGACCGCGCTGTGTGGATCGTGAGACGTTCCCCATCTCAACTCCAGACTCTAATCACTCAACTGATGGCATACCAGAGAGTTGCACGTCTTTCGAGGCCACCAGTCATCCGAGACAGGCTACATCATGGGCCATGAATTCAACGGAACAGTGGTCGAGAAGGGATCAAACGTGAGAACTCTCGAGATCGGCGACCGCGTTGTTACCCCCTTCACTACCTCATGGTATGTATCCTCCGACGCTCCTCCGTGGTCAGGCCCATGGCTGAGAAGCCTTTTCGTAGCATGAACTGCTTTTACTGCGACAACGGCTACTCGTCTCGCTGCATCAATAGTCAGCTATTCGGCTGCGAGGCTCTTGATGGCGGCCAGGCCGAATACGTGCGTGTCCCTAATGCCGACGGAACCTCCGTGAAGGCACCTAGCACCATTTCGAACGAAGCATTGATTCTCATGGGCGACATTTTCCCCACGGGTTTTTTCGGTGCCAAGTCGGGTTTCAATATGCTCAAGGAGAAGGAGAGAACCAACGCCACCGCGGTCGTGGTCGGATGCGGCCCCGTCGGTCTTTGCGCCATCGTGGCGGCTCTCGAGTATCGGCCCAAGCATCTTTTTGCCATCGACAGCGTGGATAGTCGTCTGGAACTGGCCAAAAGCCTCGGCGCGGAGCCATTGAACTTCAAGACGGACCGGGCCGGCATGGAAAGGCGGATCAAGGAGGCGACGGAGGGTCGCGGCGCTGACGTTGTCATCGAAGTTGTCGGTCTCTCGCCCGCACTCAGGACGGCGTACGACGTAGTCAGGCCTTTTGGTGTGATCAGCAGCATCGGTGTCCACAACGCGGAGGTGAGAGTCGGGCCACGACGTATTGTGCAGAATGTGGTTGACGAATGAGACAGATCCCATGGAATGGAGATGAGGCGTACACCAAGAACCTGCGAGTCCAAATGGGCCGCTGCCCCGTACGATCCATCTTCCCTGAAGCTCTCGCTTTGTTAGAGAAGAAACAAGATAAGTTTGGGTGAGTAAATGCGGCTTGGTGTCTCGTCGAGATGAAGTCGGCATGTTCTACCCCGCAATCTAACTTTGGCTAGGTTCATGTTCGACCGCATCATGCCATTGAAGGATGCCGTCGAAGGTTATGAGCTTTTCGACCAGATGAAGGTTCAGAAGGTCATCTTTACACCATGACTGAGCTGCCTGAACCACAGGTAAAGCGATGGTGGCAGGCCGCAAGGGGATCGGAAATGGGCAACAAGGGCCAACCGCTCGGGATACGGCGCGAGGCGACGCGGCATACTGGGAAGAGATATGGTCGGGAGAAGGTCGGGCGGCTTCGTTGCTTTAGTTCTGCCTTGGCTTCACAATGCCTTCGTGCATGAGATAGTAGGAGACGGTTGAATCATCATGGACGACGGCCAGCAACAATCTCTTCTGGCGATCTGCACCTCGCCAATCCCGGCCCGAAGATGCATCAGAACCCTTTTCAAGAGTGAGACCGCGAGGTAAGGCATCGATGGAGTCGAAGATGGTGGCGAAGGAAGACAAAGTCCATTGCTCGCTCAGGTGAACCGGAAGGACCCATTCATGCTCGGGTGCCCGACTTGGGCGTTTGCTTGAGGCTTGTTCCACCTGCAGTGCCTCGATTTGCTCGTCGGGGTGCATGTAAAGCCTGGTGGGAGGGAGACCGGTGATAATTGGCCGAGGTCTAGGCCGGCCGTCATTTTGAACATGGACATCAGTCCAGTCGTGTTGGTCCGCGAGGTTGCCGAGTACGAGGGCGGTCAAGTCGACAAGATGCTGTTCACCTGCCATCTTGTGTGTTACGACAGCGCTGAGAGAGCGGTGAGTAGAAGGCTGAGCCGGAAACCTGACACAGAAAACTTCAGGCAGAGTTGATGGAAGGGAAGTTCAGGTAACGAGGTTCAAATATGACTGCCTTCTTACGTGGTGAAGAGTTCTCTACCTCACAAGGTGCCCAAAAAGCTCTTAAGCCAAACCGGGTGCCGCCAATCGGAAGCCATCGCTTAAACAGTGGTGGCTCACTTTGTAGTACGTACCTTGTCTTGTTTTCCCACCTTAAGGTACCTTACCGGGAAAAGCGCGACCTACTAAAAGCCGCTCTACCTACCTACCTTACTGTACCTATCCGTGCTTGATGAGCATGCCTAGTCTTGCCCGAGCTTGACTATTTCCATACCCTGTAGCTTTGCGCGTGTTATCTGTCTTCAAGATGGACGAAAAAAACTCCCAGATGTGGAGTTATGTGGATATGGGGGTATGTGATGCTCCTGAGGCATGGCCAGGTCTTTGCGTCTCCGTAAGATCTTCGTAAGAACTCAGTCGCAACGACTTGGAGTAATTAGTCCCTGATAACGCAGATGACGGGATGTGCCTGTTGAGTGTTGAGCCTCGACTCTTGGCACCATCCACGTAACCGGACTTGCGGGTCTTCTGAGTCTCCCGTCGGCTGGTCCAGACTCCAACCCATTCGCTCTGGTCGCATGAGACGCTCGGGCGCATTCGTTCTGCCTCTTTGACTCTACGCATTCTTTAGACCGAGGTACTTATAGCGAGGCAAACCCTTATAGGGCCTAATAATAAAAGGTAGGTAAACTATAAGATAAATAAGCTTAATACTATACTTAGTATTTATATAAGAAGATTTACTTTAGTTTAATATAAAGAAAAATTACTAAAATCTAATAAGTATATATACTTTTTATTATAAATAGCTTTAACTATTATAATTTTAAATATCTCTCTAATAAATAAAGTATAATATATAGGAGAAGAGTAGTTTCTATTTCTTTTCTTCTTTATTTTAGATTATTTTCTTTAAGTAGTACTTTTTAAATAACTTAAATAACTATAGAAGTATTATTTAAATATCTTAAAATTAATCTTATTATATAGTAAACTTTAAAATAAGGTTTAATATTAAGGCTATACTTAACGCTATAGGCGCTTAGCTGAGTGGTTATTAGCCTAGTAGGCGCGCACGTTTTATATGCGCGCAGTAAGTTTAAACCTCACAGCGCTCATAGGTTTTAGGCGGTATAGGCTGCTTAAATACCTAACCACGCAGCGCACAGACCATGCGCGTAATTACGTAAGGAGTAGCGCCCTTATATAATTGCGCAACTGGCCCGTATGGGCGCGCCTGTAGCCCTAGGGCTACGCGCGCACCTATATATATAGGACGTTCTATACGCCTAGCGCGCCTATATGCAAAATAGGCCTTTAGCTAATAAATCTACATAAGGTACTTCAATTTATATAGTAATTATTTAATTTAAAAAAGTATTAGGTTTATTACTATTTAAGGTTTTCCTATTAACTATATAGTATAAAATAGAACTAAGAAATCCTAGTATTAAGAAACGTATATAAAGGCGTATTAAGTAGCTTAGATACTTAAATATAGGGCGTAGCACTTCCCTTTTTATACTTAACGCTATATTAAGAGATAACTATACTTTTTAGCTACTTATTAAATTTAGTAATAAGTACTATATTTATAATATCTCTAACCTTATATATTATTTATAGCTACTTAGTAATAAAGACGTTATAATTTATAAAATAATAGAGGCTATTAAATAGATCTAAACTCTATAGTTAAACTAGTAGTATATCTAGCTATGTTACTTAGTTTTATATAGTATATATTACTACCTCTAATATAGTATAGACTACCTTAATAATAGGGCTTTTATAGTAAGGCTTTAGGCTTTAAGCTAATATAAAGATACCTATAGAAACTTATTAATAATAGCTATAAACTAGCTCTAGCTATATATAGTATAAAAAGAAGATAATTTAGGGGAATTAATAAGGATAATTAATACTAAATAGATCTTAAATAAGTATTAAGTAAAATAATAGTTAAAAAGGGGTTAAAAAGTAGTTAATAAGTAAGTATAAATATTAGTTTTAATAGTAGTATTAGTTAATAATAGACTATATTAAATAACCTAGCTATTTCCTTATAGGGGGAGCTACCCCGCATTCTTTAGACTATTATTTTAGTCTTTAGGGCTGTCAATATGATAATTAAAGGCAAGGTTTCATCAATAGCCATCGGTTGTACGTAGTACACAATTCGGTTTATCACTCACAGGCGCGCATATAAACGAATGAAGGTCATGCTAGTGGATTGTTCCTTTTCTACTATGCCTTCTTGTATGATAATGCTTGGCGCTATGGGGAATCCGACACCAGCCAGCCATTCAAAGCTGAGTTCGTGAGACTACGTCGTTGATTTGGCTCTCCCCTCTTCATCCAAAACGCAGTATCGTCCAAAGAAGGAAAATGGTAAAAACAAAATAAAACAAAAACGCCGCAAGTAGGTACTATCTTAGCTCAGGGACGAGACACGGCAGACGGAAGGTGGTGCCTCCCTTGCAAGCCTACGTAACCAGTGGGCTCTCGGCCAACCAGCGTCGGGCATGGAAAATGCTTGGCCTTTCTGGAGGGTGTCTGACCTCGAGTGACCTCACAGCGCAGTGTAGATTCCGCGGTTTCTGTAGCGGGTTGGCTGACGGCCTCTTCGGATCATTACGGCCGTCGCATCAAACACGCATATTGACGTAACTGACGGAGTATCTATGCCTGTGCTTGGGGCACGTCGGGTATCTTCAGCTTAAGCCTGTTTGCCCAATCAAAGGTCTAGGTCAGGCCTGCATAGAGCGCCCAGGGCACCACATCAACACATCCGCGCCACAGTTCCAGGTTTCCATCCATGCAGTATACCTCATTATCTTTTCTTCGTGCCATTACCTCAGCCCCAGTCCCCGCCCCTTTTTCCTCCGTCTTCCCATCGCTCTTTCATCTTGATAGAGACTTTCCATGTTGGCGCGGCTTTGTTTCCCCACCGTTTACATGTTCCATGTACTTGGAAACACTCAAACATATTCTGTGTCTTCTTCATCTCTTGAATAAAACGCCTGGCTCACGCTCTTCCTTCTCCACGCTTCGTCGCGTCCTGCTCAGATACCCCTTCCTTGCATGTCCTTCCCTTCGCCCTACCTCGAAACCTTTGGTCACTTTTCCTTGGCACTCGTCTTGCCTTATTCTTCACCCGCCGTACCCATCCAGTCGCCCTGACGACATCGCCACGAGAAGGCATATCCCGTCGCACGACATCCCACGTTCGGAACTCTTCTCAACAAGGCCTCCTCTTTTCGTCGAAATCGATACAGTTACCTACAAACATGTCTCGGCCAGCGTCTTCGCTTGGGAACAGCGAGAAAGAGAGGAACGTGCCGCTAGACCAGTCACCGACCGACTCAAAACTTCCCGACAACAACAAGCACGATGACGACAAAAGGCACAATGTGGAGGATGCACAAAGGATACCGACGAGCGCCGCCGAAGCCACCGTGGCCACGGCCGAGAAGGACCTGTACGAGCCCTACGATAACGGATATCACTTCCCACCGAAGCACGACTGGAAGCAATCAACGCGGATTGGCGCAAAGGCCTTTTGGAACTACACGTGCACCCCGCTCGGTTTCTTCGTTGTGTTGTATGGTCTCAACGTTGTCGCTTGGGGTGGGATGCTGTTCCTGTTGCTCTGCAACGCCTCACCGGCCATGTGCTACCCATCATGTGAGGATATCAACTCACCACGTCGCAAATGGATTGAGTGGGACTCGCAGATCCTCAACGCGTTGTTCTGTGTGACGGGCTTTGGGCTGGCACCGTGGAGGTTTCGCGACTTGTACTTTCTGCTACAATACCGCCTCCTGAAGAAGCCCGAGGCGCTCTGTCGCCTGGCTGGTATTCATCGCGGCTGGTTTCGTCTTCCTGGATCGGACAAGCTTCCCGTCAACATTGGCCCCGAGACCGTTATTCAGTTGTCAGATGATCGGCCGTTACTTCACATTCCGCACCCCGAGAAGGCCGTTCCAAATCCACCATTAACGGGCGTCAGAGCGCCACCAACGCCTGTTTGGAAGATGGACTTCGTTATCTGGTTCAACGTGCTCAATACGTTTCTGCAGTGCGTCCTCTCTGGGTTCATGTGGGGGATGAACAGGTACACCAGGCCTAGCTGGGCCACAGGCTTGTTCGTGGCTCTCGCTTGCCTGGCAGCCGCTACGGGAGGGTTGATGATGTTTCATGAAGGCAAGAAAGTCAAGAGCATTGAAGGAGTACCGGTTAGTAAGGAAGACCAAGAGCGTTTGGAAAGGGATAAGGAGTTGGGAATCCAGCACTTCAACAACATCAAGGATAAGGCGCCTAAGGAGAAGAGGAAGAGTAAGACTGGTGTTTGATGTTCATGATCAACATCAACAGTATTGTACCTTTAGCTATAATATCCCTAATGCAACCCTCAGTATATGCTGTCTGGCCTGCTTTGCACGTGCCTTCGATAGCTACGCCGGTCTTTCATGTTTGGTCAGGTAAAGGCAGGTGGCAGTAGAATTTTGCGACAGACTTTTGCGACAGATGCAGGGCTATGGGTCAAGGTAGATATCTGTGACGTACGTGGTGCGGGGGAGGGATTCCGCGGTGTGTTTGCGTCGTCAGCGAGATGTACCTTGCAGTAAGGAAAAGGTACTGCCGGTACGCAAACGCCTCCGATCTATCTCACGATCCCTTTTTCTTAGGCGAACTACATATTACAATTATGTGCTGCCATCGGAGATTCAGGCTATTTCAATGACATTACTTGTAAGAAAGTGTAATATAGCTTGCCTAAGTCACTACTCTAAGATCAGGCTGAAGAAGGCAGTATCTCGTCATAAACCTCTGTGGACATAACCCTCGAATCAAAGCAGGCGATAAATTTCATGGCGATACTGTGTAAGCTTCGGACATTTTCACAAAAGCCAAACGCTTATAGGACATTCATTATTCCCGTTCTCGTCAGGTGGCGCCCAATCTTGCTTTAGGTGCACCGACCTGATAGTACCTTACCTAAGGTACGTTAAGATACTAAGTACATTGCCCAGCCTCTCTGTCTCATCCTAGGCATGTCACATGGACCTTTCACGAGTCCCTTTTAGTGCGATAAGATACCTATCTCAGGTCAGCTAGTGCCCGTGACTGTGGAGATCCCGACCCAGGTATCCGTACCCACTTCCGCTGATAAGCCGCCAACTTGACCCTACCTAGGTAGGTAGGTGCCTAGGTACCTATCTACCTCACGCCTGCACTCCACGTTCCACATCAGCATCAGCATCCGCATCCACATCCACATCTGCGTCCCAAGTCCGCGGTCGGCAGACCTTTGGCTCTCTCCATTATTGAACTTCTCTCCTCAAGCTATTTTCTTTGTCCTAAGGTTCCCGATATTACCCAACCAACAGTGAAGGTGTTCATTTACACACTCACTTTCGAGAACCTTACTTGAACCAAAACACTGTCCCTTCATCTCCCCCTTCCTGTTGTTCTTCAACTAGTCTCAGGCACCAGGGTAGTTAGGCTGTCCATTCAATCCATCATGGCGTCGAGGGCTCTTATTCCGCTTCTCGTGGCTATGATGCTGCTGACGGGTGTCTGCAACACCCTGCTCACTAAATACCAGGTGAGTATCCATCGTCATAAACGCCGATACTGAACGAGCACCAAAACGCTAACCCCTCCCACCAGGACATGCAATGCGTCGCTAACTGCGACTCCGAAGACCCTTCGAAGCGATTGTACTTCAACCAGCCCGTTCTTCAGACGGCGCAGATGTTCGTCGGCGAGATGGGCTGTTGGTTGGTAGTCGGCCTGATGGCTCTCTACCGTCGCTACGGCCCCGGAGCATCCCGCGAGGGCTACGAAACTGTTAACACGAACGATACCGACGACGCCAACACCGCGCTCGTGAACCCCAATCGACGACACAAACCTCAGGAGGAGGGCTATGGCGCTATCTTGCGTGGCCATCGCATCCTCCTACTGGCCCTTCCCGCCATTTGTGACATTCTCGGCACGACGCTGATGAACATTGGTCTACTCCTCGTCGTTGCCTCCATCTATCAAATGACTCGGGGTGCGCTCGTACTGTTCGTGGGCCTGTTTAGCGTCATCTTCCTGCGCAGGCATCTCTACCTTTTCCAGTGGCTTTCGCTCATGGGTGTTGTTCTCGGTGTCGCCGTTGTCGGATTGGCCGGAGCCATCTACCACGAAGACAAGAACACGGAGAGCGCCGCTGATGACGGCGCTCCGGCTTCCAATGCCCTGATGTCCGTCGTTGGCGTCTTACTTATTGCTGGAGCCCAGATCTTCACCGCGACCCAGTTCGTGCTCGAGGAATGGATCCTGGAGCGGTCAGCTATCGAGCCTATCAAGGTCGTCGGATGGGAGGGTCTTTTCGGCTTCACCGTCACGGTCATAGGCATGATAGTCTTGCACCTGGCTATTGGCCGCACCGACGCCGGCCGCAACGGCTTTTTTGACATGGTCGAGGGCTGGCGGCAGCTCACCGAGAACCGAGCCATCGGCATATCCAGCATTCTGATCATGATCAGCATCGGGTAAGACATCTCCTGGTCACGCTGCATGGTCATCACTAACGTGCGCTCCTACCAGAGGCTTCAACTTCTTTGGCCTGTCGGTGACCAGAAGCGTCTCTGCTACTTCCAGGTCTACCATCGACACATGCAGGACCCTGTTTATCTGGATCGTCTCTCTGGGTCTTCGCTGGGAGACTTTCAAGTGGCTACAGGTTGTTGGCTTCGCCCTGCTCGTCTACTTTACTTTTCTCTTCAACGGCATCGTCCAGCCCCCCTTCAAGTTTCTGGTCCCTGAGGAGGAGATTGAGGAGCTGTTGCCGGAAGAGCCTATTGAACACCAGTAGACGCACAAGTGACGACGTCTCCATAAGATATCTCTATGTCGAATATCAGGGTCTTTGGTATAAGGGTGCCTAAACTCGGACCAGAGTTGTAGATGGCGTTTCACGGCGGCGTCTCTAGAATGACCAAGCCACATATGGGAGGTCGAAGCATTCCGAGCTGACCAAAAGACAATGAACTTGAACCAGATTGAAGCTACAAGATATATTGTTTGATGCAGCGGTGATGATCCGTCACGACTGACACCCAGGCCAACCGAAACTATGTGCTCCGTTACCACGGAGAAGAGAGCCCGTCTAGACGCAGGGGTGAGGAATCGCCTACGTGGGCGCTCAATGATAACCATCTCAAAACACCTAAGACGCTGCCCGAAGTAGACGTGTCATACTCATTTAATTCTGTGACAGCAGAAAAACTCCAAACTCCTTCGCGTAAGAATAAACCAATACTTTATAGTGCGCGCCCGAACAACGGTCATCGCGTCATCAGGTGACGTTGCAAAGGAGCTCAGCCTCGAGTATGAACTTGCCCTCCTTGTACTTCTCAGTGGCTTCGTATGCCTTGTCGTATTTCCAACCAACCGTCTCCTTGCATTGCTTGCAGGTGATGTCACGTACGATGTGGCGGCCGGTCGTCATGTTTCGCTCGCTTGGCTCACCCGTCTCGATGTTGACGACACTGTTGAAGAGGTAGGCTTTGCCATGTTGGCCTCGAAAGTTCTGAGCAGATGAGAGGGAGGCAGCGGTCAGCATATTTTCTACAACGTCTGCGTCGTCTTTCTCCGTCCTGTTTGTTTGCTTTCTGTCTCTCCCTAGGTTGAGAAGAGGCGAGGAACGTACCCGGCTAATGATGTCTTCATGGTTCGACAAATGTGCTTTGCAAGTCTTGCAGCCGTACACCTTGCTGCTGTTGAGATATGTGTTGTACGCCAAGCCCATCGTTGGAAGCCTCCCTCGACGGGGGCGAGGGTAGGCACGCCTGCGCGGGGGATGAGGACCGCAGTCTAAGGAACTGTTCGTGATGTCGTTCGAAATCAGGTCGCGGATCACGTCGGCGAGCCCCTCAGCTTGAACCAGAGTAAGGGGGATAAGTTCCGCGAGGAAGATCGTAATAGGGTAGAGGAGGCGGGATGACAGGTATTGTCGGGGTCTGAATGGTGAGCTTGCACGGAGTTGGGGAAAGCAGAAGGCGAGATGCGGGGGGATGACAGTTGACCTGAGGAACAGTAGCACAGGTGAAGTAATGGCCTGGGCAGGTGACAGGACGGATAAGCCAATGGATGGAAGGTACTTAAGTAGGTAGGTAGGTAGGTACCTACCTAGGCATGTTGGGTGTGATAGGATGGATCCTACCTTCCATTCCAGGTGCAGGCACACGGGCCCGCTGGAGCTCCCCAGTCTGCGGCAGTATCGATGTCACTGACCCAGGTGTAGGAAAAGGGCAGGCTGCTGGACATCAGTCAACGTATAGGGAAGCATGTCTGCATAATAGGTCATGCTGCCTATCTGTAGACGTTCAAGAGAAAGAAGGAAAAAAAAAAGGAAGAAAGAAAAAGGACGAAAGGGGTTTTCCAGTAGTCCGGATGTGAGCGAAGTCTCAGGGTGACCGTTTGATCCAGTGCCAGCACGCTTGGCTTACCCGATCGCCCTCTGTTTGTCTACCACTCATGTGTGGAATGTAGATTTTTTACATGTAATAAGGCATGCAGATAAAACTTGCAGGCCTCGTCGAAAGCAGATTCTTTTGGTGAACACACGTATGTGTAAACAGCGGGCAAATATCTGGCGGCTAATTCCGCGTTTTCTCTTGACTACTAACATGGATCACATATCTACTACGGTCTTGTGTTGAACCCCCTATATGTACATTGAACAAATCCTAGACAAGAGCTCTTGAAGGGTCTGACTTTGGTTGTCTATTGGCCTCAACCCATATTTTAGTCATCTCCATGGATTCATGTGGCGCCCGTGAAATAAAGCATACGCGCCGATGACACACTTCACAGCCAACCCATTACCAAGAAAAGGCCTCCTCGTTGAAGTCGATGGCGGTGTCATGTTGGCGGTCGCGTACAGCCCGACGCACCTCGTCACTGAGAGCGCCGGGCCCGCAGACGCTAATGCCCATTGTGCCAACCTGGGACTCTTGCTCAGCGCGGATAAGCGTCTCAATGTTGGGGCGGCCGGGGAACATCTGGACGGTGGCTGAAGGGCTGTGGATTTCCTTGGTAGAGCGAGGACGGCTGACGAAGAGCATGATACGGAGAATTTCCCTACGCTTCTCCATGGCGAGAATCTCCGTCATCCATGGGCGGATCCACTCAAGGTGCTCGGGGCTTTGGATGATCCAGACCAGAACAACCTTTCTGGCGGCAACCGTGCCGTTGGCATAGCCGGCAACGAGATCGCGGACGATAGGGACCTGGTGAGTGATACCAACACCGCCGGCGAACAGCATGGTGGTACCATATGAGCGCATGCTGTGCAGGCCACCGTAAGGTCCCTCGATCATACAGGAAGTGGTCATGCGACCATCGGGGCTCGCAGCGGCCTTGCGATACAGAGTATCGGTCATTCCAGTTCGAGCGCGAATGATGAAGGACATGGTGGTCTTGCGCATGGCCAGGATATCCTGACGGTTAAGAGACATTTTTTCAGCCTGGGGGTCCTCGGCTTCCTCGGCCCACGCAACTGAGAAAGGGTGGGACTGCCACCAGCTGAGGGAAGGCAGGTACATGTAGGCGTGCTGGCCGGGTCCAAAAGTCCAGGGACGGGCCATGGTGACAGTAACGCGGCATGCATTTCCGGGGAGAGCTTCAACGAGCGCCGTGCTTCCTCCATGTCCAACGTTGCCATAGAAGACGCGAGCAGCACGCCAGACGCGGTCGCCGGCCCAGAAGATGATGACTGGCCACAAGTACTTGAGTTGCGGTAGCGCCTTCATCTGCAAGTGGTACCAGGTACCAACAACAGCCGCGATGGCCAGCAGGATGTGAAGGAGCTTGAACGTCTCGTAGAAGGCGTGGCGAATGGGGCTCGAGGCCTGAATGCCGAGAGCAACGAACGAGCAGGTTGCCTGATAAGTCGGTTAGCTAAAACCATTTCGTCGACTCGGACAGCATCTACTCACAACGAATCCAAAAAGCAGGAAAGGGACCGCGATGATGGATTGCCAGCCAGACTCCCAGCTTGAAGTATTGGCCTTGTTAGCCCACCAGGCAAGGGTATGGGCAACAGCTTCAAGGATAACGATGCGACCGAACCAACGGTGCAGCAAGTTGAATGTGTCAAAAGAGATGCCAAGCAGCTTGATCAGGGGGTTGTTGCGTCCAGCCATCAGGAACAAAGGAATCTTTGCCTTAGTCAGCAAATCTTCAGCGGATAATTGTAGTGTTTGCCTGCAAGAGAGCAAACCGGGTGGGAGAGCGCATGGGCCATTTCCGAGATGTCGGGTTTTGGGGGGGAACTATACTGACCATGTTTACAACAGCAAGAGTGCCGGTCCTGTTACGAAGCTGTCCCGCGGCGGCTGCGAATGAGCCGGCAAAGGGAATGTTGATGACGCAAAAAGCGACATTGGTGCCAAAGTAGCCGACGAGGAACAGAAGCTGCAGGCGGCTGGGCAGAGTACCGACGTTGATGGCGCTGCTCATTTGGATTTCGCGGTTGTGACGCTTGCTGAAGATGGGAGCGTAGAGGACATTGCGCTTGATCCAGGCAAACTTGGAATCGGTCTCGACGAAGTAGCGTTGGTTGTCGTTGTTGAGGCAGGCGACATGACGAACGTACTTAACGATGGCGGTCCAGACTCTCCAGATGATGACGGCAGCTGAGACACATGCTATGATGTAGTACAAATAGTTAGAGAGGGCCTTGTTCTCCAAGGCGGCGTTGATAGCCGCCTGTTGCTCCTCGGGAGACTTTGTGCCGCCGCCGCCAGCCATGGTGATAAATCGTCTTTGGCGGTGCGGGAATTTGTTGACACAGCAAAACTAAAAAGCGAGAGGGTCCGTCGAGTCGTAGGCGTTCCGGCTATCGTCCTCCTAATCCAATATCGCCCAATCGTTGCCCAGCAAAGTCGAGACCAGATATCAGAGGATCGCGGGGGGGAGGGCGGCGTAGCACGTCTGCGCGTGAACGAGGGGAAAGATAGGCCGTTGATTGAGCGGATGACGAAACAGTATTTATGAGAAGTTGAGTGGACAACAGATGATTGTGTTCCGTTTGTCGTTTGGAAATATCTCGAAACCGGCGATGGGTACTTCCAAAGGGGATAGCCGTGGGAAGAGAAACAAGAAAAAAAAATGTGCAGTCAATGCAGAAATTGAAGGTGACGGCAACAGGAGAGGAAGTAAAAAGGACGTCTTTGAAGGTCGACGTCACACGGGGCTCAGGCCTTGTTGGGAAGGCTGGAGGAAGAGAAGGACAAGAAAAGAAGATACTCGGATATGAGTGAGTATTGGGAGAGGGAGAGAGGGAAGGAAGCAAAGAGTGGAAGTGAGGGAGAGAGACCGGTGATGTAAGTACCCGTGGGTGTCTCTTGGGCGGCCCGGATATTCGTAGGGAAGTAAGTAGTAGGTCGACCAAAGTTGGGACTTGGGCCGCAGACGCAGAGAACAGAAGACGCGGCGACTATTACTGCATGGGCAAGGAGCGACAAGGAGGGGTGGACTTTTGATTGTGGAGAGGAGTCGGGTGTGAACTGATACGACCCCCGTCGACGACGACTAAAACACCATTTTCCGGGTCGCTGATGTGGGCGTCCCCAGATAGATGGAACGGGATCACCTGCCTGCGCCCTACCCTAGGGCCCATCTTCCTCTGCACCATACCTTGGCCGGGGCCCTTCTGAGTGATGATGTTCAGATCCAATGCCAACCTACGTAATCCATACCGACGGCACTGCTTACCTACCTTAGGTGCCTAGGCAGATGGTATCTCACGATAGATACTAAGGTAGAGAGAGAGAGAGGCAGAAACCACCGTTGGTACCGCTCTTTTTTCTTTTCTTTTTCCTTCTTTTCAAAAGAAGCCAAGTATCGTTACACGGCGGGATTGCCACTGCGCAGCACACAGCAATCTGGAGGACCTGGGGTCAAACAAGAAGAATTATATTTTCGCCCTTCATCACGTTCTGAACAGACATCATCACGCAAGTCAAGTCGAGACGAGGCGCGGACCCGGGTCATGCAGGGAGATGCATGGCAGCCCAGGGCATGACATGACAGGGAGGGCTCGGCAAGGGTGGGCTACCGCAGTATTCGTAAGTGTGCTGCTGTGTGTGAACTATCCGACTTGCCTTACCTTAGACTACCTTACCTATCTTGTAGGCTACTGATCACACTAGGAACGTCTGTCCGTACGGCAGTTGGTTCGTTCCTTGTCCTTCATCCTTCGCCATCATGGGTACCGCATGTTGATGTCAGGGCCTGGTTTCTGGAGTTGGTCATCTGTAGCAGAACAGAAATGCAGAGGCCAAGACGACACACGCGCCGCGCGAGGGCTACCTCCTTTCCCATCTCGCATTAGTTATCTTTTGCTGCTCCTCCTTGTCGGCCGATATGAGAGGATGAATTGGTTTTGTGAGGACGGGATGGCATGGTGCGAGAGTGACCGACATCAAGCAGGGATGGCAGGGCAAGGACAGGACGGGACAACGGACAAGGGTACGACGAGAGGCAAAAGATGAGAGAGGAAGAAGAAAAAGAAAAAAGGGGGGTGGGTCGCAGCAGGGATGTATGTCCATTATGCACCTAGGTAGGATTCGAGAGTACTACCTTACGGTACCTATGGATGGACACGCTCGGGCAACGAAAGCTCAGCTTACCTTAGCACCATACCGAGATCCAAATCAGCTTTCTTTTCTTCTTAGCGATAAATTTATTTCCCTTATTCATTTATTATATTATTTGTTTTTACAATTTCTTCTTTGGCCAGCCAGAAGTGCCAGGTATACCTACCCTTTGACGCTAGACACTCCTCACTGTAAGTAAGTGTAAGGAAGGCAAGGAAGGAAGGTGCACTTTTTCGCTACCTACCTTTCCTCGTGGGTATTTCACCAGGCAGGGTGCAGTACCTGGCGTTAAGGTACCTTATCCGAGCACCGTCCACTTAGGTACCTACCTAGGCAAGGCACGTAGAGATTTTAGCGCGTCATATTTATTTCCATCACCACTGGACGATGCCTGGATGAGCCAGCTCTCAAGTCCCTGGCCAAGGCCGGCGGTTCAGCCTCTGATTGGATAGTGAGACGATCCGTACCTTGCAGCTGGTCCAGTCGGGTGCTCCATGTCATGCGCATACAGGGACGCCGCTGGTCGATAACATTACCTCGCGCAGTCAGCTCAGCTGCAATTCATTTTCATAGTGGCCAGGTGCAGCTGCTACTGCAACTACAACTCTTGCTCGGGATATCCGTAGATGGATGATAGACCAATCAATCTCTCAAGTCAGTTAGTACTGAGGCAGCCGTCGTGACTGCGACACAGGCACCCTGTCGCCAAAATAAACAGCCGCTTGGTGAGTGCTCAGAAGACCGGCATTTACTCTACAGATGTAGGGTGGGAGGAGTTGATAGAATCCAGAAAAGGGAGAAAGTCTATTTATTTTGACCATGAGGTGCCTTATTTGGTGCAAAAGTAGTTACAGTACGTAGTAGTTGTTGCGGTTACGATGGCAATGGGGCTTGATTTATTGAGTACCTTAGAAGTAGGTGCCGTCCTGCCTAGTGTTCCTTGGCCTCGTGGCAAGCCTGGGCATGATGTTTCTGGAGAGCACCCTTTGCCACTTTGGTGTTCTAGTGTAGCCGTTCACCGACTTCCAATCCGTATCCGTACCTACCTAGGTTCCATCGTGATGGCTGCCCGGTGGTGGAGAGATGGATCCCTCCAGACTCTGAAACGACGGCTAAGCCGCGTCTGCGGCTGCCCACTTGCCTTTACTAGGTACCTTACCTACGCAGTCCACGGGTACCTTAGGCACGCACCTGCGGTAATCAGAGGGGCCGGTGGGGTCCGGGTGCGTCCTAGTTAGTGTACCTAGGTAGGTAGGTCCGGGCTGCAATCAGAAAGACCTGGAAGTACTAGCGGAGGCGGGGCGGTCCAAGGGCCAAACGGCCAAACGACGTCCGCCTTCCACTGGAATTCGAGCGCCCGAGAGGAAGTGCCGTCCAGTCTCTCCTCCACGTCACACGTCACACCCAAGTGCGGCGGCTGTGACTGCGATTGCGCAAGTCTAGTCGGGCCAACACGACCATCTGTATCAGCCCATGTGCGTCTCGGTCTTGTCAGGGAAGGATCAGCCGATGAACCCCAGTTCCCCATCTCATCAATCATCAACCAACTTGAACGGACCAATAGAACAATTCCGCCCACCTTCTCAGACCAAGACATGGCGCCAAAAAGGCCCTCAAACAAGTATCAACACACGTCTGCCAGTCTCACACCGACACACACTAATAGATATGCAGCAGCGACTCGACTCAACCACAAACCCGCTCGCTATCCGTATACTCTTTGCCGCTGCGTTGCTTCGTCACCACACTTACAGATATAACACGTCCAAAACAAGATGCCATCCACCTCTTTCGCGCCCGTCTGAAGCAACCGGACCCGATCTCCCTCGGCTGCACTTGTGCGCCTGTGACCTGCCATGTTTGGGATGTCGTCTGACACGCCGCTACCTATGTCCTTACCAGGCAAGGTTCTGGTTTGCTTGGGGCTGGTGCGAGACTTCTTGACTCTCGTCTTGTCCCATCTGATCGGGAAATTTTCCGACTTTCTTTTACCAGAGCAACTTCGGACATGATGGTTCTAGATCTAGGTTGCTAAACGCCAAAGACAACCAACGTACTCAGTACATGCGAACATTTCATCTTCGTGATTGGGGTGTGGTTGCTATCGTCAATCACACACATTAGCCAACAGCACCATCGCACGTCTTGGTTTAACTTCGAAATTACCCAAGCTCAGCCAAGTCGCTGGCTTTTCCCCCTCCATACTCGCTACACAGTGGTTTCTCTCTTGACAGCTCTGGAGACGTCTTGGAGTCTGCCCGGTGAAGCATGGCCTGAGAAATTGCCCCTCGGCCGGCTGGTCGGTCAATCGTCGGGCTGATCGCAAACAATCTCACAAGACGAGACGCCAAACCTTTCTCTTCGGGATGACGGCGTTTCATCCATTCGCTTTACAGCCGCGGGCTTAGGCTTGAAAGACATGGGACAAGTCATGTCGGGACGCTCCCATGTTTCTCGGGCCCTCGCCGCGCGGGCCTTGACTCAAGCCGCTGACACCGTTGAGTATGAACAGACAAATCGACGGAACAGTCGCCGCCAGCGTGCACAATTTCAGAACAAAAACGACAACAACAACAAAAACAACAACATCAATGTCAGTGCCAATAGCCCGGCCAATGTCAGTGACGACGGGGAATCTGCAGATCAACTACTCCCCTCGGCTAGAGCTGTCATGATTGGATCGCATTCTGAGACGACGAAGAACAACATTGTCCGCTTCTTGATACTCTTTGGTGGCTACCAAGAGGTTTGACACGTAATGTGCTTCTTCATCGCCTGCGAACACCGTCGCATTCTACCCCTGCTCCTTCCGATCCACCTGCACATCCTGATAGAAGTTTACAAACGTCCTCGCCGTCGAGAACGTGTTGGAGTATCATCCAGCCGCCGACGGAGGCGTCCGACTCATTGCGCGCGTGAGATACATTGCGACCAGAGTCTGTGGTAGTGGTTGGGGTATATCCAATCCTCCGCTCGAACGAATGTCCTGAGGTACGTAAGCAAAGCGCATTTGTGCGCCATGCAACCAGTATTCTAACCCAATACAGCAACAAAATCAGCACTATTCCCAGTGCTACATACAAGTAAGAACAAATAGTGGGCGAAAGGCAAAAATACAACGAGTTGGCGCATACATACATATAGCAAGTAGGGGTTTAAGTGTCCTAAGGTATATAAGCAAAGCGTATTTATATACTATATAACTAGTATTCTAACCTAATATAGTAATAAAGTTAGTATTATTCTTAATACTATAAATAAGTAGGTTCCCTCCTAATTTAACTTAAGAGTAAATTATTAAAATTTAAACTTTAAGTATATAATTTATTTAAAAGGTAGTTATAAATAGCTTTATCTATTTAGATCTTTATATTCTATTTAATAAAGTTATTAAATAGTAAAGCCTAACTAATTTCCTCTTTTATTTCTCTTTTTATTTAAACTTCTTTAACTTCTTTAAGATAATACTTATTATTATATTAATAGTTATTTAAATACTCTATTAGAACTTTAAAAATAGCTTTTATAACCTTTAAGTAATTATTAAATAAAATAAGACCTCCTTTAAATACTTTCTTAAGAATAAAGGTATTATAATATATTAAAGGCTTAATTATTCTAAAGGTATATTAATTTAGCTTTTTCTCTATAATATATAGCTCTAAAAGATTATTATTTATAGTAATATTATTATTTAGTTAAGTTATAAAACTCTATTAAATATATACTAATCCTTTTTAATTAATACTTATTAAAGTAAATACTATTTAGTTAGCTATCTCTATATATTAGCTTATACCTTATATTAAAATGCTATTCTTAATACTATTAAAGAGGCTTAATAAGAAGAAGGGGAAATAATTAATATCTTAAAGGTTATAATAGAATATAGGGGGGGAAATAGCTATATAGTAATAATAATAGGGTAAATAATATATAAAGTAGAGTTTTAGCCTAATTAATATAATAATAAAGAAGTTTAAATAGTATACTTTTTTATAGGAGCTACTTTAGGCTTTTTTATAGGAGCTACCCTAGGGTTTAAGTGTCCGCTGAAGTGATCTTGTCACGGCTGCACAGCAATACCCTCCAATCTGCAGATCACGATCGACGGCGTTCATCCTTCGACCGGGAACATTTCCGCTTTTCGGTTCCTGGACTACGTCTCGCCCGAGATTTCTGCCCACGACTTTCGGGTTCCCCCGGTGTCGCTCAAAGTACGGAATCGGATACCTAGGCTCTCTAGAATGTCCTAAAGCCCTATCAAATTGATTTCGGGCGTCTCCGAGTCTGGCCGCTCGCATTGCGGGTGAGGTCCAATCCAGCGAATCTGACGTTGACAGCACATCAAATTTTAGTGGCAGTTTCTCCCTCACCCATTCCCCTTCTCCGTGAATACTCCATGCGCTCACAATACCTGCCCGCGTCTCAAATGGTCTGCCACCTCATCTTAAAACCTTTCTCTCAACGCAGCAACCCTCCAGCGCTTGTTTTGGTGTTTCTCATCCCAACCATATCAATCGGTCTTCACTCTTTCATGTACCACCATGTCCTTCTTGCCCGGAGCATTAGCGGTGACGTGCGGCCGTGACGACAAACGCATCATCTTCCCTTGCTGTCTGAACGATTAAACCTCACGGATCTTCTCCCAAACAATCCTCGCCGAGATAGCCGTTCGCCCACCCCAACTACGACTCCGCAGGTCCACGGTTTCTTCTCTGCAAGTCTCCTCTTCCGGACGACCAATGTTCCATCCATTCAGGCGCGGTGGTCCACTGCATCCTATCCTCGCCGTAGCAGAAGCAGAGTGCGGATAGAAGAAACCGGTCATGTCGGGAAGAAGAAATGGCTGCAGGAGGAAAAGAAAGAAGGAACCCCCTTGTTGGTGCACCCAGGAACTCCACAGCGCGACAAGGTACTGAAACAACACTTGACAGATGTTTTGAATCTGTTGGCTCTCCGCCATACAGAGATGCCTTATTCATCTACTTGCTGCTGTATTCATTACAATCCTAGCTCGTCGTCGTCAAGGCCAGTCACGTTGGTCAAGATGGTCAAGTCCGCCAGAGCCTTGCGCCGCCCCGTCTTACCGGTCCGGGTCCGACGTTGGCTTCCTCCCCAAGTCTTGACGGCAGTACTGCCCAATCGAGACTTTCCCAGGTGATTCTCCTGGAACGTCGCACTGAGCTCGTCGACTCCGTTCCCTAGCTGGTTCTGGGCCTTGTCCTTTTCGAGCCTGCTGTTATGAACACGAGGTCCGTCATGCACCGCCTTTCTCTTCCCGGCTCGTCGCCGATCCACATGGTGCCCGCTCGACCCGTCCGGTTCGTTCATCGACATCTGCGGTCCGCTTTCGTCGGCAGCTCCCGCCGCCTCCGCAGATAGTTCTGGTCCGGAGTAGACTACGGAAGCATTCTTCTTTCCACGGCCACTCCTGCTGGACCGACGGAGAACCGTGTCATTGTTGGCGATGATTTCCCGGCGCTTCGCGGGACTCATAGCAATCCACTCGCTGATGCCTTCTTCCCATCGATAGCCTGAGAATAAGGCCCCTCTCGGCCTGTGGTGTCTCGTGAATCCTTTCTCGCTCGGCGACCCCCCCATCAGAGTCTCTGCAAAGATAAGATCTCGTAGATCGTCAGTCTCCTGAGCCAAAAGAAATGCACCGTCGGTCCGTAACTCTCTCAGTCTGGGGATCTGCAACTCTTCAGCCAGCTTGCAGACCGCGGCAAAGTAGTGACTAGAAGGCTGAGATGTTGCTTTGCTGCAACAATGAGCAATGGAACAAACAAGAGCAACGGTTGAGCTGTGCAGCTGAGGCTGTTTGGCCATGCCAGAAGTCTCGCGTGCCTGGTTCTCTTGGAACCATATTGTCTGCAATGCCGTCTTGGTGGCGATGCCGAGTGTCTCGATAGTGTCTGAGGAAAGGAAAGCCGCCAGCAATAATGGGTAGCTCGACTCCCTTCCACCGCCTTGGCTCATCACTAGTGCAATTGCCTCTCCGACGACCTGCAAGACTACTTTTTGTGTTCGATCTTGGCGCTGCTTCTCTGCCATGCCCGCCGCACTGCCGAAATTTTGGGACAGCATGGCCATGGCCGAGATAGCGCCAAGTACGCCAATCAAAGTCTGGAGGGCAGGGTTTTCCCTTGCGCTGGTAGCCTCCGGCGTGCGAGTCCTGCGCTTTCCAGGCGAGGACGTTGATAGTATTGATAATCCCGTGGATACGAATCGTATCGCCCAAGGATTGGTCTTGCCATCTAGTATCGACGACAACGATGCCGTCCACATGGAGCTGAATTCCTTCGTCGATAGTATGCTGGTAGAAAGCGGTCCTTGAAGTAGTAATTGCGAGATAGTTTTGAGTAGGTAAGAGCCCATGTGATCATCACCCACGAGGTCTGACAATAACACCAGGGTCTCTTGAGTGCTATTTTCACATATTCCGTGGGTCTTGGGTGGTATGGGATGAAAACGACAAAGCAAAGACTCCATGAGCTCCGCGGATTCGTGGTGGCAGCCAACTACCTTGCAGTGGTTAACCAGAATGCGAACAAAGGCATCGTCCAGGGTGCCATCGTCAACAACTACTCGCAAGAGGTGAATACCATGTGCCCTCAGCAGAACCCGGAGATGGCCCCAGCCATTGCCCGCGCCGCCTAGAAACTCCAGCTCGTCATAAACAAGGAGAGAGTAACCGAGTTTTCTCATCGATAAACCCTGGGCTTGCTTCTCGAGTTTCTCCCATGTCTCAACCCGCGAGGCATACTGGGGCACTTTCCGCAGGCACATTGACAGCAACGACTTCTTGCCGGCCGGGCACATTCGAGGTGACGTTGCATGTAGCAATACGTCCAGGTCGTGGAGGATTCCCTCATAAAGCTGATACCTCGACGGGGAATACATGTACCGTGATCGGCTCAAGTTGTTCAGTGCCGTGTCCAAGTGCCTTCGGCTTGCCATCCTCGTGATGTCGCAAGTACCTTCTGCCTCCTGACCTGTAACCGTAGAAGCCGGTGCAGTATCAAATTCGTGATACCTCACTTTGCGAAGAATCGGGGTCGCCACAATCCCAGGCTGTGGGGCTTTGGGGGTTTCTCGGGGCCGGTTAGATGGCTTCGTTGATAGATGGGCTACCGTATTGTTGCTGTTGACGGTGGAGGACGCCTTTCTCGAGTATGTGCGTTGAAGACCTTTTCTTTGGCCGACGGATACCTCCATGCCGTCCCTGGTTTTCAGTCTCTTGGTTGGTGGCTGTTCGCGAGGCAGGCTGCCTTCGCCTGGGCACAGTTCCTCTCCGGACCCCAGCTTCTCCATTGCTGCCATCCTCTCCAGAGCGGCAACACGAGATTGGAGGGGTCTCAAGAGTCTGCGACATCTAGAGGATGTCCATGGGAGGCTCGATAGACTGTCTTTGAATTCGCTCACATGTCGTGGACCCCGATCTCTTACTTCGTGGAGGCCGTCTGTCATCCTTGCGTCGAAGATAAGTCAACCGCTATCAGCTGAGTCAAAGAACAGGTAAATATCGACGCCGTGAAAGGAGGCCGCAAACAATGCTATGTCCGATCATGCGTCGAAATTGTTGTGCACAGGGCCGGCGGCGAGCTGCTAGCCGTCGACTGGCCTGATAGATACCTCTCGTGCCCTGATACAGAAGGTAGGCCGGCTTCGGTTCCAAGGTGCGTTCGTGTTGGGTGAAACCAGTCGTTATGGGTAAGGTCGATAGCGGTTGCGTTGCTGCGAGTTATGTTGTTGTTGTTGTTGTTGTTGTTCAGGTAACGTTTTGGTGTTGATATTGATGTTGATGCGGAAACATATGCTACGCCAGTTGTCAATCGCGGCGAATACGATTTGAAGGTAATCAAATGAAAGTTTAAAGAGTCACTGATGATGAGGCAACTGCTGCTACTGCTTGGAGCTACGTTGCTTCAGATCAATCACTGTCACCTTCTGTTTACTTCGTTCCTAATCGGGTAAGAATGCTTCGATTGAGAGCTAAACCCGATCGAAATCTGGTCACGTGTAAGTTTGGCCCCAACGTCGAAGTGTTCAGTATTACCTAAGAGCGGCCCGAAGGCCAGACACCGATAGGCCACCGCAGCCGTGGCGGCACGGGGCTCCTCCACATGGCTCAAGGGACGTTACGGAGAAACTGGGAGAGCTTTCTTAGCGGCGTGGGTCCGAAAAAACCGAAGCTCCAGTACGCCGGGCCGGTGCATTGCCGTCAATTGATGAATGACAACGCGACGTTTTTTCCTCCGATGAATTTTTTTTTTCGGCTGTTGCAGTTGCATGGCTCTCTCTGTCCTCCACACACACAAAAAACTCGCAACAGGTCGTCGGGTTCAATTTCTTTCCCTTCAGGATCCCTTTTTCTATTGCGCCACTCGGGAGGGGTACTTATTGACCCTCGTATCTTCTCCGTGTTAATTGTGATCCGTACTTGGGTGGTTTGTGCGAACAGTAAATTTCGACGAACCCCCTCTTCCCTTCACCGTTACTTGTCTCCCCCGCCAGGTATACAGCAACAAGTCTCTTATTGTGGCATAAAGGAAGAAGTTCCAATGGCCCAGTCCAACCAACCCACAGGCAAAGGTAATGCCCACCGCGACGAACCCCCGCCAATCCCCTGGTCGATTCGAAGCTAAAAAAGCTCTCTGTCCAGACAATGCCGTAAACGAGCCTGAGGTTCCTGTCGAGAGCCAGGTTGAGGCCGAGCCTGAGGGCGGTGAGATCGACCAGGGCCTCGAGTCGTTGATCACTCTCACCATCAAGCTGCCCCACGAGCCTGGTCAGATGCAGATTACGGTTAGCACCTCTGACTTCAATGCCCAGTACGCCGCTGACCGGACCATTGTAGGTCTCCCCCCAAGAGCAGGTTCACGAAGTCCGACAATCCATCATCGACTTGCCTGTGGCATTCCAGTACACCTGCTTCCACCTAGAGCACCGAGGCGAACGAATCAATGACTTCCTGCCCATCGCAGAGATTCAGGGCCTGACCGACGATCCCGAAGTGTCGCTGGTCGAGGACCCTTATACCGAGAAGGAGGCCCGTATACACCTTGTCAGAATTAGGGAGCTTATCGGTGCCGCCGGAGACCGTACCGACGTTGTTCAGGGTGTCCTGTCCGGCATCTCCCTTCTCGACGCCGTTGCGCCTCTGTCCGAGGAGGAGCAGACCAACGGGGAGCAAACTCAGCCTCAGGCGGTCAAGGAGACGGCTGATGATTATACCTTTGGTGCGCCCGTTCCTATCACGACTTTGTTGCCCCCGGCACCTGAGGAGGAGGCCCCGAAAACCATCAAGTCGATATCTCTGTCGTCGTGGAACCCCCCGCCCGCCCACCTGAAGCAACGAGGTCACCTCCTGTACCTCGTGACCACTACCAACGAGGGTGAGCAACATCAGATAACCGCCCACGTCGGAGGTTTCTTCGTCAACAAGTCATCCAACCAAAAGTTCGACCCCTTCCCCCGGCCTGCCCCCAAGGGCCAGGCCACTCACTCGCTGTTGACCCTCCTCGACCTGGTCTCGCCCTCCTTCTCGGCCTCTTTCCTGAAACTTCAGAACTTCAACAACCTCAAGGACCCGCTTGCGACTTTCCAGATCACCAATGCTATTCCATCGGCGCCTTGGATTGTGCCCTCGCCCTCGTCTGCCCTCTGTGCCCACAGCGCCGACTTGACAAGGTCGCAAGAAACGTACCTGATCGCAGGTGCCGACAACACCGATACCTTGCGTGACTGGAATGAAGAGTTCCAGTCCGCGAGAGAGTTGCCCAAGGACACCGTTCAGGACAGAGTTTTCCGCGAGCGCCTCATGTCCAAGCTTTTTGCCGACTACAACGATGCCGCAACTCGTGGTGCCGTCTTGGTCGCTCGTGGAGAGATCGCTCCCCTGAATCCAACTGAGTGTAAGGACGCCCAGATTTTTGTTTACAACAACGTTTTCTTCTCTTTCGGCGCTGATGGCGTCGGCACCTTTACTTCCGAGGGCGGTGACGAGGCTGCGCGTGTTGCAACAGGCAAGGATGTGGCCGGTGTTAGACTGGTCAATCAACTGGACATCGACGGCCTCTTCACCCCTGCCACTGTTGTGGTGGATTACGTTGGTAAGCGAATTGTTGGGCAGAGTATTGTGCCCGGCATCTTCAAACAGAGGGAACCCGGCGAAAACCAGATCGATTATGGCGCCGTGGACGGCAAGGAAGTCGTTGCATCTGATGAGCGTTTCGTGCCTGTTTTTGAGAAACTCTCACGAGCTCTTAAGGTTAAGAAGCATGCTGTGTGGGACAAAGATGGCAAGCGCGTCGACTTGGAGGCCAGCGTGGAGACCAAGGGTTTGATGGGAACCGATGGAAGAAAATACGTGCTGGATCTGTACCGAGTGACACCCCTGGACATCGACTGGCTGGAGGAGCAAGGCGAAAAGTCTGACGAATACCCTCACCGGATGGCTGTCCTTCGCCCAGAGCTGATTGACTCGTACGGAAGGAAGAAGATGAAGGCCTGGGTTGACGAGGAACTTGCCCGACGTGGCCAAACGCCAAAGGGGACACCAGCAGAGTCTAAGAAGGTCGAGCAGAGCAAGACGAAGCCAGAGGAGAGCGACGATAGTGACGGCAGCGAGGAGAGCGAGAGCGAGAGCGAAAGTGAGGATGAGGAGGAGCCGGGTTCTGCCAAGGAGGCCGCGAAAGACGAAAAGACCCAGAAACTCGGGGAGGAGACGGAGGCAGCGAAGGAGTCCAAAGACCACATTGACCTGTCCAAGTTCCAATTCTCTCTCAACCCTGACGTCTTCAGCGGTCAAGTTCCTCAAACTGATGAGGAGAAGGCCGAGATGATCAAGGATGAAGAGGAGGTTCGCCTTGCCTCCAAATATCTCCGGGAGCACGTCATTCCTGATCTGGTCCGCGAGCTCACGGACTGCGACATTAGCTTTCCCATGGATGGCCAGTCTCTTGGCCGACTTTTGCACAAGCGTGGTATCAACATTAGATACACCGGCAAGGTTGCGTCTCTCGCGTCGGATCCCCGTCTGCAATGTCTCAAGGATATCTGCGTGCAAGACATGGTTGCTCGATCATTCAAGCACGTGGCTTCGACATACCTGAGATACCTCCCGGCGCCTTTCACATCGGCTGCTGTTGCACACCTCCTTAACTGCCTTTTGGGGTATCGTTTGAACCCTAAGCCGATTGCAGAGATCGACGTGTCTCTCAGATCACTTTACTCTGACGCTGACCTATCGTTCGAGAAGGTCACGCCCGAGTCCCTTCGTGCTAGCATCGCAGAGCAGGCCCTCAAAAGGTTTAGATACCACTTGGACGCGAGCTGGCACACCGAGATCAAGCCTTTGCAGCTGCTGCGCGAAATATCTCTTAAGCTCGGCTTCCAGCTGCAAGCAAAGGCGTATAACTTCACCAGCAAGTCCATTGAGCAGGCCGCGCCCGCTTCTGCCACCAACGGCACCTCTCCTGCCAACGGCCAGACGAACGGAGACGGCAACAAGAAGAGCAAGAGGAAGAAGACGGCCAGAGAGTCTTCACCCACGTCTTCCACTCCGTCTCCTCCTGTCACCACCTTTATTGCTGACGATATCGTGAACATCGTGCCTGTGGTCAAGCACTCATGCCCGCGAAGTGCTCTCGCTGAGGAGGCTCTGGAGGCTGGTCGCATTTCTATCATGCAGGGTCAGCGCAAGCTTGGCCAGGAGCTGCTCCTCGAGTCGCTCTCCCTGCACGAGCAGATTTACGGCATCCTTCATCCAGAGGTTGCTCGCGTCTACAACACTCTCTCTATGCTATACTACCAGCTCGAGGAGAAGGAGGCCGCCGTCGAGCTCGCCAGAAAAGCTATTGTGGTATCGGAGAGGACCGTCGGCGTCGACTCTGCTGAGACCCTCCTCAACTACCTCAACCTGAGTCTCTTCCTGCACCAGGCTGGCGACAGTAACGGTGCCCTGGTCTTCGCCAAACACGCGTTGAAGCTATGGACGATCATCTACGGCGCCGACCACCCAGACTCAATCACCACGATCAACAACGGAGCCGTCATGCTCCAGCACCTCAAGTCCTACCACGAGTCAAGAATATGGTTCGAGGAGTCACTTCGCATCTGTGAGAAGGTCTTCGGGAAGCAGTCCATCAACGCAGCCACCCTTCTCTTCCAGCTCGCACAAGCTCTCGCCCTGGACCAGGACTCCAAGGCCGCCGTCAACCGCATGCGCGAGTCGTACAACATTTTCCTGACCGAGCTTGGCGCCGAAGACAAGAATACCAAGGAGGCGGAAAGCTGGCTGGAACAGTTGACGCAGAACGCCGTCTCCATCGCAAAGCATGCCAAGGATGTGCAGGCACGACGACTCCGCGCTGGCATCCGATTTACCCCCAAAGGCGCGCCTTACGATGCATCCGCAACCGCCCCTCGCGCTTCGGCGTCCTCGAGCACGCAGTTGGGTGGGTCGTCGGGCATGGACTCTCGCAGCATCGACGAGCTTATTAAGTTCATCGAGGGTAGTGACCAACAGAAGTCTTCCAAGGGAAGGCCGAGCAGGGGCAACCCCAAGAGAAGAGGCAAGGCCCCCAAATAAAGCCAGAAACGGAAAGAAACAACCAATAAGACCACGCGCCCGATCGTATATAGACAGGCACTTTTGTTGGTTGATGCTATAATGATACCGACACCGGGAGTTGACAACGTGCTGTATCTGTATCGGAAATAGGTGGATTGAGGCTGGGGCTTGTGTTAAATAATACTGGGATGGGATGGGTTTTGGCCGGTGCATATTTGGCGAGCACGATGAATCCCGGTGCGCAGGAAGAGTTGCACGGGGCGGATCCCGTCAGAATCACACTATCTTCACTCTTAAAACGCCGTCAACCACAGGCCGACTTGCAACTGTGCTTTAGCCTGCCCGTATGCTCATAATCTACGTCGCTTGCATCTGGAGCTGAACGCTAATCAGGTAGAAAGATATTCAAAATGTCATTTCTCGTCATAAAGCAAGCATTTATCATGAATGACCGTTCATGGCACTGGCTACAGAAATCCCTCGGCTCACAGGCGCATGATACGACCCGATACTTTGGAAACCCCTAAAAGATAGTCAGCGTTGAAAAATGCGGTGCTCGTTGCTGGTAAACTTACTTTGCCAGATCGAAACCTTGCTCCTCTTCGATCTCAGATGGATTTGACGGCTCGCTTGGTGCCTCTCGAGAATATTCCTTGTTTTGCGATCTTGTGGGGCTGAGATTGGGAGACTTGGCAGGAGGTGGACTGCTGCTCTGAGGTATGTCGCCCAAGGAAGGTTTGGAGGGACTCATGTCGAAGTGGGCTGCGGGCTTCAATGGAGTGCTGCCAATATCGGCATACTTCCAGAACGGGGCTGGTGAGCTAGTTGGCATATGCTGACTGGGGCGCTGCGCAGTGCTTGGTGGTGCGAGCCTGGGGTGAACGCGGTGAGGTGCTGGCGTCACAAAAGATGCCCCTTCCTCCGGAAGATAGGATGATGTCAAGGTCGGCGACTCCGCATTGTAACTCGTCGACGTGAAGCTCGCTGACGTTGACGTGCCCTTCCGCGGCCGCGGCAAAGGGCTACCATCTGCAGTCAACGCTGTGCTCGGGGGTGCAAGACGACGGGTGCTGCGGTCTGGCGTGGATTGCGCAACGGCGAGAGAAGAAGTAGGAGGCGGTGATCCTGTGGCGGAAACCTTTCTCTTCCGAGCGGAGACAGGTTCTCTGGCATTTACATCCCTCGGGCCGTGAGTGATATAATTTAGCTGGCTCGGTGACGACGGAGCTGAGGATCCCCTGTGACCGCCGCGGCCACCCTTGTACGCACTGCGTGCCATTTCCTCTCGCGCCTCTGGGACAATCTGCCATTTCATACCCTTGCCTGGCTCGTCTGTAGACCTCGCAACCTTGTCGAAAGCCTTGTTCAACGAGAGATTGTGACGAATAGAATTCTACTGTGGTCAGTCGGTGACAGATGAACATGAGTCACAACAAGACTAACCTGCCACCCAGCGGCTTGCTGATGTCTGTAGTAAGCATAGTTGTTCATGATGAAGTTGTAAATTCCGTTCAAATTGAGCTTTCCTTCGGGCGTCTTAATGATAGCTTGAGTAATCATCTGCGCGTAGCTGTATTGAGGTTTGATATGCTTGTTATCGTCGTGGCTCAGATCGATATCATTCGAATTCAGGACAAGAGTGCCGGAACTCGAGTAATGCGGCGACTTGTGTTGTGATGGGGTAGGTTTCCCGCGAACCGAGGGAGGGGTTCCTGGGCGCTTGTAGTCCACAGGAGCAGGAGCAATAGGTTGACGAAACTGCTGACCCCGCGAACTCCTGATCGTTGAGCCCAACGCCGATGAAGGTTCGTCCGGTAGGTCTGTCCTGGGCTGAGGAGGGCTCGTGGCGTCCTGTGGTGATAAGCCGGCTCTCCTGAGGTACTGGGGTTGAATGTGAAGGGAGCTGATCTCGGTTGGCAAGACGAACATCATCTCTGTGTTTCCAATGTCGAGAACGTCGCCGCTTTCTAGGCGTCGTGAACCTCCTGCTTTCAGGGGGTTCCCATTCACTCTGACTCCATTTCTCCCCTTAACCTCAAGGTACCACTTCTCTTCCTTGGAGCTGAAGTTGATGCGAGCATGCTGCCTGGAAACCATTTTGCTGGGACCGAGATCAATGTGAATGAAGTCCTCGTCATCCTCATCGACACCTTCGGCTAAGCGGCCGATGTTGACGACGAGTTTTGTGATGTAAAAGGTCCAGTCCTGCGCAGCTATTTTGGCGTAAGCCTGGACGCCGTTTTTGTTGGCTTCATGTATGGAATTCGCATGGTCTTTGCTGGCCTGAACAGGGCCCTCTTTGGGATAGACCAGATACTGGACAACCGCGGAAAGAAGCTGATCATTGTCATCACTGGCGGGATGGCCAGACTGGTCGGCAGTGAGACTTGATTCGTCCTCTTCGGCGGGTTCGGTCGGCGGTGGTTCCTCGATCTAGGAAGACGTTAGACTAGCCTGGTAGAGGGACAGCGGAGGGCGCAAGATTACCTTCTTGCGGCGTTTTGCCGGTCTTGTAGGCGAACTGTCATCTACTCTTGCGGGGGATGTGTCGCGACGGGTGTCACGACGGGTGCGCTGGGAGCGCTTTGCTGAGGAGGGCATTCTGCGGCTACGTCGAGTCTAGCAAAGCATGCGGCAACTCCAAGAGCAGGGCCCAGGCAGGAGAAGTTCCGGGGGCGCACGAGAAGACCAACGGCTTATGGGCGGCGGTCGGGTGGTTCAAGTATTCGGTCTCAGGCGATTCGGGAATGAAGAGCAGAGGTGGTGTCTCGTCACAGTTGTGAAGGCTGGGCTAACTCGGAGTTTGGGGCAGGGAAGTTCCAATGAGAGAAAGGGTGCGCAAGTGTCTATGTGTCTCCAACAGGTGAGACAGGGAGTGAATGTGAGGTGTGGTTGACTCTGGTAACTCTTGTCCTTTGAAGGAGACTTGGGAGAACGACGCGAGGCGCAAGCGCAGATGCCGAGCCAGGCTATCACTAGGTCGGGTCGCGGTCAGATGGCTGTGGCTGTGGCTGTCGAGTCGAGTCGAGTGTGCGGTTGCGCGTCGAACCTAAGGCCCCGGTCCGCGAAAGAGTTGAAGTCGCAGATTGCGGCAACGATGATAGTGATCTCAACGGGAAGTAGTAGGTAGTGGTAGTAGTGGTTGAGGATGTCGGCGGGCGGTTGGTTTGTGCAAGGGTTGAGATGCGGTCGCGCACGCGTCGCCCTTTTTTGGGAGGGAGGGAGGGGGGAAGGGCGTTAATTAAGTCGGGTGCTCGCCCTCAAGGCTTGGAAGGTAAGGTAGGCCAGTAGTAGTAAGGCACCGACCTTGATGTGCCCCGTCTCAGTGGAGGGAGCTGAGGAAAAGGCAAAAACAGCCCAGTGACGGCAAAGGTAATGGAACCTAAGGTAGGCAAATGTACATGGGTACTTTGCTAATTACGTGCATTGTGCGCGAGAGTCGCGTACCCCTGACTCTAGGTAATGGTCTGTGCAGTGACCCACCCACGTTACCTTACCTCAGCTTTTCATCCAGTTGAGTGAATGATTTTTCTTCTCCTGTTATCGGCGCCAGCAGTGCAAACTCACCAAATCCCCGTTCGATGAGCTGCTCTTGCTCGATCTAACAAGAAGAAGATAAGGCAATTGCTCGCCGAATCTACTATGCAAGCCCTTCCCTTTCGCCGAGGTTGGCTCACTCGTATGAGCTTCTCGCATTCGTAAACCCGATCCCTCAACCTTGCGCTGGAATTGGAAACCAATCAAGGGGGAGAATATCTGCTCTCATTCCAGACCAAGTTATCCCTTGGAGTTCCAAGTTACGGCTGTGTGTATGTGTGTATGTGTGTGAGGGAGAGAGAGGGTCTTTGGACTTTTGCGTGGCTCCCGGGGCCGAAATGAGGTAGAGATGACTCTGGGGCCTGAACATTATCTTCCGTCGATTTGGTCCATGTTGCTCCCTCATTCCAGTTACGAGGGGAACTACCATCCTATCGTACACTGCACCGAGCGCTGTAGGCATCTCACCACGTCTCTGGTTTTACGGGATGTCAGGGGTAATACTTGGGAACTATGAATGGGACAAACAATGCGAAGGCAAACATCACGAGTCCCCTCATCGTGGTGTTGACCGCGGTCGGCGGCATTTGACATTGCACCGTCAATTGGGCCGGAGAACACAGGCCCGGACCCACCCGGGGCCAACATCGGTGCCCACCTCAGCAGGTCAGATCCGCCCAGTCTACCTACCTTACCTACTTACCTACCTAAGGCTTACGACCCACCTTGGAACACCACGGATGGGAAATCAACTTGGACACTGCATATTCGAGTCACAGATCGACTTTCATCAACATGCATGAGATTATTACTCTGCAATTGGGTCAGCTAAGTAACTACGCAGCAACTCATTTCTGGAACATCCAGGTCCAACACCCGCAAATTTATTCGCATTTGAAGCTAACCCATTTTCCAGGAATCCTACTTCACCTATTCCGAGCAGGATGAGTCCCCCGTGAACCACAACGTCCATTGGCGTCCGGGTGTTGCTTTGGACGGCTCCGAGACCTTCCTCCCTCGTACCGTCATCTATGATCTCAAGGGCGGGTTCGGTTCCCTCCGCAAGATCAATGCACTATATGATGCAAGCGAGGAAGGCGCTCCCGCCCATCTATGGTTCGTCATGATGACAGACTGCCCCCAACTCTGAGTGACTCGCCATGTCGAAGACTAGCTGACCCTGAAGAAGGGAGGGATCAGCACACGTCCACAAGCAGCCTCAAATAGAGCAGAGCGCCTACCAGCAAAGTCTTGATCGTGGCACGCCTCCTCCGGCACTCAAGTCGTCTGACGTGCGGTACTGGTCTGACTTCTCTCGTGTCTTCTACCACCCAAGGTCTCTCAATCAGCTCTACGACTATGAGCTTAATTCATCCATCCAGCCTTTCGACAAATGGGCGCTCGGCAAAGAGCTTTTTGACACCCTGGATAAGGAGCATGACATCGTCGACCGAGACTTCCGTCCCTTCGTAGAGGAGGCCGACCAGATGCAGGGTCTTCAGGTCGTGACGACCATTGATGACGCCTGGGGCGGCTTTGCGACCGACTACATTGAGCGTTTACGCGACGAGTATGGAAAGACAAGCATCTGGGTCTGGGGTTTACAAAGCCCCGTCCCTGCAGCTAGAATTGTACGAGCCGTCTAGCCTCTACCTACCCCCTAGCAACCCTGTTTTGACTCGACCCTCGTCACTAGGATCAAAGACGCACTCAAATGGCCAACACGGCGAGAACTGTCAAAGATATGTGCGAGTACGCTTCCATGCTGGTGCCCTTGGCACTCCCTCAGACTCGACTGCACTCCAGCATCAGCATGGATGTCCAATCACCCTGGCACAGCACAGCCCTACTTGGTACCGCGATAGAGACGGCAGCGCTTGCATCGCGTTTGAGTCACATGAATTCTCGCAGCGGCGTACAGGCAACACTGAGCGATCTCGTCAGTGGACTAAACCTGCGTGGCAAACAGACGATGAGCCGGCTGCAGATGAGCGTCCATGGACCAATTTCAGACGAGAACGCCGAGTCTCAAGAATCACAGACAGCTTCCAACAATGATGAGGACACCATCACCAAACTGGACACCGACTTCTTCGACATACTGAGACACAAACTCTCAGCCAGCAGAGGGAAACTAAACGGCGCGACTGGCTCCCCTCACTTTTTCGGTCGGACTATCACTGTTCGTGGCCGACCGAGGGGCCTAGATAGCGCTGACCCGCAGGCCGAACGAACGAGAACTGCACTCGTGGAGACGAGCACAAAAAAGTAAGCCCGGGGAATGATTTAAGCCTCTGCGAGCGTTTGTAGCAGAAACTTAAATATTCTCTAACCAGTTCGCCACGCTGACGGTGTCTGCCAGGTACCATATGGAGGAAGCTTTCCCTATTCTCGACAGCTTCCCTCAAATCTATCTTGATTCCAGAGGCAATCCCTCAACAGGGCCTTTCGACACTACAACTTGCCTCTCAACAGACACCTCTGTCTCGGCCGCAATGACGTCACTTCGTGCTACCGTAGCGTCTTCAATTGGGTTAGAGGATCGTGAGGATATTAGCAATGAGTTAGCTGATCTCGCTGAGGCGTATCGCGAAGGTTGGTCGAGTGGTAGTGATGATGATGATGATTGAGGCAAAAATCATGTCTGCTCGGATCAATCACGCGAACCGGGCATGAAAGCACAGGACAGCGACATCTAAAGGCAGCTTTCAAAAAACTGGTCCACAGATAGAACTGAACTTCGGCAAGTGTGATAATGCAGAGTCTATTTTTGACGCTGTCTGTGGGATATCTAATTTACAGTCAAGCCTCGCCAGCTATATGAGCATAAAAGATGTTGCAATGGATACAAACCGCATGCTCCCCTTTTCACCGTCCTTTTGGATGCCAGTTTGTTCCTGGATTTCTCTTTAGTAGTCTCTGCTCAGCCGAGCCAGCTTGTAAAACTGCCCTTGGCTGCCATACCAATGCCAAGATACGTACTGGTTGTTTTTGGTTCCTTTTGAAGTTCCCCCCGAGTCTGGCGGCAGTTTGGGGGGCTCTCGTCTGCGGGCGGTCCTGCTGCGTATCGCCAATAGGTTTCGCAGCTGGCACCAGGCAGTCTAGATGGAAAATTACCGTTCTTTTTCCGCTGCAAGTTAGTAAGTGAGGGGTGGGGGAAAATACAGCGACGGCTGGCTGTCGTGGCGACCGTAATCCCGGAGACGGGGCCTAGACCCCAATCACCTTGAAATGAGCTGTGTGACGTCGTAGCTTGAGATACCCCATCAACTAGCAGCTGTGACGGAGGCTTGTTGACGCTTGGCAGGCGGTTGTTGATTCTCCTGAGTGACATGTCAGCAAGGCACTTGTGGTGAACCGCGACAGGGTGGTGATGAGCCATCCGCGAAAGCTGAGAATTCGAGCCTAGCTGTACCTCTGAAGCACTGCGTTTCTTGATCGGTGCAGCACCGTTCGTAGCTGCTTGCCTTCTCTGGGGCTTTTGGGGCTTCCTCTCGCCCGGCTCGAAAACGTCGTCGGGTAAGTTGAAACTAGTTGCAGTTCAGCGATTCCGCCTGGAGAATCAACAGCACATTGGAGCTACCTTCGCACGTGCTGAACTGTTAACGAGTTCAGTTCCGGTTTGTATTTGTCCCATGCTGTACACAACGACTTGAAGGTGTCCACTTGGTAGGATAGATCGAGGGATTTGGCGCCTGATAAGTCAGTATCGATTACGCCGTGGCCATTCATCCAATCGGGGACTTTGAAGTAATCCTGACGAGAGCAGTACACACCTTCGCTAAGCTGCAGCCCAATGTAATGCGTTGTCGTGAACACTTCCGTATGGGAGTGATGCTGCTCATGATCCCCCAGTTTGACCTTGGACACATCCTCATCCTTGATGGATTTCACCGCGTTGTCTTCTTTCTGAAGTCCCGGAATGGCGTCGAGCCCTGTTTCGGTACCCGGCTCCGCCTTGAGTCCAGGGATGCCGTTCAAGTTGACCTTTGTTTCCACCTTCTCTTCTTCCACTGGCGTCTTCTCTTTCGCATTTCTCGGGATATCCACAACTGGCTCATCGCCATCCCTGACCAAGAAGTCGAGACTACCAGCTTGAACTCGTTGCACGTCTTCGTCGTTGGAACACCTGTGCCGGCGATCGTAGCCCTTGTTGAACGCATGGGCCAATGCTATTGACAGATGCTGCTCCAGGTTCTGGACCAAGACGCGCACCTTGGACTCCACGTAACCGGACCAGACTTTGTGCGCCTCCTTGTCGGTGCTTGCAGTGATGACTGAAATGTAGTATTTGTATCCCTCAGTGAAGAACGTATGCTTGACAAACAGATCGCTCCAGGGGCTCTTGCCGATCATAATGTTGTCCGTGATGTCGCAGCCTCGTGCAAGCTCCTTCCCAATGACAGTCATGGCCGAGCGCGTGATGTTGTAAGTAGCGCACATGGAAGGGTAGGCGGGCGTGATGATAGGCATCAGATGGAATTGGTCTCCCTTGTAGAGCTAGTGGAATTGTCAGCGTTTGTCCTGATACAATATGAATGAGTACCATGGCCAACCTTGGGATTCCACACGCGAACCTGCAAAGGGCCGCCCTCGACGTGCTTGAGGAGGACTGGTTGTGGCCACGGCCAGCGGCGCATGATGTGGAAAAACTTATTCACGATGACGGAACTGGCAGCCTTTGGGTACAGCTGACAGACACGCGCAACCAGCATTGCCCACGCTACACCACCAGGGAAGCCCATGATGTTGGCATAAATTGCGCGCCGCTGTGCCCAAAGCTTGATGGCGCGCAAAGCCAGTTTGAAGGTGGCCTCCTCGGGCACTAAGCTCAAGATCTCGTCGGTTACCCGAGTGCCATTCAAAGATCGGAGCTCTGCCTCGTCCAGACCTCGAAGCAGGCTGGAGTCCCGCACAGAAAAGTCTTTGGGCAACTGCTTGAGCATAGCGATGCGGGAGAAGATAAGGTCGATGCTAATGCCCAGAAACTCGAACTTGATGATGGGTACGAAGGCATCCGTCACGACGGCCATGTCCGTAATGGCGCCGGGCGGAGCCATCTCCTTCAGCAAATCGGGGAAGATATCGAAGTAGTCTTTCCGGGTGACATACTTGGGGGCGACGACGAGGGTATCAATGTCGGAACCGGGTCCGAAAACACCAAGACGAAAGCTACCGTAGGTCAGGATTTGGCCCCTCGCGTCTCTAATGATGATATCGCCTTCTTTGTTTTTCTGCGCCACTCGTCTCACGAATTCGTCGCAGATCAGCTGGAGCTGGTGGATAACCTTGTGTCTGTAGATCGCGAGAACGCATTAGCGATGGCGAGTCTTAACGCCGTAGCGCGGGTGTTGTTGTGTCTCTTGCCTCTTTGCAGTCTCTGCAGGGCTCTCGTAGGTGTTCTGCCTGCGAAGCTCTGCGATGAGAGCCTCCTTCGCCTGGTTCTCTGCGTCGGTCGGTAGAGCCGTGGAGATGGGCGGCGTCACGCCGTAGGCTCGCTCTTCGCTGGCCATGGTGCTGCTGCTGCTTCGGAAGGAATCGAAGGAGGGTCGCAAATAACGTCCAAGTCGAAGATGGCGTTTGCCGGAGGGGCACCTGGCCTAGTTATGATGTGTGAATGCCACGCGTTTGCCGCAGCGAAGGGTGCTCTAGACAATAAGGTAGTAGGTAAATTAAAAGACGAGTGACAGCGAGGCTAAGACTTGAGCCAGTGCAAAAGATACCTTGTCTGGCCGGGGTTGGAGGCAGGATGGAGAAGTACAGGGAAGGCACGGTAGAAAGACTCGAGTGGGAGACCCCGGCCGATCACCCAAGGTTCCTTACTTCAGAAGCTAGACGCGAGGCTCAGGCGTGTCGCGTCAAACGCGGCACTATCTCGGGTGATTACATAAGATACCCACCTCAAACTGCCTACACTTATGGTAGTAGGTTAAATATGGCACCTGCGCGCGGATACCTGAAGCGGCCAAATGAGTACGTTTGTTTTCTGCACGTCATACATATATATTAGAGACGACAAATTCTTTCACAGTTGCTACTGCTCCCACCCACTCCACCCGCATCAGTTCCGAACCCAGGGTATTTCAGAGAGCCATTCCTACTCCTGTTATGCCTAGACGCAAACCCGGTACTTCAGACAAGCAACCATGCGATACCACTCAGTAGTCCGATGCCTCCAACCATTTCCAAAGCACTCTGCCATCGAGAGTCGGGCCTGAGTTGCAGGAGACCCAGCGGATCTTGGTCCCTCACCAGCACGTCCGAACCCGTGCTGTATCTCCTCCGACTGACGTAATGCGACCTGTCGACCCGTCCCCTAGTTCGCATCAACGCCATAGGTGGGCGTATACCATCCGACGACGGGCCGCCATCACTCCATGTTTCCCTTGCCCATGCCGCAGTCTGCTCCCGCACTCTTCGTTCCTGCATCGCTCGTTCGTTCGTCAGGCTGCGCTGTAAGTCCGCAGCCCAATTTGTAAACTCGACACGGCAAAAGCACTCTTCGCGCAGAGCATTGCCCTGGGATCGGCGTACTGCCAATGGCGCCAAGGAACCAGTTCTCGCGAGAAGCAATCTTGTTTCTGTCGAGGAATTTGACGGCGCGGTGAAGGCAGGAAACGTGCAATTAGTGATTGCATGTCGGCGCCAACTAAGGAGCTTCTTCGCTGCGCTATGGCGCACCCACCCGGCCCCATCCGAACTGAAAATGCAGCTCAGCAGCTTGGAGAGTTCTGTCGGAATGAGAGGTGAGACATATTCAGAGCTCATGAGGAGACTCGCGTCCATGACATCCCGATCAATCCCCATCTCGCTGGAGACTGCATAAACAGTTGGTTCCTCAGCGTGTGAATCCAGCGAGGCAAAAGTCAAGGATTCAAGACCCGACTCGACAAGCTGACGCGTGATTAATGCTTTGCTGTTAGCAACCTCCTCAGCTGTCATCGTATCTCCATGCGCGAGAAGAGGTATCACATTTGTGAGCGGCTGTAGCTGACGAAGATACTGTAAGTCAGTTGAGCTAAGACCTGGGGTTTTCAGTCAGTTCAAGGACATCAATCCCCTCAACATACTGACCTGAACTGCATATCATGTAAAGTACAGCGTCAACAAAGAGGCCGCCGCCACCATCGATTGTCTTGAGAACATCGGCGTCGTTGAGGCCGTCGAGGCGATTCTTCTGCAGATGAGACTCAATGTAGTGCGAAACTTGACTGACCGTCTCAGAAGGCTTGTTTGTCAGTATCATAACACAGACCTATATTCAAGTGATGACATACCCGGCATGTTTCCTGATAACCGGGTGTGTCGACGAGGCAGATATTCCTATCCAAAACTGCGTCTCCAGCACTCCCGGCATTGGACACCGAGTTTGCCGGAGTCGGCTCCATCCACCACGATGGATATGGCTTGGTGCTGGCAAATGTCTCCGTAATTTGGAAAGTTCCCTGGGCCATCGGAGGATAGCTGGAAAGTGCATTTGTCGGCAAGAGTCCTGTGGACGCAATCGCAACGGGCACTGGAGGATCGACGTGTACGATGTGCTCGCAAGAGTGTGTTATCGCTTTGATCAAGCAAGATTTCCCGAGGCCTGGTGATGTACACTACGGTTAGCTACAGGTCTAAGACGTTATGGGATCAGTGATGCCCACCTGATTTGCCCGCCACGAGAAGTTTCAGTCTTCCTAGCGACTTTCCAACATCGGTGAAGGGCCGTCGGCTAGGAACATTAATGGTCGGCATGATAAACTGCTCTGCAACTTCGCGACCGTGAGTGCTCTGAGGTTGACTGGACTCGGATGCGCCGAAGGCGCTCATGACGAAACTCTCTTGGTATTCGGACAGTGACCCCGCTAATGAGTTTCGCCGCGACGAAGAACTGCTAATGGCCGAGCAGGGACCGGAAACACCGTATAGTATTGGTGTCATGGGCTGAGATGCAGCTGTGGGCGGTGGAGTCTGCAGCCTAACTGGGGAGCGACAATTTGTATTTGCTGGTCGATGTTGACCGTGTTCACGGGGTTGCAACGTCGAACTAGGACGAGGAACAGGCGGACATGTAGGCGGAGCCGCATTTGGTTCACGACTAGGCGCAAGGTTGTCGCCAAGAAGGTTGTAAATGGGGTGCTTTCGCGGGTCTCGAGCACGAGGTAAAGGAGAATGGCGATAAGACGATGACAGAGAGGCGTCCACGGCAGCTTCGTCTGCGAGAATATACGACATCTGGGGAGTTGAGGATTGCGACGTCAAGCTGTCGGTGGCCCCATCACCTGCCGAGGCGCTCCTTGGGAGCGCGCTGCTACCAGGAAGAGGTCGCATCTCGAGACAGATATCAGTTCGCGTCGTTGATCGAAAATGACAATCCAGTAGGCACACGAGCTCAACGCATTCGAACTGGCGTGCAAGCGTTACGTAGGCGTCGTAAGGCCAGGAAGATGTTGACGGGAGTTGCAGGAGTGCGTGAGATGGATGGTGTCAGTGATAAGGTTCATCTTCTATACCCGCCTAAGGTATAGGTACTGTACAGAGTACAGGTAAGGTAGATGAATACCTAAGGTACCTTAGGCACTAGTGAAGATGATAGGAGATCCAGCGGGACAGGCCCAATATCGTCGTCTTTCCGCACTTGATACGGAAGTGGCGTCTGGTTACTTGCCCCGTACACTCAAGGTGCCTTACTAGGAACCTTCACACGCATTTGAACGTTCTTAGCCAAAGACGCAAGATAGTGAAGTACATGGCCGGTATAGTTTTCTAGTGCGGGGTTGGTGGAGATTTCCAGATTCACCGTATTCACGTTGATGGCAAGGGCAGGTTACGTAACGTTCTTTACATTAGGTAAGCATGGACCACTGAACCACCTAAGGTACCTTACACTGGCACTGCGCCCCACCTCAGTGACATGATGCGGGCCACCACACTGCCCAAGGCGACGGTGCCCTACCAAAAACCCAGGGCAGCTTCTCAGGTGGGCAGGTGCTACCTAGGGACCTACCTAGGTTACCTAGAGTACTAAAATCGTCCACAGATAATAGAGGTACACAGGCAGTTATAGATCATTAAAATAGCATACTTATCTAAATACTTATCTTAATAGTGAGTATATATAGCTTAAATAAGTATATATAAAGAGTAGCTATATCTTTAAGTCTTATAAAGGCCCTTATAAATTATAAATAAATTTATTATATTATTTTAAGTATTTGTTTTTATATAAAATACTAAAAGAAAGAAAATATTACTTTAAAATAGTGCTATAGTTTATAAGACTGTAGTAATAAAATGAGAGTTTTCTAGCTCTTCTATAAGGCGCTAAATGCTATAAGTTTAACTGTGAAGTTAAGTTGTAGATAAGATACCCCTCACTATTCCGTTTTCCATTCCAGACGAAGCGCAGCCATATTTGTACTTGCGCTATCCATTTGAACGCTGAACACCAATATCGTTCCGTCGCCTTTGAACACCCAGACCTTCGCCTCGTCCAGAACCAGTCGCTCTCGTCATCCTTGGTTCCTCAAATTGCGCGCCGCCAAGTAAATTCGACTCCAAGGCGACGTCCTCCGCGAACTGCTGGTGCTCTTTCCGGTTGAAATCCCAGCCAACGATCCCAAATCAGCGACGCGACGTCTTCGCAGACGCCCGCATCCTCAAGTATGGACGGCAAGAGACATCCAAGCTCGTTCCAGCAGCTCGAGAAGCTGGGCGAGGGAACCTATGCTACAGTACGTTGAACGCAGTATCCTCAGCATGTTGTGGCTGCGGACTGACAACTCTTCTAGGTCTTCAAGGGCCGCAACCGACAGACGGGAGAGCTCGTTGCTCTCAAGGAAATCCACCTAGACTCGGAAGAGGGCACACCATCGACAGCGATTCGAGAGATATCCCTGATGAAGGAGCTCAAACATGAGAACATTGTTGCCCTGCACGACGTGATTCACACCGAGAACAAGCTCATGTTGGTGTTTGAGTACATGGACGGAGATCTGAAGAAATACATGGATACCCACGGCGATAGGGGCGCTCTCAAGCACCACCAGATCAAGTCTTTCATGTACCAGCTGCTGAGGGGCATTGACTTCTGCCACCAGAACAGAGTTCTACATCGAGATCTGAAGCCCCAGAATCTGCTTATCAATGGGAAGGGGCAACTGAAGCTTGGCGATTTTGGCTTGGCTCGCGCCTTTGGTATTCCGGTCAATACCTTCTCTAATGAGGTTGTCACCCTCTGGTATCGAGCACCGGACGTGCTCTTGGGTAGCAGGACATACAACACCAGTATTGACATTTGGTCTGCCGGATGCATCATGGCGGAGATGTACACCGGTAGGCCGTTGTTCCCAGGCACGACGAACGAGGACCAAATCATCAGAATTTTCCGCATTATGGGAACTCCGACTGAACGCACCTGGGCCGGCATTACGCAGTTTCCCGAGTACAAGCCTACGTTCCAGATGTATGCAACACAAGACCTCCGCCAGATCCTTCCACAGATCGATCCCAGCGGTATCGACTTGCTCCAGCGAATGCTCCAACTACGTCCCGAACTGCGTCTCAGCGCTCACGAGGCTCTTAAGCATCCCTGGTTCAGCGATATCGTGATGCAGCAACACCAGCAACAAGCCCTGCAAGCACAAGCAAGGGCCTATCCAGGCCAGGGACCATACGACACGTACTAGTACGCTATCCCAGGCATCATGTGGCGTACGGCACGGCTTGATATCAACTTAGTGCGGGAGATTAGAAGAACGCAAAGTGCAACTTGATTCATAACTTCACTCACTACGGCATCGATGTCAGCAAGGGGGAGCAGGGGAACCTCAGGGCTTCCCATGGGGTTAGGGGAGCGGTGTTTCTGAGCAACCCAGAGAGAATGCGAAGAAGGGAACTTTCTTAGATCATTTGGCGTTTTGGGACAAAACTAAAGTGCCTACTTAGGGTTGTACTTCAGTTCTATTCCTTTGTTCTTGAAAGATTGTGACCAATGTACACGAGGGCCAAGCTATGCGGCCATCTAATCCCCCCCCCGGGAGGCCAAGGAATAAAAGACCGTCATTCCTTGTGGACCAGACTGTCATCCACCGGGCTCTTGAATTGCTTCGTCTTAGGTTCCCGCTCCCAAGTTTCCGCCAGAGCGAATGCTGGATCATCTTCGGGATAACCCGCCCTCACTCTAAGCTTCTGAACCATGTCCCTGACGGTCTTGGCAACCTCTGTTCTTAGTTGGATGGCCTCGGGGTTGTGCTTCAGCGCTTCGGGAACCTCCCCAGCGCTCAGTGGTCTGCCGAGTGCTTCCTCTTGTTTCTTCACCATGTGCTTCCACCTAGACCGCGAATCCCTAAAGGCCTCGTCGACATCGACTGCGTCGCCGTAGATGACGCGAATTTTGGCGCCTACACGAGGCAACCACCGCGGCCATTTCCTATCTTCGGGCATGATGCTCTTGAAACCGTCGATGAACATGGGGACCAGCTGAGGAGCTGGGTCGGACTCAAGGATCAGGCGTGAAACTCCCCATTTGAAGTACCTCAGGGTACTTTGGGGGTGCTGGTGCACGCATCCCTCCGGAAATACGTGGATCCAGGCGTTGTGGTTGTTCGAGTAGAATGCTGGCGATGCAAAAGTCTCGTTACTCCCGGCATTGAACACGGAGCCACGAGTGTATACCGCGCCTGGTCCAGAGAGAATGCGAACAGCCTGTGCCATGGTTGGTTGATAAAGGCCACCGTACGGAGAATACAGTGTACGGTAAGTCGGCAGGACTTGACCAAGAGTGAAGAAGGAGGTAAAAACGCTGGCAAGAAGAAAACAAGCGTCAGATCGATCAAAGACTTGTAGTCGCGAGGGGAGGTTATAGACCTGTTCTTGAAGCAGATGTCGTGGGCTCCCAAGCCCCAGCGACTGCTTGCGGGAATTGTGTTGTACTTCAACGGCAAAACGCCCCATATCAAGGGGTCATCCAGACTGCGATATCGGGATGCGTCAGCTTGACGCAATCACGACAGACAGGATGAAATTCAAACCCACACGCTGATGTGATTCGAGACTGTGGTGGGAAACAAACAGATCAGCAATCAGTGCCGTCAACCAGCAGAAACGAAGGGTAACAATCGAAAATAATACCAGTGATGAGACCACGTTCAGGGGGTTTTGCTCGGCGTTGGTCCAAGAGGTCTAGAAATTGCGATTGGCCTTCCGTTTTGACATCGTGGAAGGTCAATAAGAATGCCCGAGAAAGTGCCCCTGTCAAGGTCATGATAGCCGACGATGCTATCCGCCATGGTAAACTAGGCTGATCTGGCGGTACATCGGTAGCCGGCATGATTCACGACCGACCGACGAGTATGTGATTGAGGTAGAGCCCAAAGCAAATCGATGAGTGATTGTAAGGATGGAAGAGAGAGAGAGAGAGAGAGAGAGATGCGCCTAGACTACGCGCTGGCGACCGCAAGGGAGGCAACACGATTGAAATTCAGCGACGGCGTCATCCAATCCACCACTGCGAATCAACGCAAAGAATGGCAACCAAGAGCGTCCTGGGCAGCCTACGGTATAGCCGTCTCTCGACAGGGCAACGGGCAAAAGAACTTATGAGGCTGTATGCACTCTGGATGGATTTACACTGGCTAGGTACCTTTAAAAGGGACAACCTTAAGCTCGCCTCCACTTGAAAAAGATCTGGGGCTCAACAAACGGGTGGATCGCTCTAGTGCGATTATTTCGCTAAAAGAATTTTTGAGCTTCGTACATGCATGCGTCCCTCCCATCCCAACGGTGGATCCCTACCCCTGTGACCTAAGGTACCTAAGGCAGTTAGGTAAGGTAAGGCAGGTTGCCTAAAAGTACCTACTCCCATACAACCTTCGTTCATTTCATTCTAAGTTACGCGCAACACAACTCAGCTTTTGGATGCCCAAGCCCAATATCCGCTGGAAAGGATTGAACCCCCCGGAATCGAATTGCTTGAGCATCAAGCTTACAACAACAATTATGGCCCACAGTCAGCTCAAGGACCCTTTCCCTATCGATTATTTACTGCTTATTAACGGCTGCCAGGCAAAAGAAACACATCGCGCAGTGTCTTCACCTCTCACGAGCGTGATCTGGCCAAGGCCGCATGGTCTTCGACCTCGGCTCGGCTGAACAGGGATTCATTCCTCACCTTCGGCTCATGTTACCTTTGCCTCGAGATCGCCAGAGACCCCGTATCTTGCAGTCACGGAGACATTTTTTGTCGAGAATGTGCTGTTGCGAATCTTCTATCGCAGAAAAAGGAGATCAAGCGTCTGGAGCGGGCTCGAGAGGAAGCCGAGCGAGAGATTCTGGAGGCTCATGCCCGCCAGGACGCGGAAGCGCAGGATCGCGCCATCCAAGAATTCGAGATGATACAAGCTGGCTTAGCACCGTCTTACTCTAATTCCGAATCGGCACCTGCATCGTTTTCGCCATCTTCTGCAACGGCCGTGGCTAAAGCCGATCACAACGCATCGGTAGCGAAAACGGGGACGAAGAGAAAATTCATTTTGGATCAAGACGAATTGGTGAGAATAGCAAATGAAGATCGCATCAAAGCGAGGAAGTCGATTGACTATGAAAAGGTCGGTTACGCGGCAACATGCCATGATCCCATGATTTCCCGGGTATTGTTCTGACTCTATCTCAGGCCTCTAAGGGGTCTCTACCGTCTTTCTGGACCCCCTCCCAGACTCCTGACGCCGACGCAGCCCGCAAAGCAGCAGGCATGCTGAAAAAGACCAAACTCAACCCTATTTGCCCAGCGTCGCCAGAGGCATCTCCGCATCTCTACTCCCTCAAAAGCTTGATCTCGCTCTGCTTCAAGGAAGAGGCTGACTCGAAGACGAACGGCACGAGGCGTGTCTGCCCGTCCTGTTTGAAGACCCTTGGAAACGCTTCAAGACCCCAGCTCGCCGAGAAGTGTGGCCATGTCATATGTAGGAGCTGCGCTGCAAAGTTCATGGCCCCTGTCAAGGGCAGCGGTGTTTCTCCCGAAGACACCGCGTGTTATGTTTGTGATGCGAGGCTTGCGACGGATACGAAGCAAAAACACCGGAAGCAAGAGTTTGCAGGACTAATCGAGCTTCGGTCCGAGGGCACTGGCTTCTCCGCGCGGGGGACGAACAAGGTTGAGAAGAGCGGTGTGGCAGCATTCCAGTGCTAGGAGAAAATGCCTCGAACTCCAAGGTGGCACTATCGACTAGACGCGACACGGACAGCAGTGCTGTTCCCGAAACGAATACAAAGAGGGCTCGTCGCATGCGGGCGGAACAGTTGTTCAAACAGAGCGGTCTTCCTCGGTCTTGAAATGAAACGGAGGGTGGTAGAGCCTCAGATGAGCCTGAGAAACATTTGGCGAAAGCGCTGCAGTTGGCCCCTCGCGGCGGGCGATTTGCTGTGCATCAGGACCACCAAGAAGACGCCGAAGCGAATGACCAACTTATGGATGATACCCTTGGACACCATGGTCAAACCGTGGCTAAAGAAGCTTTTCAACACTTCGCCTTGGAGGCCGGCATACAGTGCCGTTACACCCTCAGCTCTAGCGATGGAGAGAACGAGGGCTAGAACGCTGTAGTCGGCCATCCTCTCGAGCTTTCCTCGCGTTTGGGGGCCTTCAACGAAAGATGGGCTTGTCGGGCTTTTCTCGGACCCGGTACCTAAGCTATCGGTGCTCCTCCTTGGCGAGGAAGTACCGGAGCCTCTCATCTGCAGCCTGGCCTTGGCAGTCTGCAGAGGATAGCTAATGATGGTGGCGATGGCCTTGCTCGCCGCGGCGAGAAGGAACGTAGTCTGGTTGTTGTGCGAACCCTCTTCGGAGTCTGGTAAAAGCGTCTTGCCCAGCTTATCGTTCAGGAAGAAGGTGATGCTGGGGTTGATAGTCAGGAGGAGAGAAGCAGAGTACCCAGCCCAAAGACCCTTGACGCCGTTTTCAGCACGAATCGCTGCCATAATCTCCCAAACGCTCAGCTTCTCGTCCTCTTCATGCATCATGGCCGATGTTTGTTTCCTCGTGACGACGTTCGCGATTGGAGTCGTAAAGGCCCTCGCGCAGGCACCTGCTAATGCCCCAACAGCGAGCTGCTCGAAAGCCGGCAGCTTGCTACCGCGGGCACGGCGGCGGGTGTCGCGGAAGTATGCGTAGAAAAGGAAGAATAAGAACGAATCCGCCACGGACTTGAAGATGTCCTGAGCCAGGCCTGTGTACAGCGCCGAGACGCCGCCCTCCTGCTCCACGATGGCCTTGATAGCATGAAGGACCCCCCGGTACTGTTCTTTCTTGGATATGGAGTCCTCCCGCCTCAGCTGGCGCTGGACCTTGAGGCGCGTCGTTACGAGATCGAGGGGGTACACGGCAGTCGTGGAAAATGCCGTCCCCGTGGCGCCCGCAAGGGCATGACCCAAAGCTTCGAGCACGCCAGTAGGCATGATGCAATCGGTGTGGAGGGTAGGGCGACGGGAATAGTGTCGTAGTGATTGATTCGAGATGTACACCTAATAGCAGTGTCGTCGATGGGTGAGCAAAACTCACAGTGGTATTTCGACTGGTTGATGTGTAACGGTTTTTTTTCGCTCGAAATCGACACGCCAATCGACACAGACTTGTTCTCTCGCTCGGTAGGTGTTTGCTAAAAAGTAGAAGGTGTATTGCGCGAGACCTTGCATGCGAGGGTATCGCAGTTTGACTGACCCCTACCTACTTAGCTTATTTGAAAAGATCGCAAAAAAAACCCATCATTGCCGAGGTGTTGATCTGACGAGTGGCTGGTCAGGAGGTGCGGTAGTACGAATCTGGGGTAGTGTGTCGACGTCATCAGCGCGTGAATATCAGCGGCATAATTCCGCATGGGGAGCAACCCACAATGCCATGTGATAAGGATATCGAAATTGAGCTAGCACAATTTGGAGTGTATGCGTTACCTCGACCACTGAGTTGTCTAAAAGTGCTCCTAGGCTGTTGTTCAGTTATGCACAGTTATCAATGCTTCTTTCGTCGGTCGCAAGGTTGATACACCAGCTTGCTGTTCAATATATTCATTCTAAAGGCAGCTGAGAGTCTCGTTCTGATGCCCGCAATGCCGTTCCTCTTACCATTTACAACGAAACCCCAAGCATTACTTGAGTTTGACGTCGAACCGCCCAAACGCCGCTGCTAAAGAGCCGAACTTCCAGACGCAATCAATTGGTATCCCCCGAATCCATGACGCCTCCCCCTTTCGTAAAATGCATGAGCCCGTGATCCAATCCCCGAATGCAAACCCAGTGATCCTTAAATAAAATGCCGCGTGATAGTTGAGGTCGTTTTGCCCCAGCCCGGACTCGGCGTGCCTCCCTACGACACGCAGGCATCATGCCCTGCTTGTGAGCGACTGCCTACGCTGTGGCTGCCCCTGCATGCTGAAACTTGAAGATCTGCGAGCGGCTCCAAAGTTCACCACAGTGTCTGGCTCGCCCGGCGCGTCCTCCGTGTCCACAAGTCCTGGGTGACCGTCGGGCAACTTCTGCGCACCAAAACCAACAACCTTGAAGATGTTTGTTCGGCCCCCATTTGTTGCCATTTGCAATTGCTCGTGGAGGCGCGCCAGCTGATACTGCCTCCTAATCGGGTTGAGCATCGGCTGCGGCACGACCGGTTGCGGGTTCCAGTGCGCAAGCGCATTCATGACAGCGGCCGTCTCCTCGTCCGAGTCTACCGGCCCGGCATTGGCCTCATCCTCGTCTTCCAGCGGTGCATTGGCATCAAGAGCAGCCTCTGCGATACTCATTAATCATCTGACGCACAGTCATCCAACCAAACGGGAAAACTTACTCTGCTGCTTAGCCTGGTTCTTCTTCTGATAGGCGGCCAGAAGCATGTCGTATGGCAAAGATCTGCCAGCAACCGCACGCTTTGCACCCATAGAATGACTCTTGCAGGTCAAGGACCTCGCACACGGCTGGCCATTCGGTAGCAGGACACCACACTGTCGCTCGACATCCACAGGTCCTGACCACGATGTTAGCATCTGTACGGCGTGTTCTCCACCGCAGCCACTCACCTTTGGGTTTGGGAGCCTTCGGTTTGGGTTCTTCCTTCTTCTTTTTCTGCTTCGGCCCCTTGTCGGCGTCACCGTCAGCTTTGCGTTTTTTGCCTTTGCCAGCCTCGCCGTCTGTCTTCTTGCCAGCGGCTTTCTTGGCAGTCTTGCTGCCCGTTGCCTTCTTTTCAAGTCCGTCTTCATCGCCGTCGCTGTCGTCATCACCTTTGCCGTCGCCGTCCTCGTCTGCCTTCCTGGCCTCCTGTTCTCTCGCAGCCTCTTTCGCTCTTTCACGAGCCTCCCTCGCCTCCTTCTTGCGCTGTGCCTTTTCCTTCTTCAATCTAAGGCACTGTGCAATATGCGCCTTGGCAGCTGTCTTGAGAATGCTCTTTTTGCAGTGTTTGCATTGTTGCAGGTCGGGGCTGTCTTCAAGAGGTCGCCCGGTCGCGAATGCTTCCCGCGCGCTGTCGTCGAGAGGGTTAACGACGGGCCCCGGCGAGGCTACGGAGATGGATGCAGAGTCGGAGCTTTTCGATTTTTTATCATCTAGTAATGGGCAAAACCAGTTAGCCCCGTCACAGGGAAGGCTTCCCAGGCAGTCGGCAGGGTGACATACCATCAATCACACTCCCTTCTCTCCAATTTCCAGGCTTGTTGTGCTTGGGTGGTTGCTTTTTGAGCTTTATAACGCCATTAGTGCGATCCTTGGCTTCCTTCTTCGACGCGACTTTGATCGTTTGCTCGTCATCTAGATGCGCGGCATGGGTTAGTACGTCCTTTCGTGTGGTGCATCATTGAAGGGGCGCATTACTCTTTTTCGAGTCTGAAACGGTCGCCATTGTCCCTGCTGTTTGCCCGAATGAAGACAGGTATTATGATACTAGATGGAGGATGGATGCGGTGCGGTTTCGATGGAGAGGTGCCCAAGGGCGATGCGAAGCGATGCGAAGCGATGCGATACGTTGGGTCACTCGATACGCGCGAGGCAGTGAGTTGTCGAGGATCCGGCGATGAAATCTCGACCAGAAATGTCACTTCATTGCAGCCTGAATGCGCCAGAAAATCATCGGGTAGACCAGATGTCGTGCGTTGCGCCGGACCCTGATAGAGCGTTGCCGTTGAATGTCGTCAACCGATACCTCTGGTTAGAGATGGTAGACTGTAGGGGCAGTCACGCGCGAGGAAGCTGCCGTCTCCACAGGAGAGATCCGATAGGTCTGTTTCGGGGCGATGCCGTACTAATAACTGGTTACTGCACACTGTTGCACTGTGCCAATATCAGGCCCGGCATTTTGTCATTGAACAGGCTCAAGCACATTGCAATCAATGGAAATATCGCCCCCGTTTCAGCATTATAACTTTAACTATCATTTTCAAAAGAATAAATTTTATAGCGCCGTCGTCACACAATCTTTGCGGAAGTATAGCTTAATGTATACGTTTATAAAGGAATAGAAAAAAACTTATGACTTCTTTATGTGACCAAATCGGCATATCTCGGTACTGCCCAAGTCACTAGATCAATGAATGCCTTTTCCCAGATGCTCCAACCTGTCCCAAGTTTTAATGCAACCCTCCCAAATATTCAAATGATGATACCACCTAGCCCGAGCTCCCATTGCACCATCGTTCTTTCAATGATACTCTCTCAATCCCAAATGTTAGCCCCTTGACGCCAGTCGTAAACCGTCTTTTCAATCATGGCAAGTCGTCACCAGTCATCGGCCAAAATTCCTGCTGCTCCAGACCTGTGTAACGTGTCTTCGTGCGCTCGCATGGCTTCCATCATCGACCGCGCATGCAGCATGCCCATATCGCCCCATATCGTCTGAATGACTCCCAGCGACCACTCCCAGTACAATTTGGGAACACCGGGGGCACATCCCGCTACTTTCAGATGAAATAGTAGAGCAGGCAGTCCCGCTGAACCGGCTCCTCCTCCCCCAGGACTCTCTACCGTCACTTGCGCCGTCTCGTCCAGAACTGGGTGTCGCCAATGGGTTGGCGCACTCACGAGTGTGTCCTTCGCCAATTTTCGTATGGCTTTAAGCGCCTTCTCGCGTGAGACGGCTGAAACCATCGACAGACTAGAGACAGGGTTTTGATTCGCCAAGTCCAGAAGGGTCTGGTTTGTCAAAATCCGCGCCCAGCGATAGTAGTTCCAGATTCGAGCAGTCCAAACGTCGTGATATTTGTGGTATTCACCTTCGAAGACTGCCTTTTGGGGCAGATGGGTTGCATGAACAACACGGTATTCCCAGGCGCCCTTCAGTCCCGCTTCCCACGCTGCTAGGTCGGTATCGAGGTCCAGGAGTTGCTGCATGACGTGAGTCGTCTTGGGTTTGCCGTCGCTGATGACATGGCTTTGGACAAAGGAAGAAATTTCGACAAATCGGGCGATCAGAACTGCCAAGTCCGACGAGGGTCGGTCTATGGGAATCTGAAGTTGCGACCCGTACGAGACCCAGTCGTAAAAGTCCGGAGGCATCGGCGACCCCGCTACGTGGAGAGGGATGAACTGCACAATCGCCAAGTCAACATCATTACCCGGAGACGAAGGCGCGCCGGCGCTCACCATTGAATAGCACAGCTGTAGCAACGCTCTGAACCCTCCGAATGGTACGCTGGGCATCGGGCACCAGCTTCTCATCAGCGCGGCGCCACCCATGACGTGGGCATGGACAGTTCCGGTCGAGTGATGAGTTCCCTTGACCACCTTGGCACGAGGTCAGTATTTTCAGCATTCCGGAAACATGCCCGGCAAGGACAACCCCTATTGCAGGCATACCTCAAACATGGCAAGCGCAACCACGGCCCGCATTGTCACATCTATGCTGGGGTTATGTGGCGGGCGAATCAACTTTCCCGTCTGTCGGAGGGCCGAGCCGTACTTTTCTCGCGCCGTTGCCATCATTTCGACGTTGCCCGTCAAGTTATATAACCCGGCAAGACCCACGGCAGTCATAACATCTTGTAGAGCCGGATGCCATACCCAGGGCTCTCCGGCGAGGTCTTGTGCTGATTTGACCTCATCTGGGTGCCCAACAAGGTATCGGTTGACGTAGAACTGCAGGCCTTGCTCTTCTAGGGTGGGACCAACGCGAATGCTGATGGGGCTCGTATCGCGGACGGGTTCTTGCTTGATGACTGGAAGCGCTATCGGTGATGCCGAGCCTGCGGAACGTGACGACGACGAGGGAGACGTGAGGGCGAAAGAAGATGCCGGCGAAGCTATTGCCTTGCCGTTCCGTGATGCTGCGCCGGTGCTCGTCGGCGTGCTCTTGCGACTATAAGCTGGAGAGGAGGACGGCGGAGGAGACGGAGCGGTCGACACAGACGACCGGGAGGCACCGTTTTCAGACCCTTCAGCGACCCCCCACTGAGCATGAGCTTTTTTGATGACCTTGGTGCTTTCATCACGGAACATGAGAGAGAGCTGGTCCCGGTAGCCGGGGCACTTCTTGCCCACGCGGATGCATTGCGAGCATTCGGGCTGTATCTTGTCGCACTAGCGCGAGCGAATTGTCAACTAAGCTTCTGGCTCTCTTATTTGTATACCAAGAGGAACGACGTTCCGGTAAGGACGGGTAGGTTCTCGGAGGGCAGAGGGGCCACTGAGTTTGGCTCAGCATACCTTGATGCGACGAGTCCGACAATTTTGGCAGCCTTGGGAGGCTTTGCCGCAGTAGACCATGCTCGCGGATGAGATTTCGACGACGACGGGCTCTAGAGAGGCCCTGGGAATAGTTCGGTATTTGATGGGAGTAAGCAGTTCGAATAGGAGTTGCGGCGGGCTAGAACAACCGGCCCATCACGGGAGGTAAGTCAGGCAGCGCTATGCCACCCGAGTCGCGAGTGCTCCCGCGACGACGGTGATGCGGGTAGAGGACGTGGGACAGCGGCTGTAAGCCGACAGAGGGGGCGTCTCGATCGTGGTCCTGCGGCCGAGTTGCGAGTAGATGGTGCAGGCTGAGAGGTGACGGGAAGAGGTGATAGCAAAGACGACAGAAGCGGACAGGTCCGCAACAATTCCTCTTTGGGCGAGAGAAATGACAGCACAAGGCAAGGTCAGGGAAGGAATCCAGTCCGCAATTCGCAATAGTATTGCAATTCGCAGGGTTGTGTGCGGAGAGGATCATCAACTGAGTCCAGGTTTGGGAGCTGTCCCAGAGTTCCGTCCAAGTCACACAACGCTTGCGCGGGGCTCCAGGCCCAAAAAGCAACGGGACGGGCGCACGAGAGAGGGACTCAGGACGAGGAAGAGGAGGGGGGTGTGTGTGTGATATGGTGGGCATGAGCATGGGCGTGAGCGTGGGCGTGGAGGCTCCCGTCGCGGATCCAAATGACACTAGGACCGGGGGGGACAAAGCAGCTGAGTCGTCAATGGCTGTGAGACAGGCGGGCGCGACACGTCTAGACTCTTGAGCTGTTGTTATGTACTATGTATCCCATGGGATTTGTATGCCGATTGCAGTGCGGGAATCAGTGACGACTGGATCGAGGCTCGCAGTGCTCGCGGGACTTTGAAGTTTGAACAATAGGTTGGCTTAGGATTTAGTGTTGGAATATAAAGCAGAGTAGAGCGAGGTAAGACAACGGGAAATAGTTATGGAACGTCGCTGGCGGAGGGAGATGGGTCGGGTCGAGTCGAAACACGAACAGAAAAGAATGGTGATTTTCTACGAGGGCAAGGGTTAAAAATGAAGCAAACGGTGTCCAGTAGGACACGCACGTGAGTAGTAATTCGTCTACCCAGTAAGTAAGAGGCTATAGAACACACAACTTCCGACCTGTGATAAGGAACAAACAGTCGGCGGACAGGCATTCGCGTACACCGTAGATTGGTACAGGAAAGAAGCCAAGGTCGGGTACCCAATATAATGTAAGGCACTTACTTGATGGGGTCTCGGGTTTCTGGAGGGCGAGATTGAGGTAATGTATACTAAGATAATCAATGCATTAAGGCGATGACTTGTTAACTGAACCTCTCTCTCTCCCGTCTCTCCCTCTCGCATTTCAGCCTTCAGGCGCAGCTCGGACCTGGGAAAAGGTCCGGCGCGGCACAGCGGGATCTGTCATTGAATCCCGACCTCACAAAACCCTCCCTAACTGATTGTGGGTTTGTGACTTCCCCGCTGCCCCACGATTTTCTAGATCAAGGTGACACGCTAACAATCATCCATACTGTGTACCTATTGTACGTAGGAATGACTACACCGTTATCATATGGAAAGCCATGGAGTCCCAAGCTCCAAGATGTATAAGTGCTTTACTGCGGTGACTGATTACCTGAGCTTCCTGGGCCTACGCATCTAGTGGTTTAGGTAAGTGGCCCAACATACCTAAGGTACATACCAGGTACAGTGAGAGAAATAGTGAAATAGGTATCTTACCATATCCGTCCTATGATGAGCACGGTGGAGAGGGCCTCCCTGACAGTTTCACTCCAAACTTAGTCAGTGTGTTCGTACACTAGTACTGCGTGGGTAGGTACATGCTGTGGTGGTGGTACTATGTAGGTAGGAGGCACCTTGGGGATGGGTGACGCTACCTACCTTACCCAGGCACCCTGGTTAAGGTACAGAGCACGTCAGGTACCTACCTTCCAGGTTTCTCTTACCTTTCGGTAGGTAGGGCAATGTGTCTGTGCCTTTAGAGAGTGCCTGCCTCTCTACTACGTATACAGGTACATCCATAAACCTGGCAGACTTGTGTTTGATCTCACTGATTTTGAACTGTGTACCTCAGTTCGAGTTGACTTGAAAGCGAGTGGAATGTCTGGCGAAATCATTGGTTGGGGCAGTAATTGGAGTCTCCTTTAACGTCATATCAATATGTACCGAGTAGCAGTCCCCTCGGCTGTCTGCAGATTTCCCGCTTATGAGCAGGGCATGGAACTCCGCAACTCTCGGACCCGGCCTGGACGGCCCTAGAACCACATGCTCCCAATTGGAAGGCTCGGCCGGCAGCATCACTTTGATTCCTAGGGACCGGGAGCGTACTACTACTTACAATGCAGCTGCCTACGTGAGGTCAGGTAACGTGCGATGTGCCTATGGAGGTATCCGTACAGATATTGCGTAAAACTATCAGACTGAAAGGCGCGCGTCACCCACCCCGAGGCTTGACGTGGTGGACAGGAGAGGTCCTGCGCGCCAACGGCAAGTTCCTAGCGCCGTCCAAAACCATCAAACCACTTGACCCAATCACCAACTCGGTGATCTGCTACATTACAAAATGAAACCGTGACAGGTGGCAGCCCTCAACATCCGGTACCTCACGGAGCACGGAAGATTGCGTATGAACTCTGCTAGCTGGGTCTCCCGTATGCTGAGGGTTCCCTCGTGTTCCGCATATCGGTTGCTCTTGTCACGACCCATCCGAATTCAAGATACATACCCATAACAACCACTGCGTCACTGACTTCATATTTCAGTATACGGAAATTGCAAAGCGTTTCCTCTCTCAAACAACAAACGAAACCTCTACCGTCCAAAGCCCAGCGTCGCAAAGCACGTTCTCGCACGTACTCCATCCGTACAGCGCGACAGCAGCTATCTTGCTCTAATGGCCAACTGCTGCCCGGGCAGTTCATAACCATGCATCGGCCATCAAGTCCAGGATGGGTAAGGCGACGCTACGGCGCCGCTGGAAGGTGGAGGCGGCGGTCGCTGAGAGGTGTGCCGATCTGGCTGGCTGCAGCGTGCATTATGCAGTTGCAGGCATTTCAATGTGGAATACAGCGTCAGGTATCCCTGAGATACTACGGTCGCAGCGAGTGCACTGCGTAAGGTACGACAATGCAGAGAAGTTTCGACGGCCCTCCCTCCCAATACCTCCAGTACAGACGTTAAAGTTCTCTGTATGTAAGGTCAACTAGTCATCTACACGTACGGACACCGGCAAAGACACATCATCTGCCTGAGTACGTGAGCCTCACCAGACGGCATCGCTGGGGCTACTCGTACGCTACTGCAGTGTATACGGATACTCAGCTACGGGTAGAAAGAGACCGGGGTAGCTATGGTTCCCAGGCACCGGGGCCTCGTCCGGCGCTCCGAATCAAACGAAACGAACCACCCTGTCAACCCGATCCCAACAGACGGTTATCGTACCCTGCCTTGCCTTACCTTACGATCCATTGTATCGTCCGTGCGGATACTTCTCACGTTTGTTCGCTCTTCTACGTACTTCAGTACGTGGGTACAGCTGCACAATTCTGCTCCGACTCCCTGCCCGTGTACTTGGCATCCAACTCAAGTATCCGTATCTGTAGCTACTGCAACCCACTTGAACGTATCCGTGAAAGGTTTGCTACTATTGCCTGGGTGGGCTATTTCGAGACCGCGACCGCGTATCGTGGCTGTTGAGATTTTTGTCACTCACTCAGCCCCTCATTCCAACGCTGCGAAGACCACCGCAAGGCACGAAATACCTTGATACCTTATGCTTCGTGTCTTTCTGTATAGATTATTCCTAACTCGGTCACTTTTCTTGTCTCTGTGATTCAACTTCAACTACCTAATCAATTAGCGCCCGATGAAGAACCTCATGCTGTTCCATCACTTCAGCTGACCGCAACATGTGGTCTCATGCTCCCCGCAACTTCAGGGGTATCATGTCCGATGTCCGAACCCAATGCCACGGCCGCACCGCCCAGGGTCGAAAAGTTGACAACTCACCGCCCCCCGCGAGCAGATCGATGCCGACGCCGACAACATCCAATGGATGACAGTTCACCGCAAGACACCCGACAAGGGGGGCAACAAGGAGACTGGGACTCGGGAGAAATCAAAAAGTGCAGACTGGTTCTTCTCGTTTTCGCTATGGGGTCTCCTAGTTGGCGAGGATCTCTCCCATCCTCCGACCGCCATCTGCTGCCCCTACCGACTCCGAGGCTTCATCCGATCTGACCACAGACTGTTGTACGGTTGTCGAGCTATGAACGCATAGCAACTCGGCGAGCTCTAATTATCTATTCGACCATTCCCGAGAGTTTCTCCGGGCCAAGAGAGGCAGACCCCGACAAATCTGAGCATCAGCCCCCCCCCCCTCCCTCTTCCAAGCAGGCCGCGGTACCACCTTCCCCTGGAACCCTGGACTCCTGTTTGCCCTAGGCATGTGAACGGAGTTTCGGTGCAACTCATGATCCTGAGACTTGAATCTCCCCGATTAAAGCCCGACACGACACATATCACTGTGAATCGGCCTGGTGTTTGTCTAGGGAGCGGGATGGCGGTGATCGGCGACATTTACCGTTTGTAATTCCCCTTGCTTACTGCACGAGCAAGTGAATCTCGACACGAGGAATCGTCACCTGATATGCTAGACATAAGGTGTTACACAAAATGAAAGGATCAGAGGAGGAGGAGGAGGAGGAGGAGGAGGAGAAGCGTATTCCGGCTTGCAGCGAAAAGGCTCCCTTCCCGAAAAAAAAATTCATTCCACAGCCGTAAGTACTTAGGTGTATGGGTTGAAACCCCGTTGGTGGAAAAGGCGGTTTGCGTATCCTCTCTAGGCGGACGGCATCAGTCCCAGCCTGGACCACACGCTGTATATTTCTTCCCTGATGAACTCGTGACCGAGGCTTCTCTGCGTCTTATCAACCATGTGTTCCGATCACAGAAGGCGAATCCAGAACCATAGACTTACCGGATGGAAGGTCTTCCCGTAATATGTTGGCACGTACCACATCGAATTCTCCCGTAATATGTTGTCGCGAGCAAATCGAAGCGTGGGGTCGTTATGCCGTGCTATGGCCATGTAGCACAGAGCCAATAATCCCCAATCTCCTGATCGCTCGGCCGGGCCTAGACAAGTGCCCGGGTCTACGAGCGGCGACAGGGGCGGCAAGACCCGGCCATACGCCAGTTCGCTACCGCTGCTGGTGCTGTTCGGTGCCGGCGTCGGGTCCGTCGTGTTTGGGTTATTGTCCTTCCCGCCGACCAGGAAGAACCATGTCTCGGTCCTGTTATATGCAGGTTCCGTTACGTTGGGCTCGCAAAAGCGGTGTCCCTCGAACCTGGTGTCATAGTCGACAAATACAACCTTGGGCTTCGCGAATTTGGCGTTGACGGCGTCAATAGACATTCTTAGCTTGCCGTTGACGGCCAGCACCATGTCGTTCATCCTCCGACGTACTTTCCGCTCGAGTTTGGGGCCCTGCCACCAGACGCCAAGTGTGCAGTTGTCACACTCGTCGGTGTCGGCGTTAAAGAAGCGAGCATAACCAGTGACGGTGATGATGAACCATGGACGCTTCTCCCACTGAACCTTGTCCAGGATTTGCATAATGACCATCTCTAGCCGATGTTCAAACTCGCTGCCTTCGATCTGCTTGGCAGCTTCCTGGAGAGCCGCCTCACAAGTACCTGAGTAGAAGCTGTAGAAGCGAAAGATGCAGGCGTTCATGACTCGAAAGAAGCCTAGATCGTTTCCTCCCACGGACAAAACGGCAAAGTCAGCGTTGATGGAGGTGTTGAAGCTGTCGATTTGGCTATGCTCGCCCCCGGACAGAATATCGCCAGTGGTAGAGCCGGTACAGGATAGAAACTGAAAAGTGGTTTTGTTAGATCCTTGACTCTCCGCCAAATCAGTGTATATCAGCACCGGATGTGCGTGCGCTCCGTGTCTACACTCGTCTTCGACACCTTGGATGCCCGTCCCGATTCCGGCACTGTAAGAGTCGCCGAAGGCGACGAAGCCAGCTGTGGACTGAGATTTGTGCTGTGGCAGGACCAGGTGCTCGGCGGGCTCCGATAAGGGCTCTGCGAGAAGGTGGATGATTAGATTGGCACGCCTCGACCCACAAGAGTTGTCACATGCCTTGAAGAGGGACGAATACATGTTGGTCTCCAGACAACATGTTGGCGAGATAGTCTCGCAGCCCGGTGGAGGGCACCGCCGCTTTGGACAAAAGGAGCAAGCGGACGGCGGGAGCAAAACGAAGCATGGTGACTAGTAGGGGATGTAGATGGTTGCAAACTGGTCATCACAGGCTTCATCCATCGATGCAGGTTTTGAGAGAGACGGTCAGTTCCAGCCGTAGATCCAGATAAGAAGATGTATGGCGTCGGAGTCGTACTTCTCAGTATCTGTGAGATAAGAAATATTTGGGTGCTTAGTGTCATCATTCTGCTTACATACCGTACTGCCGATTTTGTTAGGGTGGCGGTCACGTCAGACCAGACCAGTTGTTTACACGAGGTGATGCACGAGCGCCATTCCAAAGCAATGAGAGGTCGGTCCGCTGTAAGCGCAGCTACCTTACCTCCTTGACAGGTCGGGTTTTAAGCACCTTGGCGAGCTTTCGACACATGTGGCCAAGTCAGTATTAGTCTTAAGGTACTGTGTACTTGCAGGTATAGGTATGATGAATGGCTCTCCAGAATGCTGATGCAATACCGAAGGCAGACGACACTCTCACACACCTCGGCCAATTCTTTCTCCACAGGCGGCACCGGGGCTCCGGCCGAGTGGACTCCACTCCGAGCCATGTTCATCCCGTCCCGTACCGTCAGTGTCAGTGAACCGTCTTTGGTGGGGTGGGCACTCGGCAGCATCCTCCGGTCTGGCTGCAGATAGTTCGGTTTCATTGTGCAGCGCGGTGCGTCGGATCGCGTGTCAATTGTCACCCATGCGTTCCTCGTTATCAGAGAAATACCAAGCAAAGCACGGTGGGCCAAATCGAACGGGACGGGGCGTTGGGCGTCTTTTTCGGCCCATAATCAATCTTGGCTTTTGGCTATCGGCTTCCCGACTTGGCTGCAGATGAAGAGAGAAACCCGAAGTTTATAGTGGCGCGGCAAAGGCACTATTAATTCAAACACGTGGCCATCCATAAGGTGTCGCAAACGGAAACGCGAGTATTTTCAGGTACGCGATGATGGCTAAGCTCGGCAGCACACGGGCTCTCCGTGGACTGTTTTCACTGTTGACCTTGGTATTAATGGTGAGTGTACGTATGGGTACCCTAGACACCTCTGGGCAACACCCCGTCATCTTCCGCAGTGCCGTTCCATTGCATTCGTACTCTGGACGAGTACGCACCACACAGACCACCAACAAACGCAGCATTACATCTTCCGCCACATTCGTGGCACATGCCCATGAAAAAGAAGCCAGGCATCGAATCCTTTGTGCGGGGATTTGACGAGCAACGTCGTGCGGCGTGCTAGGCCGGCGGCGGTTGGAAAGACGTCGACGAAGAACGGCGTTCGACCCATGACGTAATCGGTACGCAGTGCAACATGACCTGGAACCTGCAACGAAGTCCGAATAACTACGGAAATCACTCAGCAGTACCTTGCCTCTTCCTCTCTCTCCCTCCAACGTCATCGCTACTCCAACTTCCCCAAGTTCGCCCACTTTCTCAGCCTGAGATCGACCGATCCCCACCCTTGTTCTTCCGTCAAGATGCAGGACTATCTTGGCGGAAGGGTGGACAAGATGACGAACAAGCACGCCAACACCCGCCCGTTCGTTGGCTAGACCTAAATCTCGGTGCCACATCAGGAGCCACCGCACTTCGCCTGTTTGCGCCAGCTTTGACGTGATCTTTCCGACTTCATTACCCCCAGATGGTCTGGCCAACTTTGCTTTTGCCCTCTACCAATCTTGTACCAGCCCACGCCCACCCTGGCCTGCCCTGGCCTGCTTTACGGGTCGCCTCTGTCCAAGTCACCTCCGTCCTTCTCGCCGTTCAAGTACGAGCGCAAGATGGGAATAGGACCGGGACTCGCCCTTGCACCGGCTCTGGTTGTTGTGAACATGAACCCTCCGTATCTCATCCCCGTCTCATGCCGTATCACACGGACTTTGTCAAGTAGGTAATGTGTACTACTACCAAGCAGCCGAGTAGGCTGGTAGACTGACGCGCCACCACCTCACCTTGGCCAATCGAGCGGTGCAGGCGAGGTACATGTCGGACCACCTGGGCCAAGATATCTCGTCTTCCTTAAGCCGTCGCACCCGTTCCAACAGAAGGCTAAGGTACGCTACCCCCTTACCACCTTAGAGGGACCTTTGCTACTGCCGTGCCCATCCAACCCACTGCTTCGTGAACCCCGCTGTCAAGGTACCTACATGATGTAGAGCAGGCAGGACAGCCCAGGTCCAAGAAGACGTCAGACCCTTTCGGGCTGCATTATAAGAAGCCTCTTTGACGTCCTCAACCCGCGCTCAGGACTAAGACTAACTACCATCCATCGTAGTAGGGAACAACGACCATCGATCAGCCATCGGCACCACACCCATCAAGCCATAATAATACCTTAACCTCCAAGCCATCAACAACGTAAGATTCGACAAGCAACAATACGCCATAGGACAAGTCAGACTAAATCAAATCAACATGGAGACCATCAACAACATGGCGACCGGCGTGAGCAAGGCAATCTTCGGAACGAACGAGGCCAGGGAAGAGCCTGTTTCTGGCGTCACGGGAAACACCAGCAACGGCGAGCCCTACGACGCTGGCAACATTGGTACGGGGCCGTGATTCTCCATGCTTGTCTCCTGCCATGTGTCGTGGGTTCAATTCTGCTGACACGGATATCAGAGGAACCCCAGAAGAAGGCACACGTCGTGGACGCCAACGCCGAGCACACCGCGACCACTTCGACTCCCGCAACCGCCCCAACCACGTCCCACACGAAGGAAGATCCCGTGAAACACGAGGATAAAATCGGCAAGCCTGAATTGAAGAATCAATCAGTCGAGGATGCGGCACCACATGACAGCGCTGCTGGAAAGACCGACACACGTCTTCCGGAGGACCCCGCCACCGACCCGAAGCCCAAGAACCTGGACGTTAGTAACTCTGGCACCGGTCCCGAGAACAAAACCGACGACTTGACAGGGCCCGGCCCAAGACCGCTCGAAACTGTTGCCAAGGAGCGTGGAGGTGATGCTGGCAATGTGAAGGGTGCTTCACACGACGGTGGCCTTACCGGCGGCGATACTGCTGAGGAGGAAGAGGACGGTCCTCAGAAGAAGAGTCACGGCGAGGGTACTGGGGAGAAGTATATCAAGAGCACAGGCCTGGCAGCCGACGGCGGCGATTTCGACGCCACCAAGCCTGGGGCTGGTCGCGAGGCGGATCGTGAGTTTCTGGAATGTTTGACAAGTATGAAAGTACATATTAACGCAGCCATGCAGGTCTCATGGATGAGAAGGATCCTGCTGCCGCCGCTGCGAAGGCGGCGGCAACGTCCAAACCTATCGACAACACCCACAGCACCGGTAGCCAGGAACGCACTCAGAGTCCCAACGAGAGCACCGGGAAAGAGAAGAAAAGCCTTGGTGACAAGATCAAGGAGAAGTTGCATCGTCACTAAAGAGGATATGGCCAAAAAACACATGTTCTATCCTGCTGGCAACCGGTTATGCGTTACATCAACAACACGCTTGTGTCATTGCCAGGACGAACGATTGTGACGGCTGTCTATCATGAACTGTTAGATACAAATTAAACCTAATGACACGAGAAATTTACCTCCTCTGGACTTATAGCGTACTCGTTATTGCTGGTGCATGTTCGGACGGGGTGGATCCTACCTTAGTAAGTGGTAGGATTGATTTGAAGCATCTATGTGATGAGCGGCTGGAGAATTTCGAGTATCGTCCGTCGCCTTGCTTAGTTCTCAGCTTCGACCGCCAGGCGGCAGAACTCTTAAAAGAAACAAAGGACACGGCTTTCGAGTTTTGGGATGTTAACCTACATCTGTCACGAAATGCAGCTTCGTCCGTAGCATCATTACAGCTAGCCTTCAGGTGCTGAACAGAGCCGCACGCATCCACTACCCGCTGTTTAATCTTAGCCAATACATATTTCCAAATCGCAACTAAGCCAGCATGCTTCTTCTAGCCTCATGCCCTCCCACAAACATGCGGCGCAGACGAAAGTTTGAATGGGGACGCTCACACGCACCCTCACGACTTATACTCAACGCAGGATAGAATAAAGGCAAACAACACCATTGAACATCCGTAGCCTTAGCCACTCGGAATTTTGTGGAGGTCTATCAAGACCCTTCGTACGGGGAGGTATCCAGTATAACTTTATCCCAGAACATCATACACCAAGATTCGTTCACTCATCTTTTCATCCCCTAGGTGCGTTCTCCTTGTCCTTCCACGCCCTTCGACTTTGCGCCAAGTCAGATTCGATTTTCAGTGACCCTGCTTTGCGTGACCGTGCTCTGATCAAACCCTTCCTTCTTTCTGGGCCGTGTTTGGCCCTTGTCTGATCAACGTAAAAGCGCGTCGACACATGGTATTGTGCCATTTCCAGCGTTGCCATCCCGCCCTTTTGCCTTTCACTGAGTTGCACCGCGAATTCCTATTCTGACGGTTCGTTCTGTATGTCAAGACCGTCCGACGGATAGTGTTTCCTCCGCCCCCCCCCCCTGGCGGAGCAAGCTTCGAGTCTTGCGCCGAAGACGCGAACCGGATGGGTAGGCGGGCAAGCCCGGAGTTTAATCACCCATCGCGGACGTAGCGGGCCGGCTCGCAGGGCATAACTTGGTAGTGCAAAGAATCCCTACGCGCAGCAGTGATCATGCCAACCTGAGCACTGAGAGGGCTTTGCTGCAGCTGAACCCGTTGGTGGACTGGTCTGCATGGTGGTGTGCGCGATAGGGTGTGTCCCAGCGACCGCCGTTCATAGGAAGCCCGACTCGGCAAGAACCCTGTATCACGACCGAATAGAGTCAGCCAAAGTTTCTATTTGCAAGTAGATCATCTGCAATGGGTGGACAAGGGAGAAGTCCCAGTTCATCATGCGTGGTGCTCCCCTGATCGTGTATGGAGGTCATTGAAGGGACCTGCCATGAGCGCAGCAGCACAGAACGACCGGCCTTGGGCCCAGAACAAAACGATTTCAAGCGACCCGGGCTGATTTTTTAGGGCTACGTACCTCACGATTTTTTCATCTTCTCGCTCACGTGGTTCCACCTGTAAGCTCTTATCGTACATTTCATGTACGTCTCCAGCGGCCTGCATGTTGCTGACTATGTAGTCTTGCAGTTCTGGCACAGGCTGCAGCGAATAGCCAACAGCCTGATACTGTTGGATGTCACGAATTACTTCTGCTGTTTTCGCCCTCTTGGCAAAGTTGATGAGATTAGTTTTCTTGATGACTGACGGAATTCCGTCCTCGATGAAGGTAAGATCGGTCAGATAAACACCTTTGGAGTCAAAGTCAGCACAGTGATTACTCGTCTCGCGTTGTTCCGGGACCACGCACCGAAGAAAGGGATGCACGGCGGATTCGCCACGTGAAGTGCCTCTCTGTACTCGCCAAAGTTCTTGGTGCTAGCCATTAGTTTTCTCATGGTTTCCAAGACGCCCTGGGTTCTTTGGGGCACTTGGTCCCAAGTTCGCTTGAGACGGGCAATTGGAGCCGTTCCAAGTGCCGAGATGATCGAGGTTAGCGTAGAAAAGTTATTCAGACTTCGGCATTTCTGCAAGATATTAGCCAAGTTTCGAGATCCTGTCATCAGCCTGCACTCACATCTGCCACAGCCACGAAGTGCTTGATGACAATAACACGCTTCTTGACATCCATCTGTGCCAAAATCATCTCCGCAACCCAGTTCGTCATTTGGTTCGAATGCAAAATAAGGGCCTTGACATTTGGTGCGGGCTCTGGCTCTCCTTCGGCGACCTTCTTCTGCCAAGTCTTGTTGAGACATTCCGTCGGCTTAATCTTGCCGTAGAGTCGGGACTCAATAATGGTGAGCTGGCGCGCAAATTCGGTGACGTCGATATCGAGGAACTTCAGCTTCTTCATGTTCTTGGGCATGATGGGCGACGGCGTGTTCTGATTGAGTGTTTGAACCATGCGTCGAGCTCCAGCTTCCTTGCCGCTCAGACGTTGATCCAGGACCGTCATGAGAGGCCCGGAACCCGGGGTTTCAGTAGACTTCACCGTGTCTCTGGCGAAAGTGTAAACGTCTCGGATGAGTTGCTTCGATTCCTCGTTGTGGTCCTCCATCCAAAAGTTATCGAACCAACTCTTCAAAATATTCACGACGCGGAAGCGAATGAGTTTCTGTTTTCTGTCTCGCCATGCCTCAAAGTCAGATTGAGACAGACCTTCGGGAGGTTGAATTCCGAAGCGATTCACGAGAAGCTTGAAGAGATCCTGGGCGGTGGTGAATGACCTGTAAGTCAGGAGGAAGGTGTTGTTGAAATTCGAGTCCAATTTGTCATGTCGCGTCAGTTGCTCGACCAGAGCCTCCAAGGTACCACCTTTAACAACGGGCGGTTGCAGTTTATTATCCCAAGAGAGGTCGGGCTCGTGATCCAATTTGAGGAACTCTGGGGTATCGTCGACCGGGGGCAGGTTACTCTGGGGATTCGGATCGTCGCCCAAGATTTTCTTGACCTTGGAGTAGTCACCTCCACGGAAGTTGCCAGTACCGTCACCTTCGGTGAAAGACTGAGAAGTGATCATGGGGGGTCGAGTTGGGATTATACGTGACTCTGTGCGCTGATGAGGTCTGTCGTAAGGCATGCTGTCGTTTCTCCGGAGCTGTTCGCGCTGAAGATGATCATCTCTCAACCTCATCTCGGGCTGCTGCTGCATGTTAATTTGAACTTGCTCGGAGAGCAGTTGCAGCGAGAATCCAATATGTGACGAGTTCGTCTCAAGCGCCTTTGCGCATTGGCGAACGTAGTCCAGACGATTCTCCAAAGCTTCGCCTCGTACTTCTGCCCATTCGTCTGCCAGCGGACCGGCCACGGCCTGGCAACCCAAGATGAGATCGGACATGTTGTCATACAAACTCTGCTTGTTGGCGCTGAAGTCTGCCAGCTGCGGGGTTTGGAAGCTGTTCCCTAGTGAAGCCAAGTCGATGGATTCGATCAACGCAATCCACGGCTTGAAGGTTTCCAGGACCTTTCCACCAGCCGAGCAAACATTGTTGCCAATGACTTCATGTTTAAAAGGAGTCATGGTCTTGTCGGCGACGAGCAGATTCTTGTCCAACTCCCGGATGCTGAATACAAGCATTCTCTTCAGCTCATCTAGCCTTTCGAGCAATTTGCCGTCCAAGAGTGCTGTTGGTTCGACGACGCCTTCTTCGTCCTCCAGGAAGTTGGCCGTAATTGGATCACGAGCACCTAGGCCGTTATTCTGCCAGCTCCCACCCGTTGAGCTGCCGATGACGAATCCAGGGAACAGACGGGGTATTTCTTCCCCACGCTGTTGGCGTGCGATCTCAACATAGCTGAACACACCGAGCAAAACACCGTCCGCCTCTTGCAAACATTTCTGTACTGATTCCGCGTTGGGCCAGTCGGCGGCAGCGATGTGGGACGAAATTACGAGTTTTGAGAATTTGGACATCATATCTCTGAAATGAGGGTAAAGAGCCTTGTTGGTTGAAATGATGGAAGGCTGGCCAGAGTGGTTGTCGGTCGTGCCAGATCCGGCCGCTAGCAGCAGTCGCAGATGGTCCGAGATGTCCTCCGCTCGTGCTACGTACTCAGAGCGGTTGTTGCTGGTGATAGCGTCACGGTACCGATCCACAGCCCGGCGCATGTTGGATACTAGACGGGTCCATGTCAATGGCGGCGCTGAGCCATCGTCGAAGAATGATCGAGGCACGGTGCTGGTCGGCGGCGTATTGTAGGACGTGCTTGTAAATGACGTTGCGGATGCGATCATCGGAGTCGTGCTGGGTGCCAAGTTCGGGTTGACGTACTTGTTCTCTCCCCTGGTGATCTGCGCGATACCGTTCATGGAATCCATTGAAGTAGACGGTGACAGCATATCGTTCTTGGACCGGCGGTTACGGGGCTATGGCGCCATTCGTCTGTCAGTACAGAAACACACGCATCGTGAATTACCGGGCAGCTATCTCACCAAAGATCCTCTCGAGGCGAGCATGAGGGACTCTCCTTCCAACTCGGATGCGGAGTTCGCTTCCGAATCCTCGTCTTCGTCCTGTGTCAGCCCCCTGGCCATCATCTCGGGAGGGGGCCGTGTTTTTTCTGGGACGTTCACGTTCATCCTGTTACGCGGGCCGGACTCGTTGGTCGATACGGGAGACTCCAATGGCAATTCCATGCTGCGATCTCCCGTCATCATGTTGTAGTAGAATAGACGGCCGTCAGGAGTTGCTTGAGGAATCCAGAAGTCGGCCCGCGATTTGTCGCTGAGATCGGTGCCCTCGAGCGGCAGGGCGTTGCTGAGATCGTCGAGCTCCGACTCGTCATCCTCTTCGAGCTGGTCGTCGTAGACTTCCTGGTCGACGACGTCGTCGTCGACGTGATCGAGCTCGCCGTGATGGTCATGTTCGGGGATATCGTCGGGACTAGTGATGATTTGACAATAGTTGCTTGGAAACCAGCCGCGCACGCCGTTGATAACGCCGTCCCACCAACCGCTTTCCAGCTGAGTGATGACCTGGATGACATCTCCTTCGTGGAAACTCAAACTTGTACGGTCGTCGGCCTCGTAGTCGTACAGGGCTCGGACGTACATGGTGCCCGGCGGGGCGGTCCCCGCAATGCCGTTCATGAGGGAGGAAGAGGCGGCAGCGATGGTCTGGGAATAGGACGAGTATGACTCGACGTTGGATTGATCCAACACCGGTTGCGAGTTGTAGTAATTGTTGGATTCGAGGTTGATGTTTTCGCGCGAGGGCTGTTTTCGAGAACTGTAGGCGTTGCTCTTCTGACCCTGAACTAGTGCCGGCACTGCGGTCTGTGTCATCAGCATGATGAGGCGGTCGCGCTGATAACCCGAGGATGGGTCAAGTCATGATCTGGGCGAGAGTGCTCTGCTCAGGCCAGCCTCGTACGGTCGCGAAGCGTGTCGTCAATCGTAACACGTCGAGAGATCGTAAGCGTGAGGGAAAAGGGTGTGTGTGCTGGCTGGGGCGACGAGTTGTTGAGCAGCTGTCGGGGACTGAACCCACAATCGAGGAGTCGCAGGTTGGAGCAGGGGGTTGCGGGGGCGACGTTCTGTGTGTGTGTGTGTGTGTGCGTGTGAGTGTGCGTGCCGCTACTGCTGCGGAGTGTGGGCGGGCGTGGTGCGTATCGATGAAGATGCCCTTTGGCGCGCTGGCAATTCTTTGGAGCAAAATCGAGCAAGCGGTTGCGATTCAGAAAGCTGAGTGGTGGGATGAGCTCTGCAGTCGGCGGGTAGAGTCGTGTGTCGTGTTGGCGACGGTTCGCTGGAGATTTTTCGCGTCGACAACGTCGGAGGAAGGGGAGGGCGAGGAGGAGAAGGTGGGTAGGTAGGTAGGTAGGCGAAGGAGAAGGAGGAAGGCCAGGCCTAGGAGCAGATGGCCTGATGGGGAAAGTGCCCCCCGGAAGAGACCAACGGAGTCGTGTCGGCGATGTTTGGGACCCTACCTACCTTACCTAGGAGACAGACCTTGACAGTACATAAGGTAAGGTAGTAAGACAAAATTATCCGTACTCAGACGACGATGCGCAGGTTCCAGGTTGGATTTGAACAGAAAGCACAAAGTTCCAATTGCGCCAGCGACCTTGGCTTTGAACGAGATGAAAACGCACAGCCGGGTGTCCCCCCAATTCTTCCCCTTTCTCTCTTCGAGGCCGTATGGCTCCCGTCGTTGAAAGGGCGAGCAGCAGCAGTGATGACCCTAGGTATCTTACCTACCTTACCTGACCTACGGTAGGTACCTACCTACCTGAGCAGGAAGGTTTCCATGTACCGAGGTTGGCGGTAGTAACAGGAACCAAGCACCTGTCATCGAGAGAACGCTAGCAGGATGGGCGGCGGTACTGCGGTAACGACCCCCGCTTACCTTAGGTACCTTACCAGACCTATCTTCCATAGGTAAGGTACCTAAGGTAAGGTAGGTTAGGTCTGCCTAGGTAGGTGGTAGGACCTAGGTAAGGTAGGTAATTGGAATTGGTGGTGGGATTCATAGCGGAGAAGGATGGCTGGCGCTCTCGTGGTCTTGGGCACTTGTGGCGGTGGCTGTAGCACTTAGGTAGGTTGTACTGGACCTTAACGTTCCTCTTTTGCAGACGGGAGTGCACAGCCGGTCTCTTCCAGACATTCATCCTGGAGGTAAAAGGTGTGCCGTGCTCATGCTCGAAGACATGGAAATAGCACCTGATTAGGGCCGAGTATTTGTGCCTGGCTTGGGCGAGTTCAAAGCATCAATACCTCCTGTCAAGTGTTGTAGGAGGGGTTTTAGCGGGCGTGAAGCGGGTGGGGAATAAACTAAAGCACCTCCAGCTACCTGCCTCATGTCGCGGGTTGTTTCATCCGGTAGTTTGTCTCTTTGCTGAGCAGTCATAACAGCACTGGATGAATCACCGTGTAGCTAGGTAGACTTGATATTTGGGAGCCGATAACGAGCTGTTGTGTGACCGAGTGTGATGAGAGATAACAGATGAGATGAGATGAGATGAGACGAGACGAGGGGTTCCTCGATGCCATCACATTGTTGGAAGAGCAGGGACGTGGGCCGCCTTACACCGGTGTGGCACCTTACCTACCTTAGGTCCATACCTACCTACCTTAGATAGATAAGTGGCCCGGGCACACGCACTGTCTTGACTGGGCATGAGCCACCCCCAAACCGGGCAAACCTATGATGATACTCCTTTTTCTCGCACTGTCCTTCAAGTTGGTGGTCAGACTCGCCAGTTCGACTCCAATGTCAATGTGCCTTCTTCGCTGCCCATCGCCAATACCTACGTAAGGTGGTATCAACTGAGCTCATCGTCACTCGAGCAACGCGATTGCTTCATCCAACATACTAGACCTAGAACTAGTCGGTCCATCGCTAGGTACATATGCCTGAACACCCGCCGCACTAGACTTGGACCCTTCCCTTCCTGACACCAACCTCATTCGCGTCGAATGCACCTCTCATCTCATCTCGTTAGCGCCTCCTTTTGTTCATCCTCCATCATCTTTTCTTCGTCTGCTTTTTTTCTACTAACAATAATAATATCCCCTCCCCCTCTTCTCCCGCCTCTTCTCCTTGTCCGAAGGCCATCCGTCGTCTGTCTAGACAGCTCGACGCGTACCCGTACCCGTCAAGCGTTTCGTTCAATTGTTACCCGGTTCGCCGCCCCGACAAGACTTCACCTACAGACGCAGTACTCTTCCAGCCATATGAACTTGACCCGTGAGACTCTACATCTGCCTCTGAGGAAATCTCCATACGGCAGATCTTCTCTTTTCCCTCCGCCACAGGCACGGCCGACTGCACGACCGATTCGATTCGATCCGATCCGATCCGATCCTTTAACGACGAGTCGTTGACTCCCATCCAAGACGGCCCTGGCCCTGTTCACATCACTGCTGCGAAGAGACAGATTCTCTGTGCGATCTCCTATACTATGTATGTAAGTGGCCGAGGCCGAGTCCAACCTAGAATAACTTCTAGACGGCGGCTCCGGCGCCATCCCGTCGCTTCCCTTATTGCCAGAAGTGGTTGATGGCGCTTGTGGGTTTGGATGCCATCCAGAAACAGTGCCACTGGGCTCCCGCTGTGAATAGACGAAACAATGGCGCACCCAACCGACGGGTTAAAGCACTCAGTGAGGTGTGGTTAGGTAGGCAGGTAGATACCTCAAGGTAAGGTACCTTAAGGTATGGGATGGGATGGAATAGTCTGTACTCCCGTCGCCGTTACAGCCTTGTTCCACGCGCAGTACAGCCAAACGTGCCTGTCGACGAGGCAGCTCAAAGCGTCTCGACAATGGAGGTCAGCCATCAGTTGCCCAAAATTCGATGCCGGTTTCAGACCGTGATTCGCCCGTTACGGGGCCTTGAGCCCCCGCGGCGGTCGCCGTCGCCGCCGCCGCCGGTGCCGCTGGCGGCGGTGATGGTGCTGGATGATGTACTTGCTGATGAAAGAAGGTCAGACATGCGATGAGCATGCTGCATCGGAAGCTTGGCTGGTAAATCTGTCCAGCTAAGGCGGCGATCGTCAGGGGCCAACCATCAGTCGCATTCCGTCCGTTGTTGTTGGGAAGAGTTTTAGTACGTTCGAGTACGGGTAGGTATTGAAGAGAAATCGACGAAGCAGCATCCACGCAAAACTGTGCTCAACGCCTTGGACATCCGAGTCTATAAGTCATGCTGGTTGAAGCTAGCGGTCAGCCATAGTTCAGTGTTGACGCTCACCTTAAGCTTGAGCGGCCTCTGAACAAGAACTAGCAGTTTGGCCCAGCCGTGACTCAAGATTGATCCGGACAACCAACTGATTAGCTCGATAATGATAATCGGCGAAGCGACAAACGGATGAAGGACGAGCCCCAGTGTTTGGGAAGCTCTGAAGCAGCCCTCGAGCATCGAACATGCCCAGCCCTGTCATTAATCGCCTTACCTAGGTAGGTAGTGGAGGTAGGTAGGTAAGGGTGCTAGGTATGTGAAGGTACCTAGGTACGGTAGGTAATACCTACCTTGGGCATATCCACGTCCCCACCTCACCAAACTGAGGTGGTCCCAGCAAACACACCCACGCCCCCGCCTGGCACGCGGAGCGCAAACACGCTGCCACTAGGTAACCGGGCTAGGGCTAAGGGTAAGGTACGGATACCTAACGGGGAACCGGTTGACCGGAACCGTGCCGCGGCGGTTCTGAACTTCTGACTCTCTAGTACCTAGGTATGCCCAGACGTGGAGGTCTGTCCGCAAGGGTAACCTAAGGTTGTCCATGTATCCGCAAGATGCTGAGTTCGTCTGCACACCTACATAGTAAGGTAGGCACCGTACAATGGGATGCTGTAGGTACTCCGTCCTCTGAAAAAGCTCCGCTGCGTCCATGTCTCGTCCTCCTTTCCTCCTTTTCCCTCCCGCCCCTTGTTTAGAGACTGACGTGCTCAAACATATAATATCCATGGTGAGCCAAACTACAGATGAGCTTGGTGCGAGAAGCATTGAGGTCTACCTGTACCTAGGTACCTATCTACCTAGGTATCTATCTATATACCACTCTTGTTGGTTGTGGCTCCGTATCCGTGTTGAATTCAGTCACCGGTATTGATCTGTGTCGGTATTCGTAAACCCTGACATCTTTCCAACAAGAGACCCCATCCTCCAGGAGCACCAAATGCCCGGATTACTCTGGGACCTGTTGAAATTCTCCTCCCGAGTTCCCTTCGTGGCCCTGGTCAATCGGTGTTCTGGGTGGTTTTCCGGCGCTCGCTACCTACCTACTGCGTACCTTAAGGTAAGGTACCTTAGGTAAGGTAGGCACCTCAGTGTGGACTCGAGGGCCCATGTACCACGAGTGCAGTACGGGTGTTCGAAGAGTGCCGGACCGGGGTGCAGACCGACCCAGGCGAGTAGAACCTACCTACTGCAGAGTATCATCAAATCGCGGCCACACTGAAAGATGTTGCAAAGATGCAACCCGGACACGGGAGAGGTCGTCAGCCGGGAGAGAGTCCTCAGTGGCCTAGCGGCTGGATTATTCCTACCGCATTTGCTGTGTTCCAGTGGCTGTAGATTTAGTTGGTCTGCGGGTTAAATGCGCACGTCGGCGAGCTCGCAGGCCGTCGATTCGGTAACAGACAGGCGTCAGAAGGCGAGAGAGGCAGAGCAAATCGGAGCACTGCGGGTATCTCAAGAGACGCATCAGGGGGGGGGGAAGAGAGAGAGCAAGAGAAAGGGAGAGAGGGGATGTGCATCCGATTCCCGGCACGCTTCGGTGATGGGAACTCGGGCAAAGAGCAAAGCTGGGTCAACATCAATATCCGATCAACCTCACGGTTTTCTCA